ACCGTTGAGTGAAACTTGAAATGTACTCTTCTGGTCCAAGGAGGTTTGGTTCCTAGTTTTGGAATGGTTCTCAATGATATACAAATACTGAATCTTTACATTTTCCATCATTTCCAGGTCAAGAGAAAAACTTTAAGAAGTACGATCACGGAAAAGTGGACACCCTTGGCCTCTCTTACGACTATTACTCGGTGATGCATTACGATAGATTTCTATACTCCGTCGATGGAAAAAGGCCAACGATCATAGCCAGAGGAAAGCCATGGATAAGACTTGGAGGACAGTTGAGGGGAACTTTGACATCAAACGACGTCACAGAGATTAAGAAGTTATATGACTGTGATTAAGGTCAAGAAGCGCGCTCTTTTGTTTTCTAATATCTCCACCGATGGTTGAGGCGTATTGTTTCCACACTGTAAGGTATAATATTAAGCACGATAGTTTTTGCAATTCAAGAGCTACCGCTTTTGAATCAAAAAATAAGAAATTCACCTTGCGCATCAGTAACAAAGGCACATAAGAGCCCCCCCCCGGGGGAAGTTTCATATGAAAGAGACGGGGATGCTTCCAGGAAATTAGCTCTTTCCAGGCGTTCAGATGAAAGAGCGCGGCAGTCAGTGGGGTCAGTGGGGAGCGTACGCGGGGAAAACGTTGTTTTTTCTTCGTAAATTTTTCTTCCGCGTTCCGACTATCTGAAAGCCTGAAAATTAGATTTGCAGACGTAGTTAATCGATAAAAACCGATATCGGAAATCAGTCTAATTCATCGATTTAATTCGCCGATTAATATCGATTGATAACCGAAATCGATAGAAATCGAAGTCACAGAAAAAAATAATATACTTTAGGTAAGACTTTCGCACTACGATTGACCTTCGCTAAGTAAGCATGAGTTTTGCACATTAAACGGTGAAGTATCATCGATATTTAATTTAGTGAAAATAGTCACACTAGAACTATTAAAACAAATTAAACTCAGTTACCACAAAGACTTATGGTTTGTTGCAGTTCAATTTGTTTATTTTTTTCTTTCACAATTTTTCCTGCTCCCATTGCATATTACGAAAAAACTTAATTTTAACTTCGGGTTAACGCCAGATATAAAAATGCCGGTGTTAGCGAGCAAAGTAAGACTTAATGATTTCCTTCTTTTTATGACAATTTTTAAGGAAATATAACTCATTCAGAATCTGAAAAGAGCCTCCTTTCCCGACTACAGTTTCGATTTTTTTTAAAAAAACCTTTAAATTTCACTTTGAGTTTCTGGCGGGTAGCTAACCACGTGGTTATGTTGGCTGAGCATAGTGTCCGTCCACGCGGTACAATCTGCCGTGTTTGCACGCGCGAAAACGCGAGAGCTCAATTCTCACACTGGCCTAAAATTCATCATGATACATCATCTTCGGGCCGCTAAATTCATCATGAGAAATGGACCCGTCTTCATCAGCATCTTCATGCTCAAAGATATTAGCCACCACGCTCTTGTGGTGTTTTTTCCATCTCTTGTCGTATACTGGCATACCTTGAGCTTGGGCTTGGGCTTTCATGTACGCTGATATCTCCTTCTTTGACAGTTTCTTGTCACCGTTTGCGTCGATATGTGAGAACAAGTCTGCCTGTGGGGGAGGGGGACGAATGTCGAACATTTCCAGCTCATACGTGAGAGTCGTGTTACCTGGTCGAAAAAAACAAAAGATTAAAACTCAATTCAAAATATTTCTCCGTCTCTGATTGACTCAAGTACCTAGATGACGTTTTTGGTGATATCCAGGGGAAGAGAGCAGAAAAATCCAAGAACGCCTAGTATTTCTATACCTCCTTTCTCCCCTTCCCCCCTTTCCCCCTTCCCCCCCCTCCCCCCACTGAGTGATATTCGATCAAATGGCCTCAGTGCAGGATAAACGCCAGAGACATCAACCGTGAAGCCCTGGAGACAAGGCTGTGTTATATTTTGGTGGCACGGCGAAGAATTTTAACCATTTTGCAAAGAAGAGTTCGAAGTAGGCAAACTACTTCTTAAAAACATACCAAGAAAAGCAACTTTTCAACTCTGTCGATTAAACTGCTATTTGAAGAATATCAGCTGGCATCAACATCCCTTTAATTAACAGGGGAACTTAACATCGATCGAGGTAAGCATGTTTTTAGCTTGTTTTTAATTAAAATGCATATCACCCAAATCTGATAAAATTTTGAAGAATTCTACCCGCTTTCAGCTTTGAAACAAGGTACAAATTGCATGAATCGGATAATTAACTAGCAGTCTCCATGCTCGGTTAAGAGTACGAAATTTGCCTATTTGAGCAGCTTTTGGTCAGAAGACGGTGTAGAAAGTTCCCTGGGTCGAGTGAAACGATGACGTATTTTTAGGCATTTTTCTTAGCTCCGCCCCGCTTTGTTGTAGCTTCTAAGCAAAGAGAACGGCAAGGAAACAATAGGTTTGGATTAGCAAAACAACAGTTTTGCACGAGCATCACGCTTTTTTGTATATTTCTTTGCCGTCGCTGCATGACCACGACTTCAGACTTCTTAATTTCTCGTTTTGTGGAAGAGGTAAACACAAGACAACAATCATCTATAATTCTTTTTTAAAACCTAGATACAGTCCTTTAGAATACAACTCTAGAAAAATTCACTAACATTCAGTTTACAGACAGTGTGATGAATATTGAAACAGCCGTGGATTCACTTTTCAAGAGACCTAGGCCCACACGACGTCGATCTCTGACATGCGTCCTGGGCATATTAATTAAAGGAGAACAATGCCTCAAATACGTCACTCGTTCCAGGCCAAAAATGTCACCGCCTAAGATATTAAGACGTAATCCATCGGGAAACTGAGAAATTTCAATTTTCATGCGACAAAAACCTTGAACCGGAATAATTTAAACAATAGCGCATTCTTTTTTACATTTAATTAGTTGTCTGCAGTAACACCAAAGACTATTTCTCAGGGGAGCACGAGAAAATAAATGTCTTGAGGGGGCTCTTTTACTCGCGCTGTCATTGACTCTCGTTCCTGGTTTTTTGCTCCGAAACCGCACGGAAACTCTTGCTACGCAGGCTAGTGGATTATCCGAATTGTTTTTCTGTTTTTTTTTTTTTCCCTAATGCGCTCGTGATCTCAATATACGATGGGCTCTAGGAACGAGAAATCTAAGGGTCTATGACGCATTTTCGTTTCTGGGACATGACCCAAACACAAAAATCGATTTTTTTTTTCAAATTTTCGTACCCAGGCTTCTCGCAGGTTGGGTTAAGGTTGCGTTCTCCTATTCCTTTTTAATGAAACAAATATCGAGAAATGCCTTTTTGCTTCTACATCAAAACAAATCAATGATAAAAATGATTTATTGTGTCTATGCCAAATATCAAATAAATTATTTACAAGCGAATCGAGCCAGTTGAAAAACGCTTCGTGTATTCACACTTGGTTAATTAATACGTAATTTGTTTCAAAAGAAACAAAATTATTTTCTATATGAAGGTCATAACTAGAAATTAAAACAATATCGTCGTACTTCAAAACGTTATTAAATACATCTTATTTGATATCAGGTATTAAATAAAGAAAAAATCAGTGAAACGAAATACAATCAAGAGGTTGTTGCTGTTAAATGTTAGTTGATACGAACGTCGACTAAGGTTGGAAAATCGTTTAATATTTTAATTTATCACCGGAGGTGTTTTAGGAAATTAAAATGAAAGTACTGCAAGCCAAAACAGTGCTCAGAATAAGGTTTTGCCTATTTACACGCGGGAGAAAATAATTTGTTTACCCGGAAAACTTAATTGACAACAAACAATAGCAATTTATGTGAGGATAAGAAACTACAGCTTAAAAATCAAACTGCTTACCGGGAATTTCTCCAGCCCCTTTCTTTCCATAACCAAGCGATGGAGGAATGACTATCTTTCGCTTCTGTCCTCTGCACATGTCTAAGACGCCCTTCTCAAAACCTTTGATAACTGTCCCCGTTCCTAGCATGAATTCAAAAGGCATGTATCCCTTGGCCGGGTCAATGGTGGTATCGAACAGTCTTCCATCATCTAGCCAGCCCTTGTAGTGGATCACTACAAGATCACCAGATTTGGATTTGTTTGTGCAGTCTTCTGGGGTAAAAAGATCGTGAACTTCTATCTTAGCGTTCGGATCTGCTTCTTCGTCTTCTTCCTCTTCTTCGTGTTGATCTTCGTGACCTTCGTGTTCATCTTCGTCTTCATCGTCATCTTCATCATCGTCGTCGTCGTCCAATTCATCATGTTCTTCACTGTTTTTGCCTTTATTGTCCTCATCAGAGGCCTTCTTTTTCGTCTCCTGATCATCAGCGGTTTTCTTCTCCTTCGTCGAATCCTCTTTCACATCATGAACAACTTCTACTTTAGCATCGTCATCACTGTTCCCAGAATCCGAATTAGCTGCATTTTTACCTGATTTGTTCTCTTTTGTCGCTGCAATACAAAGCGCCAAAAAGCATAAAAGCAACACAAACTGCAGAGTTCTGTCCATGTCTGTGATGTTATGATAAATGAACAATAACACGCTCGCCGGAAAGTAGGACCATACGCTCTTTATTTGCCAACAGGTGGTGTGTTGACGCCTACAGGTAGCTGGATACAGCTGAATGGAACTACCTCCCTACCTGAACGATTTTCGCAAAAGAAAAATTTCCAAAAACACTCAACACATCATGACGGAAGAAACCTAAAGAAGCATCCATAATTTCATTTGTTAGAAAATCGCCAGTTTCCTTTCCTTTGTTTAACCTTCCATTTTGAATATTCAATCATGTTTTGCCACGTATTTTTAATGAGTAATTTACTCCCCGTGTGCCAATAAATTTTACCTGTATATTCAACACTAGCAGTCAAAATGAGCATTTTTTTCACTTAAAGATACGATACAAGATACTGCTTTTCCTCAAGTTTCGGCTAAAAGGATGGGCGCTTATTGGAAGGAGGGCGCTTGTTAAGTTTTCCTGTTGGTAAAAAGGCCTACCTTAGTTACATTATACAGTTTGCACTGAGAGTTATCAATAGAGTGGCAAAAGAAACAAGTTTTCCTTGTATCCCTACTATAAAAATGTGATGGGGGAGGGGAAGGGAGCGCTCATTCGGCGGCTCCAGCGCGGGGGCGGGGGAGGGCGCTCGTTTGATATTTTGGCCATGGGGTGGACGGTTATCAGAGCGTGGGCGCTTATTCGAAGAAATACGGTAATGGAGAGGTTTTGAATCGCTATAAATGTCATTTCTAAGTTGAAAATTACGCAAAAAACGCATGAACAGATAAAAATTGTACAAAGTAATTGTTATGAATGAAACTGACACGAAAACTGTGAATTTTTGTGTGAAATGAACAGTAAATAACAAATGGCACAAAAAATAATCGTAAACGTGAGTCTAAATCTGTTATTAACTTCCTTGTTCAAATTATCTAGAAAAAGCAAAACCGGCAAAGAACTAGTCACGAGCACGCACTAAAACAAGGCAACCCCTCGCCCCTTCCACCCCCTCCCCCCCCAAAAAAAACTAGATAAATAATAGAAATATAAACACAACATAAACCTTTTCGTGATGGTCGCCTTTCATTCACAGTTCTTTAGGGTTTAATTCAGACTATTCACGTGCTTAACCCTTATGACCTAGACAGGATGTACATTCTTCATACTTCTGTTTGTACATTTCTCATGGTATTAGTAAGGAGAATTTGTTTTACAACCAAAATCATTTTAACTTCACTTCATTTCCTTTTTTTCACGACTGAGCAATGTTCACTATGCGGAGAAACTAAGTGCTGGTTACTCTTAGAATTTTAAGGGTTTGAGGTTAACCACCTCGCACACAATAACCACACCAAATAAAACTGAAATACTGCTTGACCTCTGATAGGAATTGGGGCGCAGTTTGTGGCTCTGGCTTGCTTGCCTAGTATTTGTACGGCATCCTCCAGGCTTTCTTGATTAATGCATTTCGGTGATGTATCCGAGTCGAACGGCTCGCTCAGACCACGTGACCCGAAACACATAGGTCGAGCGCGTGCGTAATAATGAGGCCAAGGGATTGGGCAAGGTTCTTGCTATTTCTTGAAAAGAGTTCACGAGTTGCGAAAGCTGATTGAAGAGCATGCGCACTGACGGTCTAATGCCAATATATGCTTATTGGTCGCCAAAACAATTTTTTAAATTTGTGCCGGAGAAATTGAGACTTGCTTACATTACCAACTACTTTACAAAACCTTGTTCCTGCCTCACAGGTTTGATCGCAGGCGGGCTAGTAAGCCTAGTAATCATTGCAAAGGCTTATTTTTGCATTTATAATCGCAGAAAGTTTCTCCTCAAGCCTTGAACTATCATATTCTTAACTTTTAGTCACTAAATGAATGTAAGACTTTTCAGAGTCAAAGTTAAACGAACATGTGCTTGGGACTGAGTTCTTGAGTTGGCACCCTTGTGGATTTCTTGTCTACCTTTCGTGGTCTTTGGTTTTTACTTCCTGTGACTGGCTACAGTGGCTTTCAAATCCTTCCATGAAATCTCTTGGTATGGAATGTAACGATTGTTTCAGAAGTAGAGAGTAGCCGACCTTCTCACCACAAACGGAACTATGTAAATACGTTAGATAATCAAGAAGGTCCTTTCAGCATTCCAGAAGCTTGTGAAGTTCGTCTTTTCCATGAATCATTCAGTGCTAACACTAGCTTACTAATTCATCCATGAGTAAACGAAAACCGGGGCCATTTGAAGAGGAAAGCCACATTTTCTCAAAGAACTTGCCTGGTGAAAAATATTGAAAACAAGTTAGATAGGGTCTTTCCGTTATACTTGCCAACTACAAGGACCTAGTTTCCTAAAGCTACGTGTAAAGGGGCGCAACAACTTCCAACAATGTTGTTGATAAATGAAATAAATCATATATGAACTGCGTAAATGAAATGACAATGAAGAAACGATCGTCGCAGTGAACGCAATTTATACAATTGCGTAAAGAAGCCTGAAAAAAATTCAGGACTTCAACGGGGTTTGAACCCGTGACCTCGCGATTTACCGGTGCGATGCTCTACCAACTGAGCTATGAAGCCACTGATGTTTGGAGCAGGTCAGTTGTGGGTTCTTTTCATATTTTTTTTTTCAGGCTTCTTTACGCAATTGCATCAATTGCGTTCACTGCAACGATCATTTCTTCATTGTCATTTCATTTACGCAGTTCATATATGATTTATTTCATATATCATTAACATTGTTAGGACTTGTTGCGTCCGTTTGCACACCACTGCCAACACGGACGCAAAAATTCCCAACATTGCTGGCCCAACAATGTTGGAAGTCGTTGCGCCAGTTTGCACTTAGCTAAACGTTTGACCGGTTTCAAACTTTGTGCAACAACAGGCAACATCATGCAACAGGGTGTACAGACGGATGTAACATGTAACATCTAACAATGTTGGGAGTTGTTGGCCAACAAAGTTGCGTTTTGCACGGGGCTTAAATGATGGCTAACAAACGTGCTAACTTTTTCAGCTGTGTTGAACCTCAAAGCATTCATTGTCTGTAATAAAGAGGGGCGGTTTCTTCCACTGAGTTGATGTCGATTGACAGAAATACGGCTGTACTCTTTTTTTTTTAAGCTATTCACTTCGGCATTTTGCCGAAAAACGCCGTTTGAAGCTTGTCAAGCCATTTTCCAGTCACAATCTGACTAAAAAGGAACCAAACCTTCCCAACTTGTTGTGCTTGCTTTTATTCTTGGTGACATAAGCTACATAGAGCTTTTGAAGTTTGGGCTTACGCCGAAGGAAAAATTTCGAAAAGTTTATTCGCAGCACCTCAGCTTACAGTGTATACCTTCCTCTCTCTGTCCTTCCTACTTCTTTCGCTTTAATTTTCCTAACACATTTTTAACCCCTTTATTGGGCATTTGCTGGGCTTCATTTTGGTTGGAAAATTTCTTGCAAAACGCTGAACGTGAAAGTATTGTGGAAACGTCCAGGTGGGTAGTGGAACTTGAACAAGACTTTTTACTGGAGTTTTTTGGTCCAAATACAAGATTTTTTTTTGTCTTCTTCTCTAACCTATTAAACTGAGTTGCGCTCACTTTGGTATGGTTCTAGAGAGCTCGTTCCCCCTGCACAAGGTACATGTAGACATCAATTATTGTCTCTGAACGTTAAAATTGATGACATCAAAATTCATGCAAGGGATAATGATCCACACGGGCAGTTACGGATGGTTCTGTCGTGAATGGGTTTAACCCTTTAAGCCTTAAGAGTGATCAACATCAAATTTCTCCTTGTAATATCAGCGCTTTGTAAAACAGCGTGGTCATGAGAATTTTGGACATGATCACACAAGATGAATTTCTTTGATATTTTATAAACTTCTCCCCACCACTTCTGTAGCAAATGAATTGGGGCAACAAAATTAATAAGAATTCAAATTTTGATCTCAAGTTTAAACAAGAGAGAATACTTGGAAAAAGAGAGAATCTTAGGACGTTGGCCAGGATATGTGAATTTCCCTGAGGATATTTTTAGAGGTTGTAATTAAATGCAGGTCTAATTCCTGAGGCGTCTCTTTTGATATCACTGAATAAAAGTTTGCGGACCTCTCCAGAATCCACTTTCAATTAAATTCAAGTGTTCCATTTGTCTAAAAATAGCTTTGGTGGAATTCACATATACCAAGGGCAAGACAGAGTGTCTCTGTCTCTATCTGTATCACATTATTCTCTCTCGGTTTAAACAATAAATTACATGCATATCGAATTACCTTTTGTGGAAATCCTATGTGATAGAACAGTAGATATGACTGCTAACGTATTACTCCTTACATCTGCATCGGTAAAACTGAGCTAAAAAGCAAATTATAAGGTATAAACAACACAATAAGACAATGGTGCACATTAGCTAAAAGCAAACAACACAATAATGCACTCAGAAAATGTCATGTGAAGTTTATTGGGTGGCTAAACATCATAAAAGTAAATCTATAATTTGAGTGACTGACTATCAGATCTAAAGGGTACACTGCACATGTAGTTTCTATAAATCATTAAAAAAACCATGTGAAATGAGCCATGCTAAAAGAGGAAGCTCTCCAGGACAATTTAAAACAAGAGTGAATATATTTATGAGAAATTATATAAGTGACCATTATTTCTTTTAGTGGTGACCACCAGATAGAGGTTGGGTAGCATACAAGGTAGCTTTCCCTTCTGAATTGTGAGTGAAGTGAGCTGCAAGAGAACAAGTGAGTGAATGGCAAAACTGCCCCTCACACTCTTGTGCCTTCTTTTGTATTCAGCTTGTCCATGACTTCTGATGAAACCCTCCAAAAGGAGAGCTTGCTTGAAGGGCAGAGGTCAAGTCATTTTATAGCCTACATGTAATACTAACAATAATTATAATCTCAAATTTGTAAGATTGATCTCAAACTGTGATGAATTTCTTACAGCTAACCAACAAGGAAAGACATTGTGAAAACAATCAGAATTTTAAATTTACAGTACACTGCCTGATAGTAAGTGGCTGTTGCATGTACATTCATGACATGAAAAAACCTCTACATGTAGTTGTTACACATCTATCATATCTACCTTTCCCACTCCAATATTGACATATCCAAGCCTGTCGCACCTATATGGGTGACCCTGTTTATATGTTCTTATTGCGGTTGCAATGTCATCAGAGGCAGTTCCTACAGAAATTTACATAAATTGTTAACATTATTGAAGGGACAAAAAGGCCATGACAATTTAAACATTTTTTTTAATGGATGATATTACATGGCTTTGTGAAGATACAAAATTTCTCTTCAAAGAGTTGCAAATTTGGCCAAGTTGCCATGGTTCACAGAGAGAGAGCACAGCTCTAACCTTATACTAAAACATTACCTCTTCGAGTTGTCGGCATTTTTTCCCTTAGTATTCGTTGCAGAGGTCTCATTTTGCTCAGAAATTCCAAGGTGCAGAGAACTTGATGAAAGTCTGTCAACTCACCATCAGCAACCTTAATGACAAACAAAGAAAAATGACATCACAAGGATAGCAATAAGTTACACTGTAGAGTGCTAATGACGTGGCTACAAAAAGGGCCAGAGGAGACTGACATAAAAGCTGTTAACAGAATATTAGTCTTCTAGTAAGTGTTTATAATACTGTATAAACAGTATTATAAACACTTACAGTAATTGGCTTTAGCTGTTGCAGTGTCCCTGCCCTAATATTTTGTTTGCATATTTACAGTGGTTTTTTTTTTGTATTCTTCAGGGCAAAGCTAATAAAATAAAATAAAATAAAATAAATACAGCATAATGCCATGTGCCTTAGTCAGTGTTTTATTATTGTGTGTCTCTTGACATTTTTGGCAGATTCAGAGCAATTTCAACTAATGCTAAAATTAGCAGTCAATAAGCTCAGCCAGAATATTCATTAGAGTACAGCATGCAAAGAAAGTAGTGTCTGATAGCCCATGTCTGGTGGATTTTGCTATTGGGCTACTGAATTTTGTTTTTAACAGGCCGGATGGGCCAGTGAATTTTTTTGAGGAAGGAATTGCAAAATCAATTCTGCCCATCAAAAAGGTTTTTGGGGCTAGTGAGACCAATGACGTTTGGGCTAGTAATGCTAGCTTCAGCTTGCCTGGAAGGCAAGCAGTAAAACTGGCTTTCTTTGCACTCTGGAGTACCTTTTTAATGAGTTCTTCTCCACCAACAATGTTTGCTCCAGCATTCTTTGCAATCTCAGCAGCTTCATCCTAATGATTTAAAGGGAGTGTTAGGCATTCTGCATATCTACATTTTAAACTTGCCAGTAAAATAAAGAGATTATGGTGTATTAGAACCCTGAGTCCCTTATTTAGGCCATGAAATACCTGATAGTTGTTGTCAAGGACCACAAGTTGTAAATTTGGCTGAATAAAGCTGATTGTTTCGCTTTAATCAGGTGCAGTCCCCAACTGGATAGGCACACAACAGGATATGGTTAGTTTAAAAAAAGGACAGGTGATGCTCTATCTTTGGTCAACTACTGTATGCTGGGATCAAACTCATTTACATGGACAACTGGACTAAAGCAGTTTAATGAATAAACGCATTCATTGATTCTGCACAGTGCTGCTATTTAGTGTTGATTTGAAAGATATGTTTTATGGTTGATTCTTATTGCTTCCTGTGTTGCCTTTATGAAAGGAGAGACTGCAAATTCCCATGTGCTGACGGGAATGATACAAAAAGTAAACATGCAAATGACTGGTAGATTCTGGTGATTTCTTTAATTTCTGATCAACATCTCAGTTATATTCACTGAGTCAGCGGCTAAGTTTTAAGTTTTATACACGGTAACCTCTTACCTTTGCAAACACTAACACCTCTCTCTCCTTTCCATATTGTTTTGGAAGCAACATAAGTCCATGAAAAGGATTGATCTTAGTCTGTAATGTACAAAAAAGTGTTGAAAGAACACAGTTTACAATATACTCTGACTGTACGAGTTAGAACAGAGAGTTAAGATTTCAACTTTAATGACTTTAAACAAAACCAACCTTTTTATCTCCCATGTTGATCTTGATGTGCAGCTCGACAGTTTGATCGATATTAGTTATGGCATATGCACGGAGAGCGCTCAAAGCTTCCGCGAAAGTGTGACTAGGTGGAGCTCGGTAATTTAGAAGAAAAACATCGTCTTGGTGCTTCCGTTGTTCAAATGCACGTAGTGCTTTACGTTTAGCTGCAATCGTCCTCATATGAAGCAAAAGCGGACCCGAAAATGCGAATCTACGGCGACCTACAAAAAACCCAACTGCGGCCGCCATTTTGAATTTAGCAGAAAATCCGCTGTCAATAAGTTAGTTTAGCGGGCTCAGAAAAAAGGAAAGCAGTCAGAATGAGTCAGAAAGGGTAGTGGCATCATGTTTGATTTTTATCGAGAATTGATGGCGTAGAAAGTCTTCCAGAAATTTTAATGGCGAAGGCATTCACTTACAGCCGATTACCAGAGCATCAAGTAGCGGTTTATTTCGATGAACACGACAAAACAGGTAAAAGAGTTTTGGAGATGCGCGCCGCTTCGAACGAACCGTAGTAAAAAGCTCTCACATTTAAGCGGCTAGTAATTAAGCTTAAGATTTTCTTGATTCTAGCATATTTAAACATTTCTTGTTTTTCGTTAGACGGACCATCAGGATGGAATATTGCAGAATCTTTGATCTCGTTCTTCACGTTCTTGCTTCTCCTCGTTACGTTCCCGGCTTCTGTATTTTTCTGCGTGAAGGTAAGCTCGCAGATCAGACGAGGCCAAACTTAAATTTCATACATTTAAATGTTTACTGTTGAGAAATTAACAGAGCTAAAAACTGCAGCTGTCACACATAGCTTAAAGTATGTTCAAAATTCGCCTTTATTAATGAAATGTCAAATTATAATAAGTTCTGAGAAAGAGTTCTTAAATAACCAAAGCAGCGCAAAGCGGTTTTTTATTAGAACAACTTAAAGATCCTGTTTCTGTCAAGTTATATGAAGGCAAAAAAGAGGAGACTGCTTTTCAAAGGTCATGTCGTTATATGGCAACCCAACGCTGCAACCTTTCGGTTGCTAGAATAGATTTAAATGCGCTTGACCTTCAGCGAAGGGAAGCCGTATTGATATTGTTTTCAGGAAGTATTTATAACAAGAAAATGAATCCGGCTAACACTTGTGGTATGGCTATAAAAGGTCCAAACTACTGAGCATGCTCAAAATCTACAATCAGGGACAAGGTAGTTGACACACTTGTTTAAAAGGGGTGCTTTTATCAAACATTTAATTCATTTATTATTTCATTCCTTTTAAATGCCATAAATCCCCTCACCACCCGAAACAATGTTGTCTGAAGTAAAAGAAAGACTTGAGGGTCCAAAATACAACATTGATTTTTGGGGGAAGGGGTGGAGGTAGACAGGGGAAGGGGATAGGTAAGTCCACTATTCAAAAAGGGGCCATTTTATGGAAGTGTCTCAACACTTTTGTCCCTCTTTGTAGATGTTGAAAAAATAGACAACATGTACATGTACATAATTGTATTTGAAGCCTTTTTTTCTTGATGACTGGCTTTATACACCTGTACTCCCTAACTGCCAAGTTGGCCTACAAGGAAACATTTCGTATCGATCGTTTTCCTTTTTATGTAGAAAAGAGACTCTGTAAAGCAAGGAGAAGAGACTCTTGTGTTAGGAGAAGATCGGAGGCTGACTGCATTATACTTTTGTGTTTTGCTCAATGTAACCTCCTTCATCACAGAAAAGGGACCATTTCCCGTACCAAGACAAAAAATTAAATCTATCTGTAACTAATGCTGATAAATTACTTAAATACATCATGTATTCAGTAAGCACTTCCCCCTGGGAATTTGTCCTGTATTTGTCAAGTTTTGTGTTCCGAAATGGACATGCTTAGAATTAACTGATTAATAATTTAAAGATATACAAGAAAGTATTTATGATTTAATGATATACAGTGGAACCTCTATATAACAAAGGGCCAAGGGACTTGTTCACTATAATGAGGTTTCGTTATTAACAAGGTTCTTTTTCATATATTTTATTATTATTGGGGTAACGAAAATCGTTGTTATACCGAGGACTTCGTTTATAGGGGTTCGTTATATTGAGGTTCTTGAAATTGTAGTTTTTATTGTCAGTACTTACAAGTCATCAATTTTGACTCACAGCAACTTGAACTTCTGATAAAATCATTTAGACTTTGACTGAATTTTAACTTATTCTGCATTATACATAACAGATTATCAAAGACTATGAGAGGGCAGTGATATTTCGTCTGGGAAGACTGTTACCCCAGAAAGGACCTGGTTAGTTACCATTTTTTCTGCTTGTAATTTCATATTTCACGCATGGAACTTCAGTCGACATATCTCTTTCTTACCTCTTATGTAACTGTTTTGGACATCTTTAAACTATGGCATTTTATTAAAAATAGAACATCAACTATCAGATATAAAATTAAAAGCAGTCATTATAACCCCAATCTACTATACAATATTGCATTGATTGTAGCAGGATACTCAGTATGTCTTTGCCCTAGCTCCCCCTTCCCCACCCAACAGCTCTTCAGTGTAAAGCTAGGAAGAGAACTGAAATTATAGCCTTCTGAGAATGGGCTGGACTGGGCAGTTTTCCTCATAGAGGTAAATTAAATGCCCGATCAAAGTATTCTAGTAAAGAAAGTCAGTCCCATTATGTTAAGTTGCCTGCAGGCAGACGTCTCCTGCAACAAAGGAAATAGGAGACATCTACATGCAGGCAATATGTTAAGAGGTAGTATTAATAACAGAAGTATTTGCAAACCTACTGTATATGTTGTGGTTCAATTTTTCCCTTGGTGTAAATTTTATTTTCCTTTTAATTGTTTTTAATAAACTCAATATCATACATGTACATTATTACCATACCACAAAACAAAGGAAAATGAAATTTACACCAAGGATAAAATTGAACCACAACATATACAATATTGTCCACTCACTGCCAACCACTCATGACTACTAACCACTCGAGAGAGACTGGTAGTGTCATTAAGTTATTCCTTTGATCCCTGCCATAAAAGAGATAGTTTCTAATTTGCAAAGTCCCTTTCTCTAACATTTTGGAAGATAGTATAAGATTTAAATGCGGCCCCTGTGCTGTTTGTCTGACAGTACATGGTTAATGCACGAAAGAAATAGAGAATTCTTATCTCAGATTTTCAGACCAAATAATAATTATGAATGTACCTACGGTACCTTTGAGGCTCATCTTCAGGGTTGTGTCTTGTACATCTATCCCACCCCTAGTCAAGGTAGATCCTCATCAAATATACTTGTTTTGACTGCTTCCCTGACAGCTGTCAGCTGAACTGGTCATAGTTTACCAATATTAATTTATTAAACATAAAAACATAACAGTTCTGATTTTTAACATGTCACTTTGATTCAGGTGTGATATTCATCAATCCTTGCATTGATGCTTGGACCAGAGTAGACACAAGAGCCAGAGCATTTAGCGTACCTCCTCAGCAGGTTTTGTATTTTTCTGTTTATGCATGCACAGTAATACCCATAAAATGCATGGGCCCAGAAATATAACTTGCCAGACATTGGCCAGATGGACGTAAGATGGGTCTTTAAAGACCCATTTTATGTATACCGTACAGCTCCCTTACATATAACTTGATGTGCTACAAAGAAAAGCAAAGGGTTGTGGTCTATTGAAAAGCCAATAACAGGGACCTTTAATAAGGGGTCATCTGTTGTGACAAAGGGCTAGGACTTAAAACATTATCTTTTCAGTTCTTTACAGTCATGTCATCGTAATTTCCATTGTACGCTGGTGGACAGCGGATTTCAAGGAAGTCCCTGATGCAGTCCTCTATGACTGGTGTAGTTATAATTAAATTTCGACCCTGCTCACCATAGAGCCTCCAGTAGCTCAGTGGTTGGAGCGTCCAAACTATAACTCAGAGGGTTGTGAGTTTGATTCTCACCTTCTCTGAGCTTTCTGGTATAAAAATTGTCCTTCTTCCAAAGTAATCGCATATCTGGTATTTAAGTCAACAATGTTATGATTTATCCCTACTTCACAGGTACGCACTTGTGATGGAGGGTATGCCACAGTTGGTGCTGAGGTACATTTCAGTATTAAGGATGTAGTTTTGTCGAAAACAGCTGTCCAGGACCTTAACCATTCCCTACGTATGCTTGCTCAAACATCACTTGTTAGTTGTCTGGGCTCCAGGAAGCTAACAGAAATTCAACACGACAGGAAATTTATCAACAAACAAGTTCAGGTGATGCGTTGTTTGTACTTTCTGTTTAACAATTATGTCACTTATTAGTATACTGTTAACCCTTTAAGACCCAAGGATGGTCAACATCATTATCATTTTCTCTGAACAATATCACTATAATTTTATATAATCAAGAAAAAAATTTTGAGAATTAATGTAATGATCACTAAAGGGAAAACGCTTTGATATTTTAAGTTATCTTAAGTTATCTTATAAGTTTTCTCAACTTGTAATAATATTATTCTGTAACCCTTTAAGAGTGATCAGCATCAAATTTCTCCTTGTAATATCAATGCTTTGTATTAACAACAGAGTGGTCATGAGAATTACGGACATGGTCACACAAGATGAATTTGCTTGATATTTTGTCAACTTCTCCCCACTACTTCTGTAGGAAATGAATAGGAGCAACAAATGAGAATTCAAATTTTGATCTTAGGGTTTAAAGGGTTATGAGAATTTATGGAGATCAGTCCAGAGAATTTGTATGTGGACACTTGGGCTTAAAGAGTTAAGAAGTACAGTTGTTTGAAGGTGGTGTAAGCTTTTTTTTTTCTATTTATTACATCCACTTTGAAATCACTGGCGATCTGTGAAATCTGATTGGCTCTCAGCAGTGTGATTTATTTCCAAATCACACCATTTTTTGCTCTAAATGGCATCTTTTTCCCAGCCAATGAAAAAGGAACATTTATTTAAAACAGCACAACCAAACTGCTTTCAAATTTTGTTTAAAGTAACAAATCTTATACCACTACATGAGAAATTTCTGCAATTTGATTGGCTTAGAGCAGTGGTATTTCGCCTTAATTTGAAATACCTACATGTGAAAATTACCAAACTTTTGCAGAGTGTAGTGTAAACATATAATAGCATGATTTGTACGTGATATTTGGCATAAATAACACGTGTGAAATTTCAAATTGTCTCAAATTTCACTCGCTTAACAGCTCGTGAAATTATGTATATGTAACAATTTCAAAATATTACTCATGGTATTTATACTAAATATCACTACTAATCATAACTATAACAAATTGTCAAATCTGATTGGCTCTCAACTGCCCTGATTTCAGCCTTAATTGGACAGTTTGATAGGACAGTACGCGTCATGCCTAAGTAATTGGACAGTACGCGCCATCACGCGCGTGCTTAAATAGCCTTTTTTTTCACTGCTAGCAAAACAAAATTTCGAATTTCTTGTGTTTTGATTTAAAAAATAGCCTATTATATCACAAATTTTGTTAAAGTTATGATTAATTGGTAACAGAACTTTGTGTCGTCCAATTCGGCCTGTAATCATACTCGTGATTTAAACAAATCAGACTCCCGCTACGCCGTCGTCCGATTTTGTTAATCACTCGTATGATTACAGACCGAATTGGACTCTACTCAGTCCTGTTACCATTACAAATCATACTATTACCATTATTTATCACTATTTGTTTGCATTCAGAATCATGTGTCTTACCGTTGATTTCTTCATCTTACACTCTGTCTTAGCGCCTATTCCTAAAAGCTCTTAGATGCCTGGATATTGGCCAAGGTCTTTTCTCCCAAAAACAAAAGCATGTGCCCAATTCCAGCCAGTTTGACTGGACAAGCCTGGTCAATAAAGCATGTATTATTTTATGGCTAAAATATTTTTTCTGGTACAAACAAGTAATGCTGTGAGGGCAAGACAACAGAATTCGCTTCATATTACCTGTTTGTGGCGCCTGTAATGTAATAATTACATCATGGGATACCTTCTAATTATTAGACGATATCCCATGTAATTTCGAAATTTTTGTGAAAACATGTTCCTTATGTTTCCGCAATGAAGGGCTTGAAAACAGTCTTGTCTGTTAGTCTGTGACAAGAATTACTATTCAAGAGAATTTGTAATTATTGTTGCAACTTATATTTGTCAACTTGAAATGTAAATAGTGTGAAATAAAATTAACCGGTGAACCAATAGATTGTCTTGCTGGGTAAGTAACTTTTAAACAGCTGTTTTAAAGCTTACTTAGTGCCCAATGGGCAAGGGACTAAGCAAGTCATCCTCTAACAAAATTATTGACGAGGACAAGCAAGTAGTGGTCACGGGAAAGCAAAATATGTGAGCTACTTGCCCAAAAGACAAGCTAGAGTTCAAGCTTTTTTCGAGCCCTGCAATGAATAGTTACATTTTAATAATGGTAATTACTAAATATATTTATTGTATTTTTGTTTTGTTTTCATGATAACAGGAAGTTGTTCACAAAGGAGCAGCAGTATGGGGCGTAGACATAAAGAAAATTGAAATGTAAGTACATGTACAACGGAAGAGCTATGAGGGTGATGAAACGTTAGCCTGAGAAAACAGCCGACATTTGGCGACGCTACAACTGGTTTCCCCACCAAATGATGTTTGAGAAATGAGCGCAGAAATTCCATACTGATGACGCGTCACTACCCAGATCTGGGTAGTGCTTCTGATTGGTTGAATCAAATTTCCCACGCGGCACGACCAATCAGAAGCACTACCCAGATCTGGGTAGTGACGCGTCATCAGTATGGAATTTCTGCGCTCGTTTCACAGACGTCATTTCGCGGGGAAACCAGTGGCAGCGTCGCCAAATGTTGGCTGTTTTCTCAGGCTAATAAAATGTTAATGTACTTTTGACCAACACGGTAAAGATCATGGTTGCATATAAGTCGAGTGAACTTTGTCTAGTTCTACGGGGGGGTTTCACTTTTAAGAACCTCAGGTATTGACAACTGAGTGTTTCAAAAGCTTGTTTCAAATTAGACCGCCCCCTTTAAAATTTTTCCCCCGGTGAGTGAAGAGCATTTTAAATTTGGTCTTCATTTGACAAATGTGGAGTGTTGAGTATCTCTGGGAACATCTTTGCAAATGACCATGGTGTAAAAACATTTAATTTCTCAGTATTTATCGAAAATCAGACTGAACGAAAGGTATTAACTGAAACTCCCATGTCAAAGATTTCAAAGCCGTCGCTCGTTTAAAAGCCGAGAGTTTTTAAACCTGATAATACTGACTACGAGTTTTTTCAACGGATTCAAAATCTCTGATATAGATCAACTCATTCTTGCACTAACATTTAGATTTGGGGTTATTTTGGTCTAAAAAATTGGACGTAAAGTTTAGTCGTGTCTTTATCAGATATAAAGACACTCATTTAACATTTTATTTCTTTCGTTTTTTCTTCTTGAATTATTAATGAGTTTCTTTTTATGATTGGCTGCAATCGTACCCACTCTGCAATTGGCAAAAAATCGTACTAATACCCGTGTTAATGACAAATTTGAATAAAGAGGTTCCTTATTACACCTTACTGAGACAACATCATCAATGAGGTAAAAGTGATTTTTTTAATCAATTATGGCCAAGTCAAGGCAGCAGTGTTTTCCCACGCCCTCGCTTTTAACGGTAGTTTGCACGATTTGGGCAAGTGTCTTCTGCCACGAACCACGGGCAAACGAAGTCGATCAGTGAGGTCGCCATCGGCACGAAGTTCAAGAAAAAATTTTTTTCTAGAAAAAAATTTGAAGTTTTGTTAGAGGAGGGTGTGGCAAAACTAAACCGCAAATCGGCAACGGTAATCAGTTTCTGGTTTTGAAGTTTGCTTGCGCTGGTGTCCTGAACTTTATGGTGACTCGTTAGTGCACAATTGACCTGTCAAAATCAAATGAAAGTGTGTTGAGGGTTTTCTGACTCGTGCAATAAGAGAAGACTCTTCTCTTATTGAGTCAAGACAATGGATGTTTACCTCAACGGACATCCGAGAATGAACAGAAATTCCATTTTATTAGTATTTTAATGGATCCGGTTAAAAAGCGCAAGGAAATGAGCTAAAAGACAGTTTAAAATTAAAATTAAGATAGTAGTCATTTTCGGGCAAATATACTAGACTGTGCTTAAAAATATTAAACTATGCAATATTTTTTAATGTAGACATGTTTAATTAGCAGTTTATTAAAAACCTAAATTCAAGATTTTTTACCTTAAGAAAGCCGTTAAGTGGAGGCGTTGTCATGATAATTGAACATCTGTTTCACACCGAATTCCTGACAGGAGAAGGTTTATGTTCATTATTATTTGCAATGTGAAACTAGGTACACTAGAGTGAATCTTTCGCTGTGATACCCGACTCTACACTACGTCCCAATAAAACATATCAGATTATCTTTATTGCAGTAACCAAGTAAGAATATTCTCTTCCTGTTAAAAATATGTCAGATCTGAGTCTCAAGTATATTGTCACTTTGATCAAGGTGAAACTTCTGTTGCTTTTATTTTTATTGTTTAAAAAAACTTGAAAACACTTTTCAGAAAATCCTTGTTTTTTGTAAATACACTCCTTGTAAAAGAATATACTAATTAATACGAAATCCCTTATTACTATTAAAAAAATTAGTCCAGGTCAATTGTAAATCTAGTCAAAAGGTTTGAAACTAGATATGCACAGAAGCTACCGAAATAATTATTGTCAGAATAAAATCGGCAAGAATTACGAGCTAAACGTACAGAAAAGTCTGCCAGGAAAGCGTAATCGTGTTGGTAATGAATTTTGTTAATCTCTTCGTTCTAAAAAGGGAAGTTCTTTTTAAAATTCAATATTGTTTATTTTGTTTTTGTTATTGCCTTCAAATAACTGTTGTCATTAGAAAAGACAAGCCCTCCTCTTTTAAATGTGGTTATGTAATATCATAGGGCGCAAATTAAAACGTTACTAATGTATAACGATGGATTTTAACAATACTAAGGGTAGTGGTATCTCTGAAAATGAAATTGGGTGAACTTACAGAAAAATAATCCCACTATCAGATAAAGTAAAACAAGTCACATGTTGTATTGTTCGTATTTTCTGTGGGAAGTTAGAAAACGAGAGTCATATTCTTCATGGCTGTCCGCTTTCTGTTTTAGCAGCGACAGGAAACCAGTGAACAATACAGAAAAGTAGGCTTATGCGCCGCAGAAAATTACCCACTAATTGCAAGACGCATTGCACGAAGTCGCATTTTCAGCAAACGGTCTAACAGTTCACACCAACTGATAAACGAGAGCGTAAATTTTGCTGCAAGTGAAATGCTTAATATGGCAGCAGCGATCAAGTACAACTAAGAACAAGTTGAACTAAAGACTAGCTGACATTTCGATTGGTGAGTTGCAATTCTTATACTACTTTTATTGATTCCAGTGCATTTTCGATCTCATGTTATTTGGTCGAATATAAGATACTAATTTTTTTGTCTTTTTTCTCTCAGCGTTTTCGGCTCAATTGCTTCGGAGAGGTATTGACTGCAGTTTTCAAGAAATTTGCGCATCGGGAACGAGTTTTTCTCATTTGCAACTGAGGTCAGTACAGCAAAACTAAGTATAAACGATAAATATTTGAAAGCACAGTCTTTAGAGTACTTCAGTCGTTGTACATTTAGCCAACAACCTGATAATTTCGTTGAAGTCCTGAATTTTTGTATGCAGTTGCATAAATTGCGTTCACAACTGCAAGGATCATTTGTCATAAATTGATTTCATTTCCACAGTTCTTATATGATTTATTTCATATATATCTGTCACATTTATTTCTTTCGCGGGAACATATGAACACATAATTGACCAGCTCCCAACATCAGTGGCTTCATAGCTCAGTTGGTGAGAGCATCGCACCGGTATCGCCAGGTCACGGGTTCAAACCCTGTTAAAGTCCTGAATTTTTTTCAGGCTTCTTGCGCGTTCACAACGCGAGGATCATTCTTCATTTGATTTCATTTCGGCAGTTCTTATATCATTTATTTCATATACAGTCTGTACATCTATCACAATTTCGTTTTCATTGCTAGCCCGTGTTTTGCTGACCAAAAATAATGTGAAAAGCTCATCTTTTCGAACCAGCGAGTGCTTCACCCGTCAGGCACGTGTTCTTTTTTTTTTCAAACTTTAGATTAATTTAAATTTTAATACTGATAATCAGCCTTTTAAACTTGGTTCAACAGCAGATTAAAAAACAAACAAACAACGACAAAAAAAGCAAATAGTGCGAACAGTAAAACTCTAATGAAAGCTAATAACAGTTTGCGCGCGGTTATGTCGGACTGTCGCACGTAGCAGATTCACGATCCTCGGAGGAACTGAGGTGGGGAGGAGAAAAATAGAAAGGTCAATGTCAAGGGGGCACTACAACGTTTTATCCCAAAATTTTGCTTTCTGAACACGCCCAAAACTAAGAAAGCTGTAATTTTCATCAGGAGCAGAAGTGAGCATAGTGCTCGACTTACAAGCAATTACGTTTTGGGTGGCCAAGATAGTGACCAAAAAACGGCTTGAATAGATTCAAAAAGGATTTTTCGGAAAACGACGAGTTGCGAATTGTTTGAATTGACTCAAATCCGATGACAGTATTCGAAGTGGTCTATATTCAACGCCATTAAGGGTTCATTATCGTTTTTCTAATTTTATTTGCAGATGGAACGTTCTTCCCAATTGCTTTCCAACCCTTTGTTCATTAACAATCAGTCCTCTGTAACCAACAGCACAGCAGCTGCAGCGATGACAGCTTCAGTTTTTGTGGTCACCCCAGTGGGTTTCGATACAAAACTTATCCTTTTTGTGCTGTTTTTAATTGTTGGAGTCAGTGGATTGGTGGGCAACATCCTTATTCTTTATTTTCTTTCCAAGAAAAAGTCAGTTCCTTTTCTTCAGTCTTCTTCTTTCCTCAGGAACTTCGACCTCTACATGAAGAGTTTAGCCCTTTCAGACATACTTTCTTGTTCTATTTCAGTTCCTTTGGCTTCTGTAGAAATAATGTATGATGTATTCCAAAGTGGCTGGCCTTGTAGAACAGTTCGATATATCAGTGTTACGTTTACCTTTATAACAATAAATAATTTAATTGCTATAAGCACCTAGAGGTTTCTGTCAACCCGTGATGTTCCTAAAACGTTTAGTTTTACTTCTGTCCGTAAAATAGTGTATGCTGCGTGGATTGCAGTCTTAATAGTTGCATTGGCTCCTGCCGCAACAATGAATGGTATAAAATACGATATTAACGCTACACATTACACAGTGGTCTGTAAACCTGATACCAGGTATCTACCTTACAGAGCAACTGTAGTAAGCATTGTACTGATACAGTACTTCTTACCCAGCATTGCTTTGATTGGTATTAACATCGTCTTGGCCAGAAGGGTGTGGAAAATAAGGAAAAGAAGGGTCGATGTACTGCAAGATAACGCCGTTAGGGCGAGAATGAGATCACACCAAATCAAAACAACTAATTTACTTATAATTGTCACCTTGGCTTTTGTTATTCCTTATTGTTTATTACTTTACTATTCAGCCTATGTTGCGATTGTCAAGCCTCCGCTTGATGTGCAGGTCGATTTTGTTTTGAGATATTCTAGTGCGGTGCTCATCTTTTCCAACAGTGCGGTGAACTTCGTCATATATCTGATTCAGATGAAGGATTTCCGTGTATTTTTAAAGCAAGTTTTATGCTGCAAGGGTTATAATGCTTAGGTTAACTCTACAGGGCCTGGTTAATACATTTAGGAAAACAAGATAAAATCAATATTCAGAATCCTCTGTGGAAGTAGGAATTCAAAATTCTTGAGGTCACTGTTTTGGTTCTTCTTTTTAAGGTCAGTTTTACCAAACATCTAATTTGGTATGCAGATTTTATATGAGGAATAAGCTGCACCTCTAAATACTGTTAGCTGTAATGTAGTGCACTTTATAGTCTAGTGAACACACCTATTATCTTAACCAGGGCTCAACCGCACAATATTTCCAGATCTAGTTTATTCATTAGCTTAGCCGCTATGCCCGAAGTTCAATTCTCGGGTCACTTTTACGAATGAAATCAAGAAAAATAACTGTACAATATTTCTTAATTAACAATTAATGAATGAGGCTGAGTATCTTATGAAGAATTATGGGGATCGAGGAGGGTGTTATCCGTCGAGGCCGTAGGCCGAGGCGGATAACACCCTCCGAGATCTCCATAATTCTTCATATGACACGAAAGCCGAATTCGATAATTCTTAATTAAGAAATGTTGTACAGTTGTTTTATTATTCATTCAAAATAATTCCTAGTTTAAAAACATAGCTAAAACATGCTTACCTCCATCGATGTTAAGTTCATCTTCGATAGTGCACGTTTAGGGTTGTTCAGCTCCGCAAATATTCTCCAAATAGCAGATGTCGCCCTTCGAGTTGTCTTCTTGCTGTTCTTGCCATGTTTTCAGCTATTATTTCGCCTAGTTCTTACTCTTGAAACGAGTGAAATGTCCGTCATTTTTGTTTGCACAACCAAAACAACTCAACCTCGTCCCCAGTTCATCTCGGTTGACGGTTCATTAACCTGCAAAAACGCTGCACTTTTGATGTCATGAGTTCATTAAACGCAAAATTCTTCCAAATTTGGTCATCAGTAGCTGGTTATGGTGAATTATGCGTGTGCTTTTAGCCAATCAGAACCGGGGAAATATTTTGAATGAATAATCATTGTAAATAATTCAACAGGAATAATTTAATCATGATTGTATAAGAATATATAACAGTTATTCCACCGATTCTTGTTAAATATCACATGGATGACTGAACGCGTGAGCCCGTATCCAACGTCCGCTCTCAGTTCGTACTGATTAGGCATTGAATAATTTTTGCTTCGTATCACCAAGTAATAAACTTGTTTTCAGGAAAAATACTTGATTGTGGTTCATTTCATTAAGAATAAAAGATGTTCAACAGTATTGAAACAAGAAAAATGTAAAGTTACTCAAAATGTCCACTTCAATTTTCAAGTTCGTCTTGAAACTTGTCAACGGCGAAAAGATAAGAGCGAGGGCATTCGTTACAAATTGTTGCAACTATATATAAATATATCTTTTAATATCTTTAATGTATATCTTTAAAGTAATGGCTAAGAAAAGAAACGATTAAGGCAGGCATATACTAAAACTCACTATTGTGTAAATAGCTGTTCAGTGGAAAAAAATAAATTCATTTGTTTAACTGTCAGACTCTGTTTAGACTATTTTGTTTCCACTCCACAAGTGTGAGAACAAAGTGCGGCAACCTAGGAAAGTGAGGGTGGCTAATTGGTGAACATCTCAGATGTCAATGTTACCGGGAAAGTTCCAAATGCTTTTGAAGTCCCCGTTCTGACTGGCCAGAAAAGGAGGATTCAATGGGGTTAACCGTCAGCCGTCAAACGGCTTCAAATTTAAACGTCAACCGTCGAAACATGTTATTTTTTACCGTCAACCGCCAAAAACGTAGATTAACATTAACCATCAAAAAGTTTTAAGGTACCTTAAAATTCCGAAAATAAGCCCCTACATGTATAAGCGTATAAGCCCCTCCAAATATAAGCCCCCCACACTTGTAACGCAAAAAACCCTTCGTTAAATCGCCCCTCCAAATATAAGCACCCCGGGTGGCTTGTACTTGGAAATTGCCCTCAAATACAAAGTAAACTATATTTTGAAAATGCAACCCCATTATAGTCAATCCAGTCGTGAAATTGCGACCCCATCCAGCGGCACATCCCCATAAGCCTCTTATAAGGAAGTACCCCCCTTACTGCTGGGGGCTAACCGCTGTCTATAGTATGAATGGAAATACCTAATTATGTGCGCTCACGGTGTGTCAGTGAGAACCTAACAGAAGAGGTTAAAGGACCTTGAAAGGTTTTTTTAATATTAATAATATTTAATGTTAGCTTTAGGTTATTCCTTAGTACTGCATTGCGCATCTTTAACCGTGAATAATTTCTTGCGTGGTTAGCGCGTGCCATTAAAACATGGCGGCTTTTGCCTTAAAGCTGGAGCTCCCTAGAGAGGTAAAACGTCATTTGCTCTTAAACGGGTGCGGTTATCATTTTTTTAAATCTTTTTTAAACTGAGCAGAAACGTTCTCTCTGTAGAATGAGTCGGACCAATTCCCAGTGCAGAAAAAGGAGCAATGATCGGAAACGTGTTCAGAGCATGTGCTCTTAAATATAATCATGTTGATATTGTAAGGAATTATTGCGTGTACACAAGGTGCTGCTGCTCCTGAACGAATATGGGGACCCTCCGCTTTTATTTCAAAGTTTAAGTCCCCATAATATACCATAAACAACAAATCCGTAAAGTTTGAGAAAAGTCTCACTGCTGACCTGCGAATCCTGACGCATTGTCCAAGCGAGGGCCGAAAATACGTCTACGTTTGCAGGCTATCCCATTGCTGGTTCTGTTTCAGAGGAATCACCTTTGGTTACAGTTGAGACATTAGACACCATTCCGTATACTTTTAAGTAGTCCTTTCATGGACAAAACATGTGTGCGAGACGATTATTCCGTGGCCCTTCTACATTGTATTAACAGGGTCCCACTGTAGTTAACTCGGCTCAGTTAAAGGGGTTATGCCACGTGGATATTGCTGTTTTTGGTCAATTTTGTGCAAAAGTCATAAGTTAGTACCTTTAGCCATACACAGAATGCTCCTGTACAGTTATGAAAAAGATATCAAACAAATCTTATCAGGGAACACTAACCGTGATAATTTTTTTCGTGATTTTTTTTTGCAGCCATAGCTTTAAAACTTGAAAAAGTTGGCCAAATCTTTTCAAGTTTCAATCCATGTCCATCCTTGCTTACCCTGGGTACCAGAGGTATTTTCTCGCGTGCGACGGGGAGCTTCGTTTCGTCGGCCGCAGGCCGACACGTGTTCGGCCGAAGGCCGAAGACACGACCGGCGGGTAACTTTTTAAGACTTGAGCAAAACCGGAAACCGCGCATGAAGCCTCTGGCACCAAGGGTAATCCTTGCCATCCGTAGCAAGAGACGACGGGAAACAGTTTCAATGCCCAAATATAATCTAGAATTACAAAACTCGACCAGTATTTTTTGAAATCAATTGATGCGAAGACACGTCGTCACTTTTTAAAAAGACAGCAAATAACGTGACTTAGCCCCTGTAAAGCGTGATGTCACGCAAGTTCACACTGACTTATTTCTTGTGTAACTTTCAGGTCAGCGGTGAAGGTGTTGAAGGAGGCCGAAGAGCCTGTCAGTGCTTTGTCTGCCCTTTTTGGCGGAGGAGGGTCTCAGAGTTCAAAGCTTGGAAGCATGACATTCGCGGCTGACCCATCAGGGTTGGCGAGTATGTTTTCAGGTACAGTGCGGGTTTACTAGTGTAGGTTTAGTTTCACTCAAATAGGCACTGTTGAGTAATTTGAAAATCCCTCAGTTACATTGTATAACAGTGCATGGAAATATATGTCTATACCTTTCATGTAGTAAATCTAATTACGGTCGCCTACTGTCAAGGCTTAAGACCGAAGACCTTTGTGCACCCTCGAGGTTACTGTTTGAAGTTGTTGACAAAATCCCGAGGAAAAGGCCTTTTAGATTTCCTCCCAAGAATTCACTTGAAGTCTCAGTACTTCTTGATGTGACCGGGGTAGTTATATAAGAGAAAACAACCTGTTTTTTGCAAACCTTCCTTCTTTGGGGGTACTCACATGGGCAAACCCAGGTTCATAGTCCCCTAGTTTTTCCTAAAGATCGTCGGAATCAAGCGCTTACCCACCCTTACGGGCGGCCATCTTAGTTTATAAAATACCGAGTCTAGCGTGTGGATGAGTATTTAATCAAGGTTTAGCCGATATTTAGTAAAGCCGCGTTCCTAATTATCTTCGGTTTAGCTAAAACTGAGCCTGCGATAGGTGTGAATAGCAACAACGACGGCGACGGCCACGAAAACGTCACTTAAAAAGGGAATTCGCGCTTCTTCAAACTTAATCGCGCTTATTCCATCCCGTTCAATTTATCAAATGTTGGCAACTTTCTCTGGAGTTGAATTCTAAAAGACTAGCGAAGTTCAGGAAAAGAAAAGAGAAAGTCTTGTGTCCACGTCCTCCAAAAAAAGTTAAATTAGGCATTTTCGCGCCGAAGTCGTGCAGTAACGGCTAAGAGAAGCGTACAAAAAAGCGTGATGCACGTTCAAAGTTGTTTTCTTGCTTCATAAACCTATTGCTTTTTTTGCCGTTCTCGTTCTCGTTGCCGTCGCCATTGTCGTTGCTCAAGCTTCCTAATGGAACGGGGAGGGGAGGGGAAGGTAAAAGGGAGAAAAAAGCTCCCTCCCCTACCCATTTCGACGCCTCCCACGCAGGCTACCAGAACTTGGATCTAAAACGTTGCTTTCAGTGAGCAGTGTCAAGAAGGCACTTAGCTCTACTTCAACTAGACAAAAAGAGGTCAACTGATCATGATTGTCTGCTGCGAAAAGTTACGACGAAAAGCTTAAAAGTTCGTCATTGCTCAATGCTCCTTTATTAATGACGGAGCCACCTTAAGCGTAGTGCCATTTATAATGTATACAAGGAAAAAGGACGGTCAGTTCATGTTGTTTCTAAGCTGTTCTTCAGAAAAGTAAATGTTTTTTGCTTGTAGCTTTGGGTGGAGACAATGCTGTACGAAGTGCACCCTCCCCACCAGATCCCCCCGTTACCTCTGCTCAATCTGGACATGAAAGAACTAGGGTCGATCTTCTAACTCCTGAGCAGCTAGTCAAGTTGGTCAGCGGTGTTCTCAATGAAAGCCTTGTAAAGGAGATCGGTGGAATGTTCCAATTTAACATTACTGGAGAAAGTGGGGGAACTTGGTTTCTTGATCTAAGAAGCGGACATGGGAGAATTTATGCGGAAAAACAAGGAGATAATCCTGATGTAGTACTAACTATGAGCGTTGAAAATATGCAACAGATATTCTACGGACAAACTACGGCGTTTGATGCCTACATGCAAGGTGCATTGACTGTCGATGGCGACTTGAGAATGGCCATGAGTTTAGAGGCTATTGTGAAAAAGCTCAGAGAAAAACCACTTGTTCCGGATCGACAGGTTTCTCAAAGACCGGGTGTTTATATTGTATAGAAGTACGTTGCTATTATTCAAGTTTACAAAGAAGGTAGACATTTCTTGTTAGTGTATAAATTTACGTAAGATGCCTTAAACAAGGGATTCCTTGATCAGTATATCCCTTGTCACTATATCTTTGTTATTCTGATTACCGAAAGCTCTCGAAGATTACCAAAGTCATCCGATTCCAAGTTCGATAAGTGAAGAAGACACGAAGATGTTTCGACTGTTACTTACCAAACTACCAACAGTGACCTCGTACACGGTAACGTCCTTTAGTGTTTATAACTGACTTTAGGCGAATTGTCACTTGCTAATGTTGGTCGGACCGAAAAAGCGAATTTGACGGAAAGCGGAAAACTACAATCCTGGCCATAGTGTTTTGCAACATTTCCCTTTTCTCTCGTCGTTGTGACATCAAATCTAGAAGTAACCAACAATCCACAGTCAAAAACTGCTTAACGAATGTTTCTTTCCCCGAAACAAAGTTGAAGTGTGTAAGGTAAACCAACACAACCAACACTGTTGTTGACTTGAATTGCAATTTTCATGTTTGAAAGACGAAGATTGTAGCAATTCTATAATTTCAGTTGTTCATGAGGTAGTTCTTTTAAGGTGCGCCCGGTGAGAAGAGAATTGACTTGTACATCGCTGGCCTCAGTGGTTCAAAAGAAAATAATGCTATCCACTGGGTCAGGCCAGAACGGAGCGAAATTGTAGACGCGTTCTGGCTAGGACGATAAACGTCTTGGTGCCACGATCACGTCAATGACACACAGTAAATGTAAGTTTGTTTTCGTCTTTTGTAACCCGCTCCGTTTAGACAGTTTTTCTGAGTAAGTAAAGCTGTCACTTATAACATGCTAATATTAAAACCCTACTTCTTTGTTGTTTGTATAATACTGCCGTAAAGATTAAACGGAGTTTGGGCTACGCGGGTCAACCGGAGGTGGACGTTTTGCACTCTTGAGCCGTGATTCTTGGCAAATCTTTGGGCAAATCGACTCTATAAGAGTAAAGACACTTCGTAATACAAATTTGGTGGCGTCAAGGCATACTTAAAGAGAAAAAGGCCCACTTCCGTTTGACGTGCGTCGCTCAAAAACGTCGCTGCTTAAACTCCCTATTACCTTCTGAAAGAAGGTTAGGTTTTTCGAACAAACGCCACCATCAAAATTTTCCAGGTGTATCCCTACGCCCTGGGAAAGGTACTCTGGTATATATAAGCTATATAGGTCTGTTTCGACGCTACTTTAGTAACCTGAGATCAAGCTCTATTTTCGTTTCTCTTCGTAGCGCAACCACGTAGGATACAATGTATGGAAGCTGATAAAATTGGGCCTGACTTCAGGGGCTTTATCTCAGGGAACTGGTATTTATTTTGAGCCTCGCTTTGAAGTTAGCCCCATAAACGCACTCCTTATTTGTGATTAGGGAGTCAGTAAGATCCAACGACATGGACAGCAACGGGAAAGTTAAAAAAAGAAGGTTTTATAAGCAAAACAACAACTTTACACGTGCACCACGCTTGTTTGCACATTTCTTTGCCCGTTTTTGCAGGAATACGACGTGAAAATGCCAAATTTCGCGTTTTATGGAGTGCGTAAACAAGCAACGACGAAATTTTAATTCTCTTTCTGAATTTGGATATGGTCCCTAGGAATTCAGTTCGCCTACATTTGACAAAGTAACTGGGTACGAATAATTGCGATGAAGACTAAAAGAACGCGCATTGGGATTTTAAGTGACGTTCTCGTTGCCGTCGCGTCTTTGGATCTTAAGGTCCCTATTACTACTAGTCGCACACTTATAAATATCGAGCTGTTCCATATTTTCCTTCTCCTCATAAGTAAGGTTTGAAGAAATCTCGTGCCTCAGTCAAATTGACGAACTTTCCTTTGGCAGCATTTGGGCATGCGCTTGTCGCAGAGTTGCGCTGAAAGCACACTATTGACCCCATGAGGGCCCTGAACTCATCATCAGGCTCGTTTTCTATTGTTTCTAAGGGTTTTTCCGTTGTCTTTAGTTTGGGCTCACCCTCATCGTTGATTCTACTCTTTGTGCGAAGTTTTCTTTGTCGTGCCTGTCAAAGTAAACAGTTTTTCACTGATTAACTAGCCTGAATTTGAGACATCTCGGGTCGCATCAGAAGGGATGTCTAAAATTCAGGCATACTGGTTAACTTGTTAGAGTGATTTTAGCAAACCCGTGAAATAGGTAGTAGAATACTACCCTCTATTATATTACACAACTATCCCCCGAAGGGTAGGTTAATAGTGTATACCGAGACGCGAAGCGTCGAGGTATATATCTTGCGCTGTTCACCGACCCTGAGGGGGATAGTTGTTTTATATAGTATTTACCAAATCAGTTGGATAAAAATGAAAAAAGTAACTCTTTGTAAATTAAAAACGTCACTTAGTAAGAACTTTGTTTACAATTTACAAACATTTCGGGGAATACTGTCAAGTGCATTTTTACGATTTTGTTGCAAATTCAGCGTGAAAATAATTTTCTACCTATCATCAGTAAGCACAGGCAAGCCAAAGTTCGTCGCTTTCTTGGTATTTGTTTGTACGACTGCCTCATTTTTCGCTCAAATTTCGTCGTTCGAAAATGTCTGGAAACGAGACACCATCTTGACTCTGGTAGCAAAACAGTGAATAGCTAAGGATATTCCGAGTTACGGGAGCCGATCAAAACGCGCGAAAAGTGGTATTCACTGACTTGGTAAATGCTAAATGCACTTATTTCATTGTCTTCTTTTGTTTACCTCTGACTATATTGCGCTATTTGTTAATATCTGTTTCACAGTTCAAGTAAAATCAATCTAAGCCTCTAAGAAACTCTCTAATAGGACATAAAGGGACGGGGTGGTTAGATGGTTTCAACCCGTTTCATCGTTCTGACAAATCGCACCAAAAAGTTGTAAATATCTTGTGGAATCTTGAATTTGCTTTTTAAGCTTTCATACCTGTATTCAAATTTCGCACTAACCCTGGGTTATCTTAACCCAGCTTTGAACAACCCTGCCAATAAGTGAACTAGCGGCCCCCTCCAGGAGATCAGAATAAACAAGTTATTTACCTTTGCAAATTTAAAATCTAGAGATTGTCATCTAGAGATTTTCCAACCTCGTTGTCAGGGCTTTCTCCTAGGAGAGAACCCTGGGAACGAGGCTGGAGATTTTCTCTTTCACATTACGCCTTCCCTCTTACATCAACCCATCCTGTAACCGACGTAACTCGCCTCCGGAAATCCCCATTACCTGCACACGATATCGACTCAGTCAGCCCCCCAAATCATTTTGGACATGGGAATTGATCTTATCTAACAGTCTTTACGTGATCGTATTGAACGGTAAGAGAGAATAAGCCTAGAGAGCGAATCCGCTATATACACTTCACGCTTACGTTAAAGTAGACGGCGCGGTCGCAAAACAACAGACAGACGTTCGCCCGTCTGAACTTAAAAAAAGATTTCATGGGCACAGGGATTCGCACTCTTCGCTCATTCTCTACTGCTTTGCAGGGAGAAAAGAGATGTTACAGCTGATTTAACATCCACGAGATATGACGACCCTTATGTTACAGGTGGCGGGCTATTTGTTCTCCACTGATACTCCCGGATAATCTAGAAAAATTGACTCACCAAAAACTTTCACAAAACGATCTGGTTACGAGATTAAGTCGTCATATAGATGAAACACGTTACCTTTACTTGCTTTTCATCCAGGAAATAACTTTTCATAGCTGGGTTGAAGTAGCTTGCAAGCGACGCCACGCTGGACTCGGCGTGTAAGAAGTGGTCACATTTTGCTAACAACAGAATATCCAGCAATACTTGAGTACCAAAAACGCGTTCGTATGGGTCAGCGGGGTTGTCCGTGAACTGAAAATCATGCGGAGCTATTGGACTGTCGTACTTACTTGCTCTGAAAGCTTTGGTGAAAACAACCTGATAACAAAACACACCCAGCAAAGAATAAGTCTCAAATAATTACAGTCAACTCTCTCCAAGACGGACACCTTTGGGACCGGCACCAAATCCTTAATTTCACGTTTTGTCGAGGACGGAAACACAAGAAAACAACTTTCCTTTTGTTTTCCCGAACTTTGATACATTCCTTTAGAATTCAACCGCAAAACAAATTGCCAACATTTGACGAATTAAACGAGATGGAATAAGCGCGACAAAGTTTGAGGCAGCACGAATTCAATTTTTAAGTGACGTTTTCGTAGCCGTTGCTATCGTTGCTGCTTCCCTAATATCGCTAGGATCATTGGAAAGAAAGTTGAGATAACTGTCAGCGATTATAATAGAAACAGCTCTTCTTGACGATCGCCGTTCTCCCATGCATTTTGTCCTTTAATACAGGCGTCCAGGAAACCTCGTTCCCAGGGCTCTCTCAGTTACTCGACCCCCGGAGGAGAGAATTTTATGGGCGAGGTTGAAAAAAAATCTTGACATGCGTTTTTCTTTTTAACTGAAAATGCCTGGAAAAGGTGATGTTGTTCACTTCTGATTAGCCATGTTCTTTAAAACAAACTCAGCAATGTAATATCACTCCTTAAAATACTATATTAATAGAGGTGAAAAGATCCGTTGTCCGTTGTCCGCGCGAAGTCTGGGAGAGAGCGGGCGAGAGAACTCGGCGAGTATCTCTCGGTGACGTCACAGCTCATGGTAGAGTCCAGGAATGACCGAGTCGAAAACGCCTGGGGACTAGGCTGAACATACCCTATAAAAAAGGGGGCTTTAGCATCGAAGACGGCGACGAGAACGAAAACGTCACTTTTAAAGTGAATTCGCGTTTTTCAAGCTTTGTCACGTTTATTCCGATTCGCTGAAAATGTCTAATGTAGGCGAATTTCCCTGCAGTTGATTTCTTGGGTACCGCACTCAACTTACAAAAGAGAAAGAACAATTCGTCGTCGCTTGTTTACGTCCTCCATAAAACGTGAAAATAGGCATTTTCACGCCGTAGTCGTGGAGTGAAGGCAAAGAAACGACTAGAAAGCGTGATGCAGGTGCAAAGTCGTTGTTTTGCTTCAAAAACCAACTGCTTTTTAGACGTTCTCGTTGCCGTCGCTGCTCTCAAACGACGGAGATTGCGCACTTTTCACAGATTGACCGCTTACCACCTGTTTTTGGGCTCGCATTTCGACGGAAATCTTGCCTCGAGAGGCGCGCGGCGCAGATCACGAAATTGACGTCAACACCTTGAATCAACTCCATGAACACGGAGAAGCGATATAAGTCCCATCTTAAAAGATGCTTGATGTCTAGACGTGAATAGTCTGTCCGCAGTCCTTTTTCATTTTGTATATCGGGACCATTTGACAGCGCACGAGTGAACCGGAGCGCAGTAACGAGCCCTGGCCACTCCATTGCCCTTGCCTCCAAAGGGAATATTGAGGGTCTTTGTACAGTTTCCGTTTATTTTACCAACAAAAAAGAACAAAACAAAGCAAAAGACAAGTATGCAGAAATACGCAGAAGCAATGTGGTGAGGAAGCCCAAAAAGAAACCATAAGGCTTAGGTCATGCCCTTTTCGTTCGTTTAGCGTCGAATAGGTTTCCTGGTTTTGGTTGGGTCGGTCGATGGGGTGAAAAAAAAATCACAAGAAATCTGAGAACGAGAGGCCTGAAACACCAGCATCATTGCCGTGGAGCCTTAAAAAAACAAGACATGGTCACCAAATCGACACAAACTCAATATGGCGGAAAATGTGATGGTCAATTTCATTAAAAAAAAAGGTCCAAAAAGGGTAAAAAGCAAAAAGGATACACCACCGAACGTTTTATGCCTGGAAATGCTGTTATAATGCTCATTTCTTAGATTAAAAGAATCAATTTAAGTCCAAAAAAATAAACCTTGTCGTTTCTTTTTCTTGCTTTTTTAAAAAAGGCCAAAAAACTGGTTCTGTTGGACAACACTAAACGAAGAAAAAATTAATATAGGTATTAAGCTCCCTTAAAGTATAAAAAAATAAGTTTACAAGGACAGGATCGAACGTATACTGAGTAACTAAATGATCAAAATTTGATCAAAATTAAATGAAAAGCTAAGAGTCTAAGCGCTGTCTGATAACGAGACGGTAAACAAGAAGTGCTGCCTGTTATTTAATAGAGACGTGAAATACTGGGTGGACCACATCCTGAACTCCTGCGAAAACCGGAAGAGAGGAACGCTCAGGGCTAAGGAGACTAAACAGGGGCGTAACTACTTGTACGCACGGTTCGCACGTGCGTACCCGAAAACGTTGAGGAGAAAAAATAGAATGAAATAAACATAACTAAAAACATCGAGAAGCGACGACATTAATTGGAGAACCGAATCTGGGATGATTTATTTATAAAGCAAGCTTGGTGATGTAAAGCGTGAACGCGTTGTTTTCTCCACGACCTGTCTTCGGATTAGACGAAGTAGGGCACAATTACGTCAATGTGTGGTGCTTTTGTCGGTCAAAAATAATGTGACAAAAAGGGGTAAAAAGAGTCATTTGTAAACTAAATGTCGGAGGTACTACAAGCTTGATTTTTAATAGCTGAATTAATGATAAACGGTTGACGTCAATGAACATAACAAGCCGACAGAATTAAACAATTTTAGAGGTTGTGTCATTTCATAAACAGCAAAAAATGCTTTCGCTTACAACCGTTAACCCCACCTTTAATAAAGGCACCTTAAAAAATGTTAAGATTTGGGGGGGGAGGGAAGGGGGGGGGGGACTCCGCAGACGATGTACAAAAAGTTGGGCGTACCTCCGGAAAAATCCTGACTACGCACCTGCTAAAGCCTGAAACTGAACAACAGGAGACTTGACGAAACGTCCTCAGTTATCATCTGTCCGGGGTCGTACTTTCAAGGAAGCGCTGATCAAGAATCACTCAAGACGGAATGAGAACTTCTCGTTGCTTCCAGCGAAAACAGGAGGGACAACAGTGGTAAGCGGTCGTTCTGTGAAATGTAACGCAATCTTTGCCGTTTACGATATTCCGGCGCTTGGATTTAAAACGTTGTTGTTTGGTATGTTCTCCAGTGTGGATACTTGACATTTCCAATATATGGAAACACCATGCTAAGTTACGAACAACAGACATTCACAACATTGTTTTGTAGGCTAAAATTTGATTTCATGGACGTAAAACGTTTTGAATTTTAAGACTTTTTAATATTAGTGTTTTGCCCTCCCTTTGACAACTTCACGTGACTGGTGCACTTGGCAGGAGTTGACAGCTTAAATCTGCCTTTCTTGATAGCAAACGGCATTCATTTATATCAGATCACTGTATAAACACGTCTTGGTTTCTGAAAGCTGATAACATGAAACCACTGTTGCTCAAACTGATTTCTTGTTGTATTTTTCCGAGTTTTTAGCATCGGCCCGCCGAGTCTGGAAAGCTCAAATTTCAGAAAAGTACTACTTGTATGTTTTGGCCTCAAAAATTGTCTTTTAAGTTGCCCATAGTTTTGAAAACAGATTTTGAAAGAAGAGATAACGCTCTTTAACGTGCTATAAGACTCGTTACTGAAATCGAGGTACCAGTCGACGATTTGGGGCTTTGAAATTTGCCATTTTTTCGTTGAACGAAAAGGTTCAAAATATTGAAAATAATGAAAAATCTCCAAAATATTACACTTTTGTTCAAACTGAGTAAATCAACACTTAAAATGTGTGCAATTATGTACTCTTCTGAATAAGTGTTTTGTTGTCCGCATTACAATGGATTTGAATTTGAAAGCGATTTTTTTGTGACACATGGTCTCAGGCCTGGAAAACCCGGTCCGAGAGCAGCGAAACCAATAACCCCCACGTACGTGGAAAATAATTATCGGATCGAAGTAAAAAGTACATTTATGTTAATAGCTTACCTAGTGCTACTTTGTGAATTTTTTTGAGAATTTTCGAGTTTTCACTTTTGTAGGCCTCTGGTCGATATTTACTGACATCCGCTCTTAAGGAGGGTTACAACACAGAGGTGTAGAAATGTTGCCTGTGTTGCGGGTGGTTGCAATCACCAAATGACGTAATAAAAAAGACTAAAAAGACTCTCGCAACAACATCCACTAGGGCTTTCGGATCAATTTAAGCTTCTGGAAAACTGCCCACCTACCCCTCCCCTAAGCCATTATTTTGCCCTAAGCGAGAAGTAAGTGTTAATGTTAGCTTAAGGAAGAGGTAGGTGGGCGGTTTGCCAGAAAGCTAAATTGATCCGGGCTTTCCACAAGGCAACTTTTTAGCACTTTTTATATAAAATGACGGCAGCCAAATCCTGCTGTTTTATCCAAGACAAATAAGATACACATAAATAACAAAACAGCAAAGAGAAAAAGTGACTGGAGTTTTCCCGATACCCCGGACAGAAAGGCCTATCCGTCCGAAATATCGGAAAACTCAAGTCGCTTTTCTCTTTGCTGTTTTGCTATTTATGTTTTGGCAACTTCTCCTCTTTCGAGCAACTTTTTGCATTCTGAGCAATTTCTCTAGTTCTCTTCTACTAGACCTTGTCACGGTTTTCGACGCCATCTTAACGAGTAGGCAAACGCGTGCGAAATTCCAATGTTCACGGTATGAAAATCTGATGTCGAATAATTTCCGTAGAACGGCTTCTCTGAAAAAAATATCAATCGTAAACTAAAGCTTCACTCCTAAGAATTCTACTGAAAAAAATTGAGGGCGTTACATGCCCTAGAAGACCTAGAACCACTTTTTAGATCTGAATTTTCTGTACATTTGTTTATAAGAAAGTCGCGGGAAAAATTACAGACAAATATATGGAAAATCTACGTAAAGCAAGTCTCTGGAGAAATTAGGTACTCTGGAAATCAATAGGTACGCCCCCCAAATTTTTTAGTGCAATCCTTTACTTATTAACAGCCGTTTTACGGAAATTATTCGACATTAGATTTTCATACAAACACTGTAATTTCTCACATGTTTGCCTACTCGTCAAGATGGCGTCGAAAACCTTGACAAGGTCTATTCTGAGATATCAGAGCAGCTTTCATAAGTGCTTAAATTGGCCTTTCTTCCACATTTCACAATGTTTTAGTAGACAATTTATGAATTTCTTGTAAAAAAGAGGAGCCAAATCACCTCCCCGCTGGGGCAGATCATGGGCGCAAGATAAAAGTCGAGCTGCAAGCTCAGCGATTTTTAGGGAAAATTCAAAATGGTAGACGAACATTCACACTCGACTGACTTGAGTGTCTCGGGTGAAGAAGGTCATTCAACAATTTAATTGCCTCATTACATTGATTGGTTTTTAATAATTGAGGACAAAGTATAGTAACGCTGGTTACGGCGCAAAATTGCACAAAAATTCTTAGAAATCCTACTTTCGTTGTACCATAGTTAGTTGTACTATGGTTGTACAATGTGCATAATTTAGCTTCAGACCAAAAAAAAGTTTTTCTTTTTTCGAGCAATTTTTGAGGAACCAAAAATAGTTTCTGCAACAACACCAAGAAACACCCAAACAACCAATGTTTACTTCAAACTGGATTAGAAAGACAAACTAGATTTAATGAAGTCACCCCGCTTGGAAAATAATATTGGGAGGCGGGGTAAGGTGGATTTGGAATATTGTGCCTCCACTGAAGGGAATCGAAGCGTTAATTGATGTTGTTTGACCATTTTAGCTCGGAAAATAACAATTGTGCAATCAACAGTCAACGACGCCTTAAACAGCGAAGCGTATGGAAGATACAAAGCTGAAAACTGAGATCAATATGCAAAGAACTTACCTTATCATTTCCAAGAACGGCAACAAACTTCTCAATAACTTCGTCGTTATCACTAGCAATAAATATTTTGCTTGGTTGCGGCAGAGTTTTAAGAATTGACTGGGCACTTTTAATCCAGCTCATTAAATGTGGCAGCCTTTTCTCATTCGTCTCCATCCAATGATCTGTGCCTCGAACATGTACCCCTAAAACGGTATTCCCCGCCAGGTATCGTTGATAAAAGTTATTAAGCTTGCGAATAATTCTGTTGTTGGGTTTAATGTACTGTTGAAGCATTTGGTTAACTCTCCTTCTCTCTTTTTCTGTTATTATTCTGTTATTGGCAAAGCCAGCGGTGTACGATCGATTTCTAAAACTGCTGTTTAAAGTTAGCTTCAGATTAGGGAGAGTTCGAAGCACGCTCTCTTCGTTCTCGAGCATCAAAGGGCATAAAACTCGTTCCGCTTGTGATTCCAATAAGCCACTGCCGATGGGTTCAAAGTACCATTCCCACGAATTAACTCTGGGATCCCTAGAACAAACTGACTTACACACTTTCCAATACACAACTGGTCGATCGCTTCCCAAAGCCTCGCAGAGAAGAATATCGTCAATCGTTCGGAGAAGAAGAGCAGCAAATCCCATAGTCTGGCAATCTGACAGAGCTGGATCCACGACGCAAACGCGATGACCAGAGGATAATATTTTATTCTCATTGTTTATTCTCGTTGCAGCAAGGAAACCGTTTGATTTTATGATCTCCTGCAACAGATACTCCGCTTTTAGCGAACGCGTGTTGACTTTCGCTTCAGATTGTAAAACAAAATTGAGTTCCCACAACTCTGATTCGCGCCATCGATAACAGTGGTAAAGTAAATAAAGCGATAGAAAAAAGCCGACCAAAAATGCTACATAATAGCGAAAAACAAGGTGTCTGAAGAAACGGAGAATCATAACGCAATTGTTCTATGTAAGTGGTAAAGTTTTTGACCTTCTTTCAATAAAACTGTAAAATGCAAATCAGAGAACGATGTTCAATGTCAGATGTTTGATTGTTCTCACTGCTAATTTGATATTTTAAAACAGCTGCTTATACCAGATCAATATCTCTCTTCCAAAAAGGTAATCAGTTTTGCGCGCATGCGCTTTCTGCATGTTTAAAATGGATCTCAACTAAAGCTGATTGGGGCCATCTGAGATCCTTATTATCCTACTTCACTGGGACTGCATTTTCTTCGATGATAACATTAATCAAAACTGGGCTTGTTGGAAAGACCTACTATTCACTGCAGTAGACGAATGCATTCCTAAACGCATTCCTGAACTCCACCTCTCCTCTGTGTTTACCGTCGACGATTATGGTAATTTTCCTACCGCAGATTACGTTGTTGTTGTGAGACTCGAAAGTGTCAATGAAGTAAGACGCCTCCTTTTGAAACTCAAGCCTCACAAGTCCCCTGGGGCCTGGGCCTGACAATATCGCCCCTTGCGTTTTGAGAGAATGTGCATCGGAACTGGCACCTTCACTGGCGCATATATTAAACAAATCATTCTCCTCTGGTTAATGAATTAACCTAATAAATGGAAATGCGCTGATATCGCACCGTTACACAAGAAGGGTTCTAAATCTCTCAGAGAAAATTACCGCCCAATCTATCCTACTTCTATTGTTTGTAAAACTGGCGAAAAAATTGTTTTTGATAGGTTGCATAAGTTTTGGCAAGAAACTGGTCTGATAAATAAGAACCAATTCGGCTTTCTGAAAGAAAGATCCACCATAACACAACTGTTATCATCGTTGAATGACTGGGGTAAATCACGTAATTTGTCTCGCCCAACTGACGTGGTTTTCCTTGACCTGGCCAAGCATTCGACAGTGTTCCTCCTCGCAGCGGCTCCTGCTGAAGTTGAAAAGTAATGGTATTGACGGCTGCTTGCATGCCTGGCTCAGGCACTTCCTTACAGGACGCAGGCAGCACGTGATTCTGAGGGGATCTAGGTCTAATTGGTCAAGTGTTACCTCTGGTTCCCCAGAAGGGACCATTCTCGGCCCATTGTTGTTTTTTATCTAAATCAACGATATAACCAATTGTGTTTCGTCAACTGTGAAACTTTATGCTGACGATACAAAGATCTATCGTCAAATAGTCGACCCTATTAAGGGCCTGTTTACATGGAGGTGAGGGACCCCAGGTAGGTGAGGTAACTCGCTTAGGTGGGGTAACCCGCCTGTCCATATAATCTCTCATTTTAATTTGATCACGTTTACATGATACGTGGGGTGACCCGTCAAGGTGGGTAGCCCGGTCTACCAGACCGGGTTACCCTCTCAGCCGGGGTCAAATTTTGCCATGTAAACGTTTCAAGGTGGGGTGACGCGCCTGGCCGGGGTCGGATTCGTGATACATCAAATTCGCGCAAATTTCACTTTGGCGGTGGCTTTGCATCATTATTAAAGTTACCAATAGAAAGCCATTGTACTGACGGTTGCGGCAAGAGCAACAAGGGAGTGTAGAAGTGCATTAATCGCCAAAACACGTGGTTTGCCAGCATTTTTCTTGTTTACGTGGTTAGCGACCATTCAATAATCTTGAGAAAGTGCACCCCGGGATGGCGGGGTTGTAAGATTGCATATAAAGGAGGGTTATTTTTTTACCCCACATAAGCAGGTTACCTCACCTACCTGGGGTTCCCCACCTCCATGTAAACAGGCCCTAAGGATCCTCAGCTTTTACAAATGGATCGTTCCAACCTAATGGAATGGACATGCAAGTGGCAGTTACGGTTTTTAAACCAAGTGTGAGTCTATGCGCATAACTCATACAGGCGATAAGTCTATTACGCAATATATGTTAGATAGAGCCTTTGAAAGACGTGAAGAGCTTCAAAGACCTAGGCGTTGCGATATCGAAGGATCTCTCATGGGATAATCTTATTAGCATAACTGTGAACAAAGCTAACAATCTATTAGGTCTAATCAAATGTTCTGTTAGCACCACCCACGTAAATGTTTTCTCAACGCTGTATTTATCTCTGGTACGACCAATTCTTGAATACGCTGTACCCGTTTGGTGCCCTTACCTCGTCAAGGACATTCGCGCCTTGGAGCGTATACAAAGAGGGGCATCTAGATTAGCACTTAACCAACACAAAGGAGAAAAATGCCTTGTGTCGATCGTTGTAAATTTTTGAAATGGCCGTCGCTATCTGACGCTAGAAATTATCTATCTTTAATTATACAAGTTCGTCTTTGGATACTATCATTTGAATTTTTATGATTTATTCGAATTCTCAAAGGTTGGGTCTACGAGAGCGAATCACCCCTTCAAATTGTATGTTAAAAGCGCAAGACTCGATTGCTACAAATATTCTTTTTTTATTAGAATAGTTTCAAAAACGAATGATTTACCAAGAGACATAGTAGTGGCTGAAAGCTTTCATTATTTTAAAAACAAGCTTCATCATTATCTATTTAATAAATTTTAAACTAGAACCGTGCTTTAATTAAGGCCTTGAGTTTTGAATACTTGTGTTGTATTTGATTTTTTTACTTAGCATTTTCTATTTCTGTTTGAGTTCTAATATAGGGCTAACCTCTCAACTTCCTTTTCAAGATGTCTTTTAATATTATGTTTTTTCCTGTAAATAAGCTTGTTTACATCTTGAATAAAGTTAGTATGTATGTAGTATGTATGTAAAGCCTATTTTATGGCATTTCTTCGCGATTTCATGAAGATTTTCAAAGCTTTATGTAGCGGTTGCAATGATCTTTGTCTGACAGAGTACAAAAATCATATTTCTTCTACATTTCTTTTGTTTCAACTTCATTCGCATACATTACCATACCCAAAAACAAAAGAAAAACAAAAAATTACCCGAGATACAAAATTAACTACAACATACAGTAACGCGTGAAAATTTAAATAAGAAAAAAGTGAACGTTAAAAGTATGTGAAAACAAAAGCCGTTGAAGTAGCAATATAGTGATATGAAACAAATTTGAAATGTAAAAATAGTATAAATAAATGATTACAAACAGAAGAAGGCCTTCCGAAATATTAGTAAAAAATATATATATTCCCGACTGTAAACTCAGCCTTGCTTCATTTGTTTAATATTTTCACTTATTGCTGATAAGATCCTCTATTAGGATCCGCTCTCTCTGTTTTGTAAGCTGGTTCTTGCTTCAAAAAATTGAATTCCTTTTTTCGGTTTGCGGTAATTTTCCTTACAGAAAATAGGTGGTCTTGGAGCAGAACTCGTGCAGCTAAATGATGGTATCTGGACTCATGCGCCATATATGATCTCCGTAGGCTCTCGTCATTTTCGGTTATGTTTGACAGCTTTTTATAGTTACCATCTCCCCCTAATAGACCTTTTTACCGATACGGCGGCCACATTGAATTAATTCGATTTAAGGAGTATTATAGGATGCCCAGGGGGCACGAGCACATTTCGTTTGTATTTCGGGCGGTTTTCGGGACATTTTTTCTTAAAGTTTTCTTAGAATAAGATTGTAACGGGAAAAAAGATCCTTGTGCCGTGTTTTGATGTAATAATGATCGCCTTTTTCTAGTTTAGTATTAGAAATATGGTCTTTCACCGTATATTTCTCGGGAAAAAGGTGATCATTATTACATTTCCCACTAAAATCTTATTTTAAGAGATTTTTACTTATTTACAATATAAAGCCTAAGTTACCTGATATAGCGTTTTACAATAAAAAGCCTAATTACATAATAGAATATGGACGATATATATATATATTTTTTTATTCAAGACATTTGTTACTATAATTACAAAGAACTACTTAAAACGAAAATAGTTACAAAGTTCTAAACAACCGCAATAACAGACATACTTACAATTATCTACATTTCACAATTATAACATTACAGCCACAAAACAGCCGCGCAATTGCCGAATGAGGCTTATTTTACAAAGAATTAATTAATACCTAATTATGTAGATAAAAGAGAGATTAACACTTAATATTTACAGTACGCTCTGAAATAAAAACAAAAACATAACCACACATACAAAAAAAAAAAATACAAAAATACAAAAAGAAAAGTGTCTAATAAAAGATTACATTTTTAATTACATACTCACGAACTTAATTAAAGGGGAGAAATGTCTTTTGGCCATTTTTCATAAAAGGTTTCTAATTTATTATTTTTAGTGGAAATATATTTTTCCACTTGGTATTTAATTCTTACTTTAAATTTGAAACCTTCGATGTTTGGACGTACCTGTTTCTTTCTGCAATCCCATAAATACAATTTACCAATTAATATCAGATAATTTAACAAGGGGCATTTTGACATCGTTATTCCAATTATAACCTCTCGTAAACACAACCCGTGAAATTCCTTTGTTATTCTTAAATAATACTGTTCAACATTTTTCCACAACATATTTGAGTGCTGACAGTAAAATATTGATAATTAGCTAGAACCTTAGCTGGCGTACTGCGTTTTCAAAAGCTGACAATGTACTTAGGGATCTTAAAAATCTTGTGCCAACAGCCGAATCTTCAGTATATCACTTTCCAAATTTGGGAAACTGCGGGATGTGAATATGGAAAGTAAGCCGGGGGATTTAAGCCAATCAGAAACGGGGGAATATTTTGAATGAGTATTAAAATCTTTGTAATATGCGCTTATCGTTTTAAAATCCCAACGTAGACTTTTAGCATTCACACCAGATCATTCATTGACAAAGGGGCTCTTTTTAACTCCACATACAAGGCTTTTTCGGTTTTGCGGTCCTTGATGTTTCCATGTTCACAAACAATATTTACCACGACGCCACGGGTATGGTAATTTTCTCCCCAGCAGAATGGATAGTACTTGCGTACGTAAATCACCTCAAAGTCACTGCTCTAAATTTTGATCATCGCCGGTCGAATTTGTTGTAATTTGCCTGTGATAAATCGACGTGCAGAAATCGCAAAATGTTTATATTACAGGGGTGATTTCGGAGTTGCAAATAAAATCGCGCGACAAAAATCAACTGTGTAAACGGCATTATCAAACAGAGAGTTAAACTTGAATTCACGCAGTTTCGTCCCCAGACCGTCACGGCGACTGGGATCCTGAGATTCTCGACTCCAGAGCTCTGATTCTTTTACGCATGACTAAGGACGAGAATAACCAAGCCTTTGGGTCTAGTCTCCCACGTAACCGTGTTTTCTCTCGTCAGCCATCGGAGGCTGAACGTTACGTGACGAGACCAAAAAGGATGCCTTAACGCTGTATCATTTGAATCAAGAGTCTACTAATCAGCTCCTGATTCACTTAACGCTACACGAGAAAGACTTCCTAGTAATAGGTATGTAACATATGCACTCATTTTCAATGGGTCATGGAATGGAGAGTTGGACGAGGCCCTGCCAGGGGGAGGGGGGGTCCCACTCATGTCGCCCGTCTGAATTTTAAAACTTCTCGTGGTTGTGTTTATAAATGCTTGTGGCTTATTGTCGGCTTTGCCGTCACTGTCGCAATTTGGCCGAAGGAGGTTGTCTCTTGTCGCGATTTCATTTCACACGCTGTCGCTACATTTTGGGCCATGTCGCTTGTCGGAATTTACCCTGGCAGGGCCTCTTGGACTAAAAGTCGGTGCCGCCCTGTATAAAAACTTTCTCCCCCGGGTGCCATTGCGGACGCAGATTAGACAGTGAAAATGACATCCTTTACTTTGAATCACTTTGCTTTGCTTATTCAAATTTCACACGACAAGATGCATAGGCTTTCGATGCTCGCGTTATTTCAAGTTCGAATGGACACCTTTGTCCCTGAATATGATACAAAAGCGATTTAGAATCACGTTAAGTCAATTTGCATCACGTGTCTTACCCGTCGTTTTTTCTATCTATCCACAAATTAGTCGTTCAACGCCATTTTGGACATGGATGATGGACAAATTTTATCTTTGAGATTTTTTGAACTTGAATCTGACGTGTAGTGATAATAACATATAATAACAATAATAATAATAGTAATAATAATAATTTCCATACGTGCGAAACTCTTTGTTTAATATTTTCTCACGTTACAATTTTTTTTAATCAGCTATTGTTGTTTTTTAGTATTTATAGACCAAAAATCACTAACTTATTTTGACTTGATAATGACGTTCAGCTAACGTCGAAACGTCGTCGTTTTTTAGCAATTTTTTAATCTTAAAATGATTTTAAGAAATGTTTTATCGCAATTTTTTATAGTTAAATGCTTTTCAAAATCACTTCTTGTTCGAATAATAATAATAATAATAATAATAATAATAACGATAATGACAATTATTTTTTATTACACAGGGTAATAACAAAATTTATAGAGTGCTTATCCGTTTAAGAACTAGGCGCATAAATTTCTCTATTGTCTATTTACTACAAACAAATTTTGAACAACAAATCTTGTAAAAACTGAACACTGTGTTTTTTATTGTAACAAATACTTTTAGTATACATTTTATAAATCCGCGGTTGCATATATCTTGCTACAACCTCTTTACAATTCTTAAGCTACAGTATTGGCACAACATTACTGTACTGCAGTGTTAACATATTAGTCAACAATGATAAATAAATATTAACTTAAAATAGAATAGTAGATTTTTTGAGTCACCTTATTATTACTTCTACCACTAAGAGTGATATTGAAATTTTTTTTGAGGTACAATCACATTTTTTCAGTTCCAAGCAACTCAAAGAAAAATGAATTGCTTTATGGTCAGGTCGTCTCACAGTATTTTTGTTATTTGCAGAATTAGAGCAGCAAAATTATTGTTTGCTTAAAACTCACCCCTGCATCAACGAAACTGGCAGCAGGATACAAAGACAGTCAGTTGTACAGCTTTCCTTTTGGGCAAGCTGAAGCTAGCATGTACTAGCCAAACTGTCATCTTGACCTGCCCCCCTAAAATAATATTTTTTGATTTTAATAGCATGATTGATTAAAGTTCTTCTGTAATAATTATTTAAATTCCCCCCAAAACTTCACTGGCCTGTCGGGCAAGTTAAGAACAGAATTCACTAGCCTGATAGCAAAATCCAAGAGCCCTGGGCTATTGGACACGACTTTCTTTGCACACTGTCGCAGTAAAGCAGATTTATGGCATATTTATCAAAAGATTCTACACTGTGTGAGAACTTGTGTTTATCTGATTGCAGCTTCTTATTATTACATCTTTTAGTAAAAAAAAGTTACCACACCCAACCTAGAAATAATAATTTTATAATAAATCCTCATTTAGGTGCAACTATTTTTAGAGGGAATATTCACTGTCTTATTTTCTTTGATTCAACATGAACACTAATTACAACTGTGCTATTGTTTATATTAATTCAGTGTTCTACTTAATCAATCTTATGTACATTGTACATAACAGAGGAGATGCAATGAATGGAGTCTTTACTAATTTAACGTAAATAATTTGATCCCTTTCTCTTCCTGTGTTTTTAGCTAGCAAAAATCAACGTCTATGAAAAATCCCACATTTAAAATATAATTATTGCCAATTAACTTTTTCTTTTTCATTTTTTTTTTGGGGGGGGGGAGGAGGTGGGATAACAAGAGACCACAGTCTGTTGCAGAAGGGTATCATCACCCACTTTTAGATGGCTGTCTCAGAGAATTTTGCCTCATGTGTCCCCGAACAACTGCATCCTATCCGAGGGAGCCCAAAGTGACAATACACACAGGGTCCCCAAGATAGCAGAGGCAAATTCTCTTAACTAGTAAACTCTATCTACTATAAATTTGATATCGGCAGTCACTTGTTTTTGACTTTCCTTATGAAGCTAGGAGCACCAACAAATAAATGTTTTAAATATTGAATTATGTAGGTGAGTTAAATTAATGTATTTGCAGACAAGAGTAAATGTTGCCTGTGTCAGTAAAATGTTTTGATCTGGAACTCGTACTTGAGGATTTGACCCAGAAACAGAAAAGACAAGTACAGGTTAGAACTGCAAACTGCATTTCTAAGATCTAAGCATAACAGTGAAATGATGATTGATGCATGTGTGGCACATTAAATCATAACTGTCAAAAGTTCTAAAAATACTGCAGACTGCCGCTTATAAGCCCTGCACTTGTACATTATTTTTTGTAAGGGGTCTTAGGAGGGCCTATAAATGGCCAGAGGGGCTCATATCTGAGGGGGCTTATATAACCGGAATAGATAATGACTTCAAAGCAAGCTATAACGCCACAGGAAAAAATAACGGATTCCCATTTCTGGATATTTTAGGGTATTTAAAGAATACCCATAAAAATCCCAAATTTGGCAAAGTGAGACAAGTCCCAAACAGGGAATTCCCAACCAAGTTCCCTGATTGGGACTTGTCTCACTCTTCCAAATTTGGGATTTTTGTGGGTATTCTTTAAATACCCTAAAATATCCAAAAATGGGAATCCGTTATTTTTTCCTGTGAGCAGTGCTGATCAAAATACGTTTTGTATTCACTGCTTCAAAATGTCAAAATAAATCCTATATCTTATATTGGATACATTGTTTTAGCAAAATCCAACTAGTGGTCTATTATCAATGCTGCATTCTGATTGGTTGAGCTACTACTTGGCTATATGTTATAGCTCACTAGTAGCAAAAAGTGCGGGCTTTTTGGCAGCAAAAAAGGATTAAAGTCTAGCTTTAACTAGCTAAAATGTCTTCATTCTCGATATTTTTGACCAACTTGCTGGATTTTACTAAAACAATTATTTCTCTCGCCCTTATGGCCTCTGAGTTAATAGCCCATTCGGGCTCAAGGAATAATTGTTAATTATTTACAGGTAGATAGGCCTATAACTTACCCTATGAGCAGTGGTTTCTCCAGGCCGGACGGTACACTATGAAGGGAGAGAAACCAGTTTCTCTCCCTTCGTAGCCTAGCGTCCGGCCTGGAGAAACCACTGCTTGCAGGGTACCTATAACTGGGATGGGAAGGGGGGGGGGGGGGGTGACGAGCTTATGCAATAAGTGAACAGCGCTACAGCAGTTTTTGGTACTGTTGCTGTACAGGATCAACATGTCTGAAGACTATGTCTTGTACCAACACAGGGTTGTTAATTATAAGGGTGGTAACTTTATACAAGTAAATTTCTCCTACTACATTTTTTCCCTCAATAACAGCCTTGGAGATATGTCACGTTTTTAAGTAAGTGATCTACCGACTATAACTAGAAAGTGTTCACACTTTGTCACCTTGTACTCTAGTTTCTACATGACCATGCCAGGGAAGACTGTACAAATTAATGTGCCTTCATTGATCACTTTGACACTTCAGAGCAAGTTAGATGGCTGTTCTCTATCAGTTATAATCTGTTCCACAATTTTTCTTGGTATGCTTTGTGTCACCTCACCAGGGAAAAGCTTGAGTTAGCATTGTATGTAACAACATTGACAATGTCATTCTTTGGAATATAATGACTGCTACTCTCCAGTGTGTTGTCAAAAAATCCACTCTCTTCATGTATCTGAAAGCACAATTACACACTTATTGGCTGGCAAGAAAATTTAAATGAAAATCGTGTTCATTCCATAACCTAGCAGGGTGCAAAGAAAGTCAGTTTTACAGCCTGCCATTCGGGCAAGCTGTAGCTAGCATGTACTAGCCCACAAGTCATTTCAACTAGCCCCCAAACCCTTTTTGATTAGCAGGATTGATTACAATCCTTCTGTAATTTGAATTTCCCCCCAAAACAGCACCTGCCCGTCAGGCAAGTTAAGAACAAAAACCACTAGCCCAATAGCAAAATCCACTAGCCCTGGGCTATCGGACACGACTTTCTTTGCACGCTGCCTAGCAAGCCCCTATTTGGATATCTAAAGTATAGAATGTGCAGCCACACTTAATCCAGCATTATTGAATCATCTAAATTTTTTTTCTGCATGTTCAAAAGAGAGTTTGTTGAGCACTGTTTGATGGCATCTAAACAGACTTGAGTTACAGTCAACTGTCACTTAAGGACACCACTGAAAGACTCAAACCTCTCTAAGATGGACATCCACAGTTGATTCATCATACAGAACTCTTTTTAAAAATCTGTGAACAAACTCCCGTAGTGTTTTCACTTGAATGAAACCTTTTTGGCAGAACCTTTGCATTGTACTATTTTCTCTAAGGATTTTACAAAGAGAAATTTGGATCTGGACTTTATTATGGGGATCGAATGTCCCCTCTAACCACCATTAGGACCCAACCTTAAGCTAGTAGATAGTTTCTTTGAAACCTGGGAGGGCTTTTAGAGTGAACCATGTTCAGTTCGTGCTTCTGGGGATTGTCCTAAGGGCCACGAGCGACGAGCAGGATAGGGTGCGAACAACTTCGTAAATTCACAGTGTAAAATCCTTTCCAAGATGAGACCTGCTTGCAGGGTACAGTAACAAGTCACGAACATTCGAATGGCACGAAACGCGTGCTACGTGCAACGTCCTTTACACGATGGCAGAGAATTAATCCCATTCAATGTTATGAATGGAATTCCAGTCCCGGAGAAAAAAATATATATATATTATTTGAAAGATGTCATATCTACGCGTAACCTTAGCAATTAAATGATTTTGAAAGTCATTCAAGAGGAACCAATTCCAAATTTCCAAAATCGCAACCACAAATCGGCGACTAAGTGAAAGCGGAAGAATGCATGCGCATCTAAACTTGATTTCGACATACAGTTTGATAGTTTCATTTTAATAACTAGAATGAACTTGAAAAATGAGCGGTTACGTACATACCTGTAGTCTCCAAAAAGTTAGGGAAGAATGTAAAAACAGCAAACCCAAGGCAAAACTCGAAACAAATACAATGAAGAAATGTAATAACACAAGGCGATCAAACCTACAAAATAACAGCAAAAAGTCTCAATCGAAGCTCTAAATGCTAAAATAACATCTGAGTTAACTGTCGACGTACTTGCTAGTGGTATCACCGCTTGATTCTGTACACGCTGCGGTGGAATTATCAGAGCTTTTTCTCTCTTGCTCGGCCATTTTCGCTTTGTTGTGGATGACTGGCTCGTCTTTGATTGGCTGAAAATTCTGCTCAGCGGAATACTTGTGTGCGTCATTGCACGATTGTCACAGGCCACCCAAGAATGCTACATTGGGGAGAGGGCCGGGGATATACATGTAAAAGAGTCGGACAAAACTACGTAAGGATATGTCACAGTTTAGCACAAGATCATAGTGTCTAACGACCGCTTTCCGCTCAAACTAACGTGCAAAGAAAACGATGGATCTCTCACGAGCAGCGAAATAAATCATGCCCACACGTTCAATTCATGACATAAAAAGGTGGTGAATGAAATCTTGGTGTAAATCGGCGCAAAGAAATTAATCACCATTTTCTGGTATTATTTTATTAAATTCACTATATCAGGGAGCAAAAGGAGCACAAACTTCATTTTCTTTGAATTTTTTCTATTTCTCTCCCTGGGGACTGGGATCCATTTTCCTGTACTCTTATATGAAGCATTTCTCTAACGAAAACAAAAATGGCGCCTATTTCGCTCAAAGATCCAAACATCCAAAGGCTTACTGAAGAGTTTGTGAACGTTTTGACAGGTTTTAAGGTGATATACGATATTCAAACATTTGAGAGTACAATATATTATATCGAGGCTGGCTGTATTTTGTTTTTTTCCTGCAGAAATCGTCGAGAAATTTTACCGTGTCTGTGCAGTTTGCTCTGTCAAATTTTCGGTAAGTGAAGAACTCAGAAAGAACATTGGCTTTGATCAATGATGACCGTTCTAACAATTATATTTCTTTTTGGGGTAGCTATCATCAGTTTCTTGATGTCAACAGTCTTAAAGTCGAAAGAAGCATTGATGGGTGAGTATATTAAAATGCCCGTATGAATTATATCGGTACTCAAGGACATTTTTTGTCCGCCAAGGGACACTATCCGCACTCCCGCCCCCCACAAAGATGGCTAACGCAGGGCTGTCACTAAAGGCTGGTTTTCACTAGCGACGGAGTCGGAGTTGGAGTCGTAATTAATCAGAAGCGTAGAGCTTCTGATCTAGTGAAAACAGTGTTCCGATTCCACTTACAACTCCGTCACTTATGTTCTGCTTGTGAAAACCAGATTATCGGAGTCAGAAGCAGAGGCAGAAGAACCAAACCAATTGCAAAGCATGGAAATGTGCATTGTCATTGGTTTATCCTTCCGCTTCTGCTTCCGACTCCGACAATCTGGTTTTCACTAGATCATAAGCAGAACGTAAGCGATGGAGTCGTAAGTGGAGTCGGAAGAAATGCAAACATTCTGATTCTTCTGACTCCTCTTCTGCCGCACTTATGACTCCTCTTACAACTCCGATTTTTGATTTTCACCAGGTCATAAGTACTCTTAGGACTCCGCTTACGACTCGGACTCGGACTTCGTTGCTAGTGAAAACCAGCCTTAAGGATCGGGGGCGGAGGATTTTTCCCTTGCTACGCTGAGCACGACTCCTAGCAACTTTGAAACTAAAGGAAAATGGAACATAAAGGACTTCCCGCTGCAAATCCCCAATATTTTATTGGTGCACTCTGATGGGTTGACTTTTTGGTGGCATGTTTGAAAAAATTGTCCACAGGATAAAAAAAAATTGTTGCCTTTTTTGAAAAAGCAAATCTAAACTCCCCAATTCAAGAACCCGCCATTGTTAAGGGGGGGGGGGTTGGAGGAGGGGGGCTTGTGCAGATAAAAAATGGATTGTCCCCAAGATGGAAGGAATCCGAGCCCTCACTGTTTTTGTTGGTGCCTTTGAAAAATGAATAGTTGATTTTTTTTGTCAGCTTAAAGGGTTGGAGGGGTTGAAATTTTGTCTGCTTCTTAAAGAAAAAATCTGACTCCCCCCAACCCCAGCCCCCGCTGCTTGTATAGCCTTCTTTCCTTTAGTATGGCCTGGCGCACGCTACTGGTGTACACGGCTAAGAATCTCACATCGTTTGGCTCTTATGAACTTATTAAAACTCAGATCGCATCGATATTTGGCAAGAAGTTAAAGTTTATAAACAGCTTTTCAATGAATATTTTTTTCCTGGCTGTAAGACCAAAATAAAATTGAAATATGAAAAATATGGCTCAAAATGGGACCATTTTTTAACAGCTCGCGTAACATTTATAGTCTAACCACGCATATTGTGGGATTTCTCTGTTTCTGTTAATGGTACTTTGGAAAAATTTCTCTGAAGAGGTCAGTGACTTATGAGTACTAACTGTATTAAAAATTACTGAACATAATGGCAAAACAACAAAGTTAGGGCGTTTTCAGAAAGATGTTCTGTCTACATACGATCTCTGTGCAGCGAACGTCAATTTAAAAGATTGCTTTTCATTGACTTTCTGTTGATGTTAAGAGAAGAAATAATAATTTTGGAATGCTCATAAGTTAAATTTTCCTTATAGACTAACTGTTAAGACTTGGGAAACCCATTTTTACGCTAAGATCAAATATGTAAGGTTAGACAGCATTTTTTAACGTGAAAATTAAAAACCGTCGCGTTGGACCGAAAATCGGATTCTAGAGTGTGCTTTGGCATAAAGATTTTGTGCCTAAAATGTGCCTAAGATGTGCAGAAAGTGTGCATTTTAGTTTTGAAAAACGTGCCTAAGCCGTGCCTAAGTTGTGCCCAAACTGTGCCTAATCTGTGCACAAGTTGTGCCAAAATATTGAGTCACTCGGGAAATCGTGTCCAGCCTACCGAGCTCCACAGCGAAAGAAAAGGGCGCACGGCAATTATGTCAGTTTTGAGGCTTACGAAGTCTAGAAACACGGTCTGACGACCTTTTTATCCCCTAATATAAGAAATAACATGACTCAGAATACCGTTAGAGACAGCAGGGAAAGCCCCGACAAACAGGAAAATGGAATCTTAAACAGGTTAGCGTATTTAAAGTAAGTGCTCAGCTCAATTACATTGTTGATATTATGCTAATTTCATCGATGTTAAAAAATTTCCAAGTAGGTTTCTTCTCCCCTTCTTAATGGAGCGTTTAGTTGGAACGAAATATTTGTTTTTTTCAGGAGGGCAGATTTGCATTCAAGAAAAGAATTTACTTGTGATATGACTTAAAAAATGAAAACGAAAAAATTGATTGCACGCCGATGAGTTTTGAAATAAATGGCACGTCTCATCGATTATTATACGATCAAAGCTTAATTTGCTAACAGAGCCAGAAAACAAAAACAAACAAGCAGCTTGAATTATTTTACTACAGTGTAAATCCTACTTTTTAGTTAGAGAAATATTTTTAAAAAAGCAGCCGCATTTTGTATTTAAAAACAACACGCGTTGGCATGAAGGTTTCAAATTACCACTTTGTACTTTTCATGTTGTTATGCAAATTCAGGCCAATTTTACCGCGATCGCAAAAAGTATTTTCTACGACTTTTATTGGCTATTTTTGTGCCTCACTTCTTTAGCTTTGTTTTTGTTATTATGGCTTCGACTTTCTTTCACGATTTCTTTTAGAAACGAAAGAAAGCGAGTCTATAAAATTGCATGGCAATCGAAAAGGTTCAGACCGGCATATATCGCGTGTGAATTTCCACTTTATGCTCGGAGTAAACACGGACTGTCGAAGAATACTTTAATTTTCCCGACTTTCGGTAGCTCAAAACTTACACTTCCTATACTTCTAACTGTATCGTGTTTGATCTGAATTATTTTTGTAATTCGTACCAAGTTTGTTCTTTTTGCAAGTCGGGTTACAAAGATTTTCAAAAAAGTGCCCAGCGTTGAATATTTGTGCCCAAACCGTGCCTAAACCGTGCCAAAACTGTGCCTAAAGTGTGCCTTAGCAATATTTAAAACGTGCCTTAACTGTGCCTAAAGTGTGCCTAATCTGTGCCTTTGCATGTTTTTTTCCCGTGCTTTGGCACAAAAACCGTGCCTTTTCTTGAGCGCGAATCGTGCGTAAGGCACGGTGTTACGCTCGTGTACACCAGTAGCGTGCGCCAAGCCGTATGGGTGTGGCTAGAATGTGGAACATCTTAGTGGTGTGGGTGGGGGGTTACTCCATTTATAATGGAATACAGTGTATACCCGGAGGCTCCACCCAGAAGGCGTATCTTTTTTAACAGGTCTCAGTTTTAAGAAAATAATGGTGGGGATTTCGCCTGTTTCAGTGTGTAAAAAGCCCTATTATTTTAAAGAGGTCTAACAGATACTTTTTATGGGTGTGAAAAAAGTTGTGAAAAATGTTCTGGTTTTGTGATTAATTCATATTTTAAATAGAGTGCCTTTACAGTAGTTAAAAGGGATGCAAAGTTCTAAACTTGTCAGTAGAAGGTATACAAGAGAGGTTCCTTTTTTTGTCTAAAATGGTATATAAAAGGTTAAGGGATTGGACCACCCGTATAATACTTTGTTGAGTTTGCCCCTCCCCCCTGGGGTGGAACATCTCTGGCTGAAGTATTGTGGTAGCTTTGGTGCGCTGTTTTTATACATGAATAAAGTGTTCACTTTTGGAGTGAGGGGGGGGGGGGGGGGTAGAATGAGTGCACTGTTAGGGGTATAGAATGGTAACTCGAAAAATGTGGGTCGAAGAAAATTTTGGCTTGGTCTCGGAGTCTCAGGAGTGTTTTTGATTGGTCTCAGATCCTTGTTTTTGGATGATTTTTGTGTCTCGTAGCTTCAAATTTTCTTGCTGTCAGGTCTTGGAGTCTCATATTTGTCCTTTTTTTCTTTCCGTTTGATCTTCAGGAGAAGAATCTTTCAGAGTTTGTGGGTGTGTGTATCGAACTGAGTATTAAAAGTAGATTAAGACAGTAAAACACGACAGACCAGTACACCGGGTATTGGTGGGCTTCTGCTAGCTTCCGTTGGCGCTTTTGATCATTTTATTTAGCTTTGTTTGTACCATTTTCTCAAAATATTCAGCATTAATTTTAAAGTCTTGGTCTCAAATTTTGAAATCAGGGTCTTGTAGTTATGCAAAGTCTTGAGTCTACCATTCTATACCCCAGACCTGCTGTTTTCCTCAGGTTTGGCACTGAGATGACAGCTATTTCAAGATACTGATGAAAATAAAGACTCTACCCAACTGTCCAACTGGCTTTCCTATGCCTTAATCCTGTCATGTTCTGTTTTGATTATTTTGTTTCACAGTACATCATTTGAGGGGAGTGTAGAACTAGGCAGAAAAACTAGGTGCACTTCCTTTACTAAAGCTCTACTTTACTTTTAAATTTATAAACTTCTTTTGGACTGCTAACTCCCTCTTGGATTATACTTGTATTCAGTCAAATTGAAATCCCTTTTGTATGGCTTGTTATTCACAGTGTGTGCCAAAAGTTGAGGGTTCATTCACAAGCTGAGAAGGCAGAGATCCTGAGAAACTTATGCAACAGATTCCTTGACTTGCCTTTGTCTTCAAGTACACAGGAAAAAAAGGTACTGGGACATTGGTAGTCTTTGAACTAGAGCCTAAATAAGCTAAGAAATTTTAATTATTCAAGACAAGTAAATTTAAAATACTTCAAGTAAAATAAAGCTTCCACATCATATAAACCAGTTCTTTTTTACTTCAGGTTAACAGAAGGCTATTTTCCCATGTAATAGAATTAAGATCAATTGTCATGCTTATAACCTTTCTCAAAGTACAAGAAACCACAAGTTCGCAAAGTCAGTTTTAAGAATGGTTCTCAAGTCACTCGAAACTTTTCTTCAATCATTTCAACTTTCCGACTTTAATGAGATGCAATATTAGTAAACTAAATTGAGATTTTACTTAAGCCTTCACAGACGCATCTTTGGTTAAGTAAAACCTAGCATCGCTTAAGTCTTACTTAACAGCCAAGTGTAAAGATTACCACTGTTTGAACTATGTTAAGTGATTCAATGTAACTTCTACAACCTGATACACCCTTAGATAATCACCCTCGGAAAGTTGAAAAAGTGTCTGCATCTGGAGTACGGGAATGGTTAAAGGCAAAGAAATGCACATAACCACTACACTAAAAAGTGAAAATTGCTGTGTATCACCCTGGGCCCAGTTCCTTGAAAGATTAAGCCAAATTTCAAGCAAGGTTTTTTCATCTAAGAACATGCAACTTGAGGTTACAAAATACTGCTGAACCTTAAAGAGATCTATACAGTAGTGATAACACAAAATGTTACCCTAAGCAATGCATAACCAAATTTTAATCCTTTAATGCAAAACCTTTGAGAACAAAATTTTCCAATCCTCTGTTAAAACTATTAAATCTTAAAATGCTTAGAATATTGGTCTTTCAGATGAAACCTACGTAGATGAGCATTCTTTTGTTTTGGAAGATAATACTGTTTATAAAAAATAAAAATTCAAATTTGACATTATTATTTTCCTTTTCTCACAGGAGCTGGGAATTAGTTAACTTAAATTCATGAATAATCAGTTAATATTTATTTTATCGTCAATGAAATGTTTATTTTTCAGACTGATGCTCACTATTCTCTCCTTCTGCTGCTGTTGACACTCTCCGGTTCTCCAACAAGTGTGGATTATGTTCCACTGACACAGGAAGAGGCTCCAGGTAAATAATATGAGACTTTTTCCATATTTTTCTTAAAAGCGGGCAAGATCAAGTACTTTAACCGCGGCAGGATTTGCTCAGTTGGTAGAGTGCTTGACTGCAGAGCGGGAGGTCGTGGGTTCAATTCCCGGGGTCGGACCAATACTCAGGGTATTAAAAAAACTGAGAAATGATGGTACTCCCTTAGCACTGCAAGCAGCTAGACCTTCGCGTGGCTTCGGATGACCACGTAAAATGGCAGTCCCATCTCCGGTTGGAGACATAAAAAAAGTGTCGCCAATTAGTACTTTCGTGCTAGATACTGTGACACCCGAATAAGGTGCATTTTTTTGGCTTTGGATGCATTAGATTGATAGTACTGTTCCAGAGTAAGAATAAGCAAATGTTATGTTAAATGGTAATTCTACCATTGGTTTTGGACCATTTAAATGCTACCCTGTATACATCAGTATATTACATTTTCTAGATCCTGGGATACAGTGAATGCTTAATTAAGTGATTTCTACAGTTTATTCCATTAATTGTTATTCCCAAATATGGTCAATCAAACCTTTCTTTACTGGGAGCCATCTTGGTTTCAAGCATATACCAAGTGTAACTTGGGGAAGAGTGTCATATCTGCCTCAAGGAGGGGGTGGAGGGGGGAATTGGCAAGATAAGATACCAAGATGGCTCCATGTTAAAATATTATTAGTACAGGGAGCAGGTACTCAGTCTAGACAATCTTACAGAACAATGTTTATGTACATGTAAGCTGAGGTCTATAAACGGTCTAAGTTGATTATTTACAAAGATTATGATACATGTACGGTGTTATTGTTAAGTCAAATTCCCAGTCTTTTTTTAATCAGGAACTCATTTTACACGGAATCATTTGTCATTTGACATTTCCTTGCCTATTATAATGACAGTTCTCGTGGCCATTAGGTATGGAGTAGTCATTGAAAGTCGCCACTTGCAGTCTTTGGTTTTAATATAATTATTTTCTCCCCCATACTGGTTGTTTACACATAGTTGTATCATAAATTGGCATGTTGTCACTGCCTCAAGACTGTTAAAGGTGGTGACTGTTCATGTTGACATTATTTTGAACTGCAGAAGAGGAATGGTTTGACTGGAAAAGTTATTTATTAGATGGAGAAGAAGAGGAAATTCTTGGCATTCCCGCTGACCACTATCAGGTATAAATTAATACTGTTGTCAGATCTTACACTGATATAATTTATTTGTATTTATTATTTTAACATCATAAAGGTGTATCTTCCATACAAAAAAAAACAAATACATGTACATGTATGTATCTTCGTCCTAGCTAGTTCAGTTTTGGAAAAAAGAAGGCTGGTCTGGTCTAGCCGTTTAAAAAAACTGGTAATTATTAAGATCATGCTATGGTATAGCTGTAGCTATTAATTACAATAGAAAAGACCTTGACTTTATGCAAACAACACCTTGAGTTCATGAGCAGTTCAGATAATGGTATCATTGGGTGGCAATGTTAAACAGTTGCAGGCCTTGTCTCCTTCATCCTTCCTCATTGGAAGGAGTGAGGTTTAAAGATCCCGTAATGTCTGAAAAAAATTGGGCCATGGAGCCCAAGGCAGTGGCCTTATATTTTTCTCGTGCTTTGTTTAGGAAAGGGAACAATGCAATATTAAAGCTTTTGGCCCACACTAATTGGCAAACTAAGATAATGAAATGAGAGAAAATTTGTTTGTGTTTTAATTACCATTATTTTTTCATTACTCACTAAAAATTTGCTTCAACTAATTATTAGAAGCACTACCCAGGTCTGCTTAGGGATGCGTCATCAGTATAGAATTTCTGCGCTTGTTTCTCAGACATTATTTGCAGGGAAACCAGTGGTGACATGACCGTCACCTGGTGAAATGTTGGCTATTTTCTCAGACTACTGTACATGTAACATATGCACAGGCTAACAATAATTTACTGGCATAATATTATATTTGTGACTGCAGGTTATTTACAAACTTATCATAGTATTTTTTACTGTTCTTTCATAGGCATGGTCAGATGAAGAGGTAAGATTTTATTGTAAAGTGCATTTTAGGTGCTGAAAAGCCATTTGTACCCAGCCTGAATTCTCAAGTTGCTCATGAGTAATAAGTATTGTTTATTGTTATGTAACTGTAACTGCAGGATGATGAGCTGGAGGCTGCAATTGATTCTGGAATCAGTGTCTTTGAGGGGCACCCAACAGTGCAGCATCCTGATGGTCAATTACAGGAAGTGAGGGAACATGGAGGTGGAGATCAACAAGAGTTATCGCAAACACCTTCCAGTTCTAGCAAGGTGAATATCATTCTTGTGGCCAGAAAAATTAAACTGAGAAACATTATTCAACGTATAATTGATGTTTTGTATATCAATCATCATCAAGAATGAAAATCATTAAATGTAAAAGTTGTTTAAAGAGTTGAAGTTTGATCAAAATTAGATTGAATTTGTGCACTGTGCTTGATTATTATGCAGATGTCTGATAGAGAAGCTTCATGCAAATCGAGTCTGGTTGCATGTTATTAGCGATGAAATATCTTGTAAATACCTTTTTTGTCTATGATGTTGTTTGAGTCAGTCATGTAATAATATTCTTCTCAATTAGCTCAAATAATGAGCACAAATAGGTACAAAATAATAATTATTTTGTTATACTTCTTTTATATTTCTGCTCAATTATGTCGTACTTTTTTTGCAAAATATTCATAAAAACTATGTTTTAATTTAAGTAATTTCCTTTCTTTTTTTTGTCTTTTAACCACCATCTTAATTAAATTAATATGATTTTCTGCAGGTGGAGAAAAGCTGGATTTCAGATAACATTGTTGATCAATACTGGCAAGAACCACTCAGAATCAATCAGCTAGACATGCTGCAGAGTAGGAACTGTTCTGTTACAGATGCCTGGTATAGTACTGTACAGTCATATCACTAACATGCATGCATTCAGATTGTTTTTCTAAAGATCTCTGCTTTGTTTTGTTGAATCCCCACTTTGATTGGTGCTCCTGTGCTTCTCCCACTTTGCTTGGTGTGCCTGGACACATGGTTACGTGTAGCATAAAATTATATACTGTTTTTTTGTAAAATGGCCTATTTCAGACTTGCCAAGTCTCACAACTGTGTCGTGAATCTCATGATTTGATGACTCATCTCATTCTCTTTAAAGTTGACAACTGATTTCTCATGCTTTCAGGAAAGTCATACTCCAACAAATTGGAGCACCTGTAGGGTTCATTATTATTCAAGTTAGGTATTAGGAAACTCATTCTAAAGAAAACACCTATCATTTGCATTTGATTAGTAAATTTGTGAATTTACCACTGGCTAATCACAGAACTAGTGGTGAGTGGAACAATGTTGGTGTCTATTTCCTTGCTAAATTCTCCTTCCAGGTTACCTAACTCACTGTAGTATGGAGAATAATTGACATAAGATCAGTTTTCACATAAGGCCATAATATATTCCACTTACCTCTCTATTAAAACATGTAGTAACAAGATGTTGGAGTCTATAATTATATTAACGGTAACCTATCAAATCGTAGGGAAAGCTATCAACAGCAGTGTAATCCATTCTACCACAACAGCTGTAATAAAACACTGACAGAAACCCAGATTGTGAGAGAGACCTTGTGGTAAGCTTCCTTCTTATTCAGAATTTATGCAGTGCAGGGTTTTCAATAAGGTTTTAAGTAGGTGGCAAAAGCTTTGGAGTAGGCGGAGAAGGGAAAAACTCATGCCACAGGCGCAACCTGCGAGGGTCAAAAGCACAAGTTACTAGGAGGGTATAGGGGCATGTCCCCTAGAAGCATTTTGCAATCTGGGCCTCTTAGATTGCATTTCCAGAATTCTGGAGCAAAAATTAGAGTGTTTGAGCAGAACACAGATATCATTAAATAATTTTTACTTTTCTGGGTCTTTTTTTCCAAAGAAAAGTAGGCGGCCAGCTCTCATTGAAAACCCTGTGGTGTTAGATCTCACATTTTACAGCCATATACAGCTATATACAGTACTGTACTACTGTTTTGTGTAGATTTAAGGTGATGTTACATGGGACAACTTGACAAATCATACTCCAACAAAGTTGTGCTCAGAGAACTGTTGATATCTCGTTGCATTTATACACTGTGCAATTTTTTCACTATTTTATTTGACAAAATCTTGTGTCAGCCTCAAATCATATTTACCATGATCAGGCAGACCACAAGTTCAGCTCATGTTGTTTCGAGTAACATAGCAATGTACATGTACCTCGCCTTAGAAAACAGCTGATGTTTTGTGACGTCACCAGTGGTTTCCCTGCAAACCAACATGACATCTGAGGAATGACTGCAAAAATTCCATACTCTGATGACAGGTAACTACGCAGATCTGGGTAGTGCTTCTGATTGGTTGTGCTGTGAGGGAATTTTGCTTCAACCAATCAGAAGCACTGCATATACCCAGATCTGGGAAGCGTCACTTCATCAATATGGAATTTCTGTAGTCATTCCTCAGATGTTATTTTTTGGCTAGGAAACCAGCAGTGGTTGCGTCACAAAATGTTGGCTGTTTTCTCAGCCTAACATGTTCCTGCTGTCCATTTTTCACAGATGCCCTAGAGCCCTATTCATTGTGTATTATGTCAAGCCATGTATTTCAATATTGTTTATTGTGTAAAATACATTGTATTTATTGTAGGATGCTAACAGGAGCACAGAACACCTTTGTGTATAGGAATATGCATCATGGTATTTTAGCAGTCAGGGAAAACATTCAAGTTCTCCATCTAACCCCAGTATGTCGTGCTGCTCAGTTATTTATTGTACAGTCAGGGTGCAAAGAATGTCCGTTTTACAGCATGTACTAGCCCACAAGTCATTAACTAGCCCCAAAACCCTTTTTGATTGGCACGATTGATTACAATCCTTCTGAATTTGAATTTCCTCCCAAAACAGCACTTGCCCGTCGGGCAAGTTAAAAACAAAAATCACTAGCCCAATAGCAAAATCCACTAGCCCCGGGCTATCGGACACGACTTTCTTTGCACGCTCAAATAATGGTATTCAAACATGAATGAAAAACCTCAACTCTTCGTTATGAATACAGTCGAACTTCCATGTGCAACTACCTGTCGTAAACAACCACCTTAAATAAGCGGCTGCCTATCCAGAACACGAAAATTTTCGCTGTCAAAGCTTTACAGTTGGAACCTCACGTAAACGGACACTTCTCGTAAGCGGCCGCGACCACTTCTTAGGATGACGGTTTAAGAATTTCCCATCGTTTTTAACCTCTTCAAAGCAGCAACCTGAAAAAACGGTTTGATCTCTGTTTCACATTATGATAGGGACTAATAGGCTCCTCAAGAGTTTGAAGAGAACTTTTAAGAACAACATGCATTTGTAACGCCTTCCCAGTTGTTTTGTTTAACACGTGACCCGGTCACGCGCATCCGGGTTTTCAGTTTTTTGTAAGCTCGACTAGAGAGCGGAGTGTTTTTGGCAACGTCGCCCAATAGTTCTTTAGATGGCATTACAGTCTTTGACGGTCCCTTCGGTCCGTTAACATCTTGTGAACCAGCATTAAACGGAACTAAGGATCTTGTTAGACGTTTTGGTCATTGTGGAGTGAACCTTTCAGAATTTCTGCAACGCATGTTGCCCTCGCGCCGCCTTCACCCAAAAGCGGTCGCTACAGCATTTACATATTGTAACCTAATAGAGATGGCATGCAATACTTTCTCTTCACTAAGTATCTATATGCGAACTTCTCCTCGTAAAAGACTGCTGCAGTTCAACTGTCATAAGCGACCACCTCCCGTAAATGACCATGTGCCCAAAATTGAGTTGTTTTCTTTGTTTGTTTAGGAGTGTCTGAACATTTTGCTGTCGGTTTTTGTTGTGGTTGGACAACGGAGTCACTCTTTGCAGAAGTTTGTCTCATCAGCTCTCAATCCACATGGTGAATCAACACAAACATTGCAAGCTTTTGCCACTGCACTCTCTTCTTATTTCAAAGTAAGTGTAACTATGCAACTCTATGCAATGATGATAACGATAATAATAATAGTAATCATCATCATCATCATCATCATCATCATCATCATAATTATAGTTATAGTCATAGTCATAATCCTTTCCTCTACTTAAATTCTTCCTAGTTATAAATTTCGCACCTCGATTAGCCAAGCTATTTGCGTGCAGAGGATTAATTATATGTTAAATTCAATCTAATTTAATTTGTCAGAACTTCCATGAAGATCAGTAATCTTAAACTTCAACTTCTTAATCATTATCATAATCATAATAAGTAATCACTGGATAAGGGCTGAGTATGGTCTGAAGAATTATGGAGATTGAGGGGGAAGTCATCTGCCAAGGCCGAAGGCGAACTCGCTTGCCATTAAGATCAATGTTAACACCCTCCGATCAGCCTTCGTCGATGTTATGTTCGATTCCCGTCTCTATTTGCCTGTTTCTCAGCAAGTTTAGGGATGTTTAGTATAGCAGATATTCTTTTACCATCAAGTTGTATTCAGATTGCTGTTCTAGTTATGTTGTTAGGCAGTAGTTATTTAGTATGGCCCGAGCTTATAGAAGCCCATAACCCAGAGCGAGTATTTCCCGTAATAGCCCCATGTCACGGCGTTTTTACGGATCAGTTTATTTTTAGACACATTTTAGGGCACTTTTTCCCGCGAGAAGAGAATCTCCACCATGACTGTGAGCGCATTCGAAGTATAAGATATCAAAAAGGAAAACTAAACGTTATTAAAAGGCAAAAAATATAATTTTTAGGCCTGTAGGTTTTACTGACTGGTTTGTGGAATTTAAAGAATATTTAAAATTTGCGCCAAAACCGTTCTAAAAATAAAACTCTAAGCGCATGGAAGTTGTTCGCTCCGGTTTATGGGCTTCCGGTATCGCAATTTCCTCTTTGCAAAACGTATGAAACGTTCTGTCATTTTGTCTTGCTCTACCAAAACAATACAACCTTATCCCAGAGCTTCTCGGTTGCCATCCCTTTTTCTGGTGATTACCGGTACTATTGACGTCATTTTCCGGATATCGCAAAAATAATTTGGTCAACACTAGCTTTCCTTTATGTTCTTGTCTACGTGAACGTGACTTAAATTTTGTTACTTACAACAAGAAAATAGAAAAATATAATAGTAGAAGTCTCTATCTTTCGTCAATTAAACCAGGAAGATAATAATAGTAATGCATATGGTAATGATGATAATAAGGATAATAATAATAATAATAATAATAATAATAATAATAATAATAATGCCGATAGTAGTTATAATAATAATGCCGATAGTAGTTATAATATCAATAATAATGATTCTTTTTGCCAGGAATACAAAGCACTTTTGTCATCTATCGAAAAGGATATTATTAAACAAGGTTAGTGCCCATCATCACCATCATCTAGTTATTACTGTGTTTCAGTGCCACCAAACTGTTTTATAAATCATTGACGTTAGAAGAAATTTTTATACTGAGCACTTTTAGGATTTTAAGGGCTAGTAAAGCAGTATTTCAATAGTTTATGATGGTATTATTATTATGCCACTGTTGTTATGACTCGATTAAGTCTGTACAGTGGGACCCGCTTAATAGTCAAACACCAAAGGGGACATGCCATAGTGTCCGTATTATCTGGGTGTCCGTGTTAATTGAAACTTGTGTAATCATATGAGAAGGCAGAAAACTTTATTAAACGACCACAGTATAAGGGTTAAACACCGGAAGATAGACGAAATGATCAAAATCAAGCATGTCAAGCTATTTTGCTACTGTTTTTAAGAGATAAGGTCGTATTAACCCATAGAAATCTTTTATTATTGTGTCTGTAGAGCGGGGTTTCACTGTAGTACATTGGAAAACTGAAAACAAACACATTGGGTCTTGTTTAAATTGTTTTTCAGAAGTTTCAGTCTCGCTTTCATTACTTAAGGACAAGCTGAAGACAACACTTGATGAGGTTAATTATTATAAATATTTTAATTGTATGACTGACATACATCTGATCATTAATGGACATTAACAGCGTAAACTGAAAGGTGGTTTTAGTTAGAAGAAGGAAGCAGAAGAATAGCTTTTTCAAATACACGAGGTTCTCTCCCTCTCCTACTTTCAAAGTTGTATTGAATACAGTCTTGTAATCCTTATGAGGGGAAGGAGGCATGAATTAAGCAAAGTGTAATTAACACATTTTTAAATCTATTATGTTAAAGGCGGGTTTCTCAAACCTTTGTAAAACCAGTTGTAGTTAAAACATTCTGTTACAACAGAATCTTATATGTTGTAGTTCAAAATGAAACACATAGTTAAATGATTTCAAACTACATGTACATGATTCCCAATTTCCTTCTTCCTCTAGCCCTACTTATTCATAATTATGAACAACATCAATTCCTTATGTCTTCTAACCTTAATTGTTGATTACAGAATAGACATAAGAGGTATATCACGCACTTTTCATTCCTTTTTAACTTTGGCTCAAGTAGTACAAATCGTGCAACTTATGGGAAAAATAAAATAGTGGTTTTAAAGTATCATTGTGATTAACCAAAGATTGATAATGAGTTTCTTTAATATGATACGTAATAGTATGTATTTTATATTGTAATTCGTCTTGTACCGAATTTGTTTTTCAGATAAATACACTGTTCAGTGTTTATCAGGCTATTTTCTTGGAGGCCGGAGAACTTAACACTGCACAGGTATAGTTTATGCCGTTGCGGAAACATTCTTTGATGAAATTCCAATCCTATCCGATCCTTTTTCTTTAAAGAGAAACTGTAATCTCTTTTGCAGAAAACTTGCAGGTTACTAACTACACTCTACAACACCATTGTACAAGCAGATGACCTTGGAAATGCTGGAAAATGGAAGGTTTGTGTATGAAAAACTTCCCAAGCCTTTTCACTCTTACTTAAGAATGCTGGAAATCTGGGGTGCTTACCATCTAATCCGGTTGAAAAACTGGCGCGTGAACATTCGTGGATTAAAGCTGACATTATGGTCGAAGAATTCACCATAAAGACAAGTGTGTCCAGCTCAGCTGAAAATACTTAAGAAAAAAACTAAAAAAAAAAGATATTAAAAAGCAGTAGAAACAGTAAATTGGCTCAAGTCAAACCGTATTTTCTGAAGCTTTTCAAACCGTTTTATTTCCAAACAGAATCTCTCCTTTTTCCCCATGTAAATGGTAGGTACCCCCTAATCCAAGATTTTTTTTACATGTCGTGTTGTGGAATTGTCGCATCACCGGGATTTCATTCTCAAACTCGAGAATTCGAGAAAGATGGAAGGCTACATTACAAGTTCTCCTTATTAAACCATGCTGTAACACCAGTGTGTGCCTGCAGTTTCTATGAATAAGCCAGGCCATTCAGCATGAAAATCGCGTTTGCGCAATGACATGACTAAAATGACGGCTAGAATACTGTTTTTGAAAGCAACCAGATGAAAGCTGGTCAAAATGACGCACGTTTTAACTCGATTCCCAAAAGGTGTCACAGTCTTTCTCTTCTTTTCTTGCCAATTTTTTGAAGGACAATTTCACTTGATCTCTTTCTGTTTGTGCTTGAAAGCTTTTAGCCTTTCGTTTTCCCTTGCCGAAACATCATGGCATGTATTTCCTTGTGACATTTATACATCCGCCGTTTGCGGGACCGAGTTGTTCAAAGCTGGGTGAAGATAACCCAGGGTTAATGCGAAATTTAAATTCAGATTTGAAAGCTTAAAAAGCGTATTCAGTTAAATTCTTTTTATGTACAATATGATGATTGGATGATCTTAAAAGAATAGAGAAAATTATTCGAGAAACTACTTTCGAATTTAAGGAAAAGAAACCCGGATTATAATTCAACCTCAGGTTAGCGCTAATCGTCCTTTGAACAACTGAGCCCTGGTTAAGTCTGTTTCATGGGCTTTTTGATATTTTATTGGTAGGTGAATCTGTTGTTGAAGATTTTTCTCCAGAGTTTGGAGCCCTGCCTCAGTTTTATTGATTACTGGGTTACATCAGGACTGGTTTGTGACCCACACAGTGAATTCTTTATTGAAAGGTAAGTTAAAGTATACTCACCTCTATCACTTGTACAGAGCTGCCAACAGTCGGTCATTGGATGATGACTCACACTAAATATGCCCATGTTCGACGAAATCCTGTCTGCAGTCAGACACGATGGCCAGACAAATCTAATACGAAAGACTGTCATTTTGTACCTTAAGATTTGCTTAGTAATTTGGATTTACAAAAAGAGAAATAATTTAACATCTTGTATTCGGCCAACTTTTTATCTGGATTGTCTGACTAAAACGGTGACTTTGGTTGGACATATGTCCGCACCAAAAACAAAATTATTTGCAGACCTGCTTGCCTAAAGCTACTGTAAGCTAAGCAGGACTAGTAACCAACAAGACCTAGTGTTTCAGAGGCTTTCTTTTGAACTTAAACAAAGTGGTTATGGACTTGAATCTGCCTCGTTCCCAGATGTCTGTCTCTCAATGTAAATTTGCGCTCAAAGAAAGTTGGAAAGGAGAAAACGGGCTTTCTCCTGCCCATGGTCCCTTGCGCTTCGTCACCAGTCACTCGCATTTCGCGCATTCGCCTTTGTTTGCGCCTGATGAGGAGACAGGATTTGAATTATGTTTGACACTCCACTGAAAGATAATTCATTTGATTTTGTTACACAGAAACGAAGATATCAGTGTAGACAGTTCATCATTTTGGTCTGAAGGCGTGATTCTTAGAAGCAATGATCAACTAAAAAACCCTGTTGTTCCTTGCTTTTTACAGGAGTTTGTCAATCAGGTGATGTGAACAATTCTTGTTAACCAACTTCGCAATGATAGGAAGAGCCAAATGTGATAAACATCAAGATTTTGTAACAATCAGAAGCATGTGTTTCTGGTAATAACTCATTTCCCTTTTCTTTTTCACAGATATTTCGTGCTGGTAAATCTGTGGAATTAACCCAGGGACTCGGAAAGGTAGAAACCTTTTTTTGAATTATTTTTACTACTTAAAGACGTTTCAAAGAAGGAGTACACAAAAGGGGCGTAAATGTAATACAAACCGTCCTTGCTTAGCATTGCTACTTGCGGGTTTGTATGAAAGGAATATTGTTTCTGTATTGATAAATACAGTTGAACTGCCATTGAGAAGCCACCCTCAGGGTACGGCGAGTTACCGCTTAATGGAGGTTAGCCGCGCAAAAGAGGATCGTCATAAATTAGCATAATATTTAGCAGAAACATCACTTTACAGTGACTTTATCTGGAAACATACAACCGACGGGGGCAGCATTACTGGTCCACAAGCAGTCGTGAGCTTCTATCTCGGACTTAAGTTTCCTTCATCACATTCTTAAAGTAAAGCCAAACTAAGTGTATCAAGCGCTTGATGGCCGCTTAATGGTGGTGAAAACAATGGGAGAACTCTTGTTGGGATGGCCAAAAGGTGGCCGCGGCTGAATGTAAGTTTAATAGAGGGGAGAAGTGTGACGTCAAGTTACTTTGGTGACATAACTTCTGGGTCTCAATGGTGCCAGTTGCATTGGCGAACGATGGTTAAAACTTATGGGCCACCGTTTTGCTCCTGATTGCAATCATGTACAGGAAAGTTATAAAGTCGTTTTTCTGCCATATTTGCAGGATCAAGGTTTGTCCAGATCCAGAAATTTGGTACCATGCATCGTGACGTAACGACTTATCCTTTCTATTCCCCATTCTTTACTACAATTGTTTGTGGACCTTGGTTACTGGCCACCTATTAGGTCTGGTGGCCGCTTAATGGAGGTTCAACTTTAATGTTGTAGTTGTTAACTTGTTATATTTACAGGTCTAGGGGTACCACCCCCTCCCCTCCCCCCCCCCCCTTTAAAGTGAAATTTTGCATGATTTTAAAAGAATGCTCAGTAAAATAAATAGTACCTCTATAGTACCCCCCTTCCTCTTTCTGACTTTTCTGGATTTGTCCCTGAGTTGGAGACGTTTTGATCGACAACTGCGTGTGGCCGACTTCTATTTGCAGCATTGCAGTCAAATCTGTCGTCATGGGACTCCCACACATCTGAGAGATACTTCCCTGCCCCTAGAACGAATATTTACTATATTCTTTTGCCCTTCTTCAGTCGTCTTATTTGACTTTCTACAAGGCTAACAGCTCTCTAGCCTGAGAAAACACCCGACATTTGGCGAAGCCACTACTGGTCTCCCTGCGGAATAGCGTCTGAGGAACGTGCGCAGAAATTCCATACTGATGACGTGTCACTACCCAGATCTGGATAGTGCTTTTGATTGGTCGTGGGAGGGAAATTTGCTTTAACCAATCGGGAGCATTGCGTGACACGTCATCAGTATGGAATTTCTGCACTCGTTTCTCAGACGTCATTTCGCGGGGAAACCAGTGGTGGCGTCGCGAAATGTCAGCTGTTTTCTTATGCTAATAAAAATCCAAGATGGACACTTAGTGTCAGCCCCAGCTGTGTCCGTTTTAGAGAAAGATGACTACAAGATTTTCTCGTTGTGGTATTATGTAATCCAGTGCTTCTTTCAAAAGCAGCAGTTCTCGAATTTTGAACTTTTCGTACAATTGTAATTAACAGGCTTAGCAAATTTTTTCTTATCTTGGCAGATGGGTGAATATCATTCTTCAAGAACACAAGGTTGGTTGATTCAGGGGCGGTTTATGGTTGACATTACGCTATTTATATTTAATTGACATATGCTTTGTTATTTGACGGTAGTTCACATGTCCATTGGATATCTTTTGTTTTTGGATAGGATCACTATACCAGCAGTTTCTGGATGGACTTTTGACCGAGTTACCAAGTTATCGTTGTAAGTTTATATTTGCGAACACAGTTTTAGAGAGTAGGTTAACTAATGAAAGGAAACTAAACAAAATACCTTAAATCCTCTATGAAGCCCTCCCCTCAAAAATAAGCTCCGCCCTCTCTTTAATAACCTTTCCTTTTTCGGGGGAACAAATTCAATAACCCCCCTCTCTTTTAATTCCCCCACGTCCCTCCCTCCTTATTATTCTTCACATCAAATTTTATAAGTTGTAATACTAGTCACTCCTAGTGGACTGATCCGGTATGGTTTATTCACGTGTTGGAAGTTGGGATTTGTTTTTAATATTCAGCTGCATGACCTCCAACAACCTCCTTCATATACTTGAACTTTTCCACTTTGCTTTTTAGTTATGTATGGAAAACTGATACCGTCATTCTCGTGAAATTAACTAAGCTCCCTTCTCAAAAAAGCCTCCCTCAATAGTGTCCACTCCCCCCCCCCCCACACCTCCCCTCATGGGCCCAGAGTTAATTCTTAATCCGTGTTTCTTTTTCTTTTGCTCAAAGGCATTTCCTCGCATAATTTTCTCTATCCTTTTTAAAGCATCCAATCACCAAATTGTAGGCATGAACAATCAAACTCAATTTGCTTTTCTATCTTTCAAATGTGAATTCAAATTTCGCACTAACCTTGGGTTACCTTAACCAAGCTTTGAGGAACATATCGGCCCTGAGGGCTTAATAAAGGATCTACGGTAAATAGATAAATGAATACGGAAATGAGCAAATAAATAAATAAACAAGTGAATAATAAAAAGAAAAACAATGGTGATAGCGCATCTACGGGCTGGTTCTCTGTCTCCCTCTTCGGATTGAATTGGAAATTGGACGTGCTGCATGGGTTTGTTGAAAGTGAAAAACGAGAACACAGGCCTCGAGACAAACCGATCCCCCGAAGCAAGAGCAAGAACCGGTGACTGATCCATGGGAGGGCCCCCCCCTCCTCCTTATTTTTGGACCAAACTGAGGCCAGAAGGACCGAAAAAAGTTTGGGGGAGACCGGGCCCCCCTTTATCCAAGGGTCTGGTTGACCCCCCGCATTGTTCGAGTAGAAGATTTTTGTTGTCGTCTTTGTTGTTGTGTCAGTGGAGACCTTTAGATTCGAGGACGAGAACGACTACAAGTACGAGATTTGACTGAAAGTTTTTTCGCCTAAAATGAAAAAAATAGACACCTCGAAAAGCTTCTTTATACTTTTTGTCCACCAGAAAGGTCAGCACTTTTCTTTTTATTGAAGGAGGTTAAACCCTCTCCCGATCGCAAAATGATAAAACTTCTAACATTTTATAACTTGTCTCCGCCACTACGACACTCTCGCTCAAACACGTAGCTGAATGAAGACGGCTATCACATTTTCCCGTCAAAAAGACACTGGTTCACGTGTGAGCAGTACTTAGAACCTCTTAGTATTGAGAAAATCTTGTAGTCGTAGTCGTCTTCGTCTCAGAGTAAGGTCTGTAGTGACTCTGTTTATTGCTTTACAGCTCCAGAAGACAGTGGCTTAGGTGGGGACTCTAATCAAGGAAACCTTCTTGATACTATAGCTGATTCTAATCAAGTACTATCAGTAATCTCTGATGCCGGTGACCATGTCCTGAAACTCTCATTCATGGACTCATCGCCTCTTAACCAAAGCACATTCTCAACCAAAAGGTATACCTATAATTAATTAATTAATTAACTTTTTGCAAGCTCAGCAGAAACAAGCTCAATGAATAGTAATTAGCTAGCCGTGTGTATGGTTGGCTAACAGTGCCTGATGGTAGTTGGTGACCATTCCATCTATGTGTTACATCTTTGTTTACTCAGCAGGGGCGTAGCCAGCCCTTAGACCTGTAGGCCCGGGCCTACAAATTTTTGATAAATTATGCGTTGTTGGGGTGAGCTAAAAAGCTTAAGAGCTCAAAGTGTCGGTGAGGTCAGTGTAGTCACGCTTGTAATGTTCAGGATATGTGGAAATGAAAGTCAGCCAGGCCTACAATTGGTCGAAAAGCTGGCTACGCCCCTGCTTAGTGTAAAAGGGATTCTCAATGTAAGATTTCACCCTAAGAATATCGATTGGCCCTTTAGAGCTAGTCATTCACGTGCTACAACGCTTCCATGCTGGAGAGTAAAGGACGCACAGGGACAAGACAAACAAAAACCTTACATAATTTAAAATGGTAATTTCGTTTGTGTTTCTAGTCCCAGTGTATGTCTTTCTCTCCACTGATGGCGGTTTTGTACCACGTGAATGACTAGCTGGTGAGAGGCAATAGGGACAGTGGAACTAAGATCCCAGTACCTTTTCGCCTACGATCATACAAAAAAGGATCGAATCAGTACCACAGCGAACCGCTAAGAGAACAGTACCCATCACTGTCTAACAATTGATGATCGAAATCCACCATTTGTGAAATCCGAAATGCAACAATCGCTAACAACTACAGTGCCAATAGTAGCCCAGCTCAACGTTTTGACACCATCGTCTGGTACGTAGTAGCAGGTAAAGGTCGAAACGTTGCGATTAACAACAAATCGACCATCGTGAGACAACTTCCACGCACATTACTTCAGCTGGCTTGCTTTGCAATGATGAGACAAGCCAGTTTGATCGTATTATAATTACCCCCATCTATGACTTCCCGCGTTTGACCAAAAGCCTAGATTACCGTTTGTAATGAATAACTCGCAAGGAAGTACGCGAGTCAAACAATGAAAGTCAAATCTCCTCTTTAGGGTGGTTGTGAAAGGAATTGTTTAAACAAAATTGCTAGCAGATGTCTTTAAGTCCAATTTTAACAAAGGTCCTCTTTATTTGTCTTCTATTGAAGCTCTGTTGATGGAAAGCTTGAAAGAATCTGTTCAGGTATGTGGCGCATGCAACTGAATAAGCTTTTTGATGGCTTTATATACAGTAGGTAGTTGGCTGACTTGGAAAGTGCAAGGATGCGCTGGTTTTCTCTGTGCATCAAAGGAGAATAAACTGAAGCAGAGCATGCGTGTGCGCTGTTTTTAGGCAAAAATGATCAGAGCATGCGCGAGCTCTTTGGGGTCGGGCAACAGGAACAACTCTTTTCTCATAAGAACCGCTCGTTAAAGTTGACTCGGCTCGGGTGACTCTCTTTGTCGGGTCAACTTTTCTCCATGGTTTCTCTATTTCCTTGCTCAATTTTTCATTTCCAAATGTAAAACTTGAAATCCATCTCTTTGCTTTATTTCAGGTAAATGATATTTACACAAGATTATTTCTCTCGTTACAGGTGTTGTAGGTCTGTTAAAGCCCGTGAAAATATTACTTCATGAATGTCTCACACCTCTTATTGAGGAACGTTGTTCGCAGGTCAGTGAAACAGCTGTTTTCAAATCATTGTTCAGTTTATAAATAAATTTCATATCATTGTAGAAGTATAACCTGAGATCAGACTTTATTTTCTTTTCGTTTGGTAAATGAAACTCCTATGGCCTAGTCGAAAAAAGAGCGCATCATTTTTTTGCGCGGCCCCAAATAGAGACCTGGCTTATCTCAGGTTAGTAACATTGGCACCAAAGTGATCTTCATGTGATGTCATTATTATAGGGAAGCATTTCAGTTGTTCGTCTTCTGAAAACAGAGTTTTGTCTGCTGGATCATTTGGCAGCGATGAGGGTGAGTAAAGTACAGTACCGTACAGTACAGTTTAATCCTCCAATCAGTACTCATAAAGACTTGACCGAAACCGGTAACGCGCGCACGAAAAATCTGTGGCGCCCAGGGTAGCCTTGCTGTCGCGGCTTCGCGCGAATTATCAGGAATTAGGGAAGAATGAAAACCCACCAGTATCCATAGCCGCATAGCGGAGTTGCCAGTGTTACATTTTTCTAACCAGGACTTCTCTGACAGTCTTCAATGCTGAAATGCAATCGGTAATTTATGAACGTCTTTACTTTTTATTATTTCGTAGAACTTCTTTCTTTTGGAGGCTGGCGATGCAATGCATCAGTTTTATGTCGAGATATTTAACAAGGTGAGAACTTGTCTGAAAGACACTCGATTAACAATTACATTATTACTGATGAAGCAGTTGTCAATGGTAAATGGAGGAAGATTGATTGTTTTACGGTCAGGATTTTACAATACAGACTATTGCTACAAAAACCTTTTTTTGCGTATTTTTTCTTGTTCTTCTTAATATTCATTCTTTGGCTGCAATAGCCGACGCTCCTGATCGAACGTCAAAATTCTAACATGACTCCGAGGCTTTTTGGTCATTTTTCTATGTTTGGTTTGGTTTTCTTTGTGCTCAACTCTCTTGGGAATTGCGAGAAAATGGAGTCGTGTAAAATTAGACTGCGAACAGTCTCAGGCTCTCTTTTGTCTTCAGATTTAGTGAGGGGATTGCATGCGCGCGCGAGCGTCGAGCAGCAAAGCCGCGAGACGCGAGAAACGAGGGCGGCAGCCCTAGAAGCCTCTCCCGTCTCGCGCCTTCAGCAATGTGCGTGGTCAGGAGCCCATCAAATGGAGCCTCCATCTCCCATACAAGCCCTTGGAGTCAACCCTTTCCCGAGTAGATTTATAATTAGAACGGTTCCCAGGGGAGACTTCGCGCACCGACGGTGGGAAGAGCCAATCACAACGACTAAATGACACTGCTATTGTACTTCATGAAACAGCAGGAAATCCGGTGCTGACAGGCCAAACAAAATCATAAGCTAGTGAAACGTGACTTCAGCGTTTTCATCCCTCAGAGATTTTCTTTCTTTTCTTTCTAGCGGGTAGATTATACTGTGGACAGTTTTAAATTTTGACTATGTTAATCTTAATTTTGGTTGCTTGTCTCACATTAAGAGGCCATGAAGCTGGTCTGTTACATGCGTAATGATTAACCACTACCTGCAGTCTGTAGTTCTGACAGGATTCGTTTTCTTTAGCCAATTTTTTTTAGCGTTAAGGTCCTTATTTCGGCTAAATGACTCAATATTAATCAAATTTCTAGTTTTTCAAGTTTTTATCCGAAATGCGTTTGTCTGAATAAATACTGTGGTTGTTTTGTCCGTCAGTTAGTGTGACGATTCCCTGCTTTGTTTTGTAACGCCGAGCCCAGCCATTGTTTTCTTGCAAAAAAGTGATCTACAGATGCAAATTCGAAGGAAAGAATTGGCCTAAACTTCTACATTAATTGCTGAGAATTCTCCTGTTTGTCAGTCATAATTCTTTGGGCGCAGATACAATCCATTTTGTTTTTCTTGAGATAAGAGGGTCTTTGGACTGGAGCGCGATGTCACAAATTCCACCGTTAGCAAATTACTTTTGAGTTAGCTTCACAGTCGAGCAACAGTTCTCTTCTGTTCAAATTTCAAGTGCCAGTTTTATCAGGCAACTCTCATGGTGATACAAGTCAGTTGTAAAGGAAGACTGCAATTTTTCTGAAGCATTCCTCCTTAGTTGCTACTTAGGTCATCGCTTTTGCTCGCGGTGCTTAACTGGCGAAATCCACTCCACGGCGATGACAAAAATCAAATGATCCTGGCACTTTTTCGGCGCTGATCATCGAAAAGTTTCAAATCGTCCACAGAACGCTTAATCGTCGACTCTTTTCAAGGTGCAGGCTTAGATGTGGGATGTATGACGGCAAAAAAAACAAAAACAAAAACAAACACTCACAAAGAACCTTTCCGTGATCCTCAGTTCGCTGCCTTTGTCCCATCGCTTCATGCTCAGTCTCAGTCGGGTAATTCATTAACTTTTATTTCATCCCAGATCCCAGCGGCTGTAAAACTGTAAAAATGGACGTATAGTAAAAAAGGAAAACGGTCGAAGGACGGGCTTCTGAGTTCGACTTCATCCAACTTCATTTTTTTCACGGTGACATACGAGACTCACGGAAATATGACACTTTTCGCGGGAAACAAACCGTTCTATTTATAAATCTACTCGGGAAAGGGTTGACTCAAGAAATTAATGGAGATGGAGGCTCCATTTGATGGGCTCCTGACGTGGTCATTTTCGTGTGTCGCGCCTTTTGCTCGACGGACTGAGAAAAAAGAAAGACTGCTCCTAGTGTATGAAAAACTTGCAATTTTGTCGCTAAGCCTCGGAGTCATTTTAGAATTTTATTATATCAAACGTGGGCTATCAGCCATTCTAAAGTTACGCGTGAGACTGGCTCCGCCTTATGTCGAATTGCACCATGGGATTGTTTTGGAGAGGCTGTCGCTTCTTTTATTGGCAGGCTCAGAATTCACCTCCCCTTCCCCCGCCCCCTTTCCCCCCTCCCCGAGTCCCATGGTGCAATTCGGCATAACAAGGCCAAAGACTAATCAAGCGCAACTTTAAAACGAGCAATCGCGAAGAACAGTTGTATGAATGATGCAGGTTACAGTGTATATGTGCATTCGTAATTAGGAAAACTAATATTTTTTCCTTTTTGCTGTACTTATGAACGGTGATAAAACTTTCAGGCGAGAAGACTTGATCCATGGCAGGACATTTCATTCTTGAACAGTTTAATGCAAGAAGCACTGCAACCTCGCTTTCCTCAAGCTGTAGACAGGTGAATACAGCGTATAATTTCTTTTAAAAAATCTGGGAATCGGTTACTTTTTGGGAGTATTTAGCATCTTAAAATACACGGTAACGAGTGTTATTAAAAAAAGGATAAAAATTGCGTGCATTGACAACCCTGCAATATAACAGATAACAACATTTTTCCCCTTTATTGGCGGAGCTCAACATTTGCCACTCTTCGTAATTTTTTAAAAGACATAATGTATTCAACACTAATGCTCCTGATAATATGCAGGACGTGTGACATATAAGAGATTGAGGTTGAGATTTGCTCTTGTGCGTTAGTAATTAAGGTATCAATATACGCTTGGGATTATTATTCTGGCAGTAAACGAAGCTTCAAATTTTTGGAGAAGTCCAGGACACTAAGGTGTTATAAATTAAAGAGAATTTCTTGAGTGATTGTCGCAGTGTAAGTTATGGTTTGTTTCCCAGAATTATATATCGTACGGACTTTTGATTTGTATAGGTTTTGTTTGGACGCATAACGAATGTTGTAGCCATAGGCATTACCAGCATATTGGGAAAAAATAAAACGGTCTTGGCAAAGCAAAACGAAACGATAAACGTTGTGTGCTGTCAGAACCTGACTGCGAGTTACACCCGGCCGGTATTCGCCAAGAAGGGAACTGGGCCGAGTTAACCTGTTTTCGCAAAGACTTCTGGGACTGTAAAAAAAAATTGGCCAATAGATGAACGGCGAGGACGCTGTAGCGATCCCAGAGACAATTGCGGGACGCATTTCGACTCCAGTTCCCTTGCCGTCTCTAAAGTGGTGAATTGTGGGGAGCGTCCGGTCGGACTCATATTTCTTCCAAGATTTCTTTCTTCAGGCGTTCACTAAGAAGCCTGCACCCTACATCACGTCTGTGCATTATCTGGTCGTAATGCACATTCCAAGACATTTTATATCGTTACTATTCATACAGTTATACTGTAGTTAGAAGAACTAGGGATAGATTGTTGCTCGCTGATTCCCAGTATATTTCTTGTTCTTATTCAAGGTTGGTAGTAAGTTTATCAGCAACAAGCTCCAACGGCCGTAAACAGCTGGGTCAATCTTTACAGGGACTTGGACTCACCTACAAGGTATTCATATTGTTGACTATAAATACATTTTTGTAATTCGTCCAAGTTTTGCAAATTAACTCATTCTCTCGTTCTCAAAGCATGCCGTTCCTTTTATTGACACAGTTGTTGAAACAAGAGATATCTTTCAAACCGGAAAAATACCTTAGAAAGGCTTTGGGACGAGAATTTTCCATGTATCAGTGATGATTTGAGTAGTGCTATCCAGTTTGCGTTAGTAACTTATGGCAAAGTTATGAGTTTGTTGAGAAATGTTCTCATAATTTGTTCTCATTTTCTTTTAGGCTCCCTGGCCAGTTAACATTGTTATTGATGGTTCCTGTCAGAAGCTGTACAATTTAGTGTTTCTCTTCCTTTTGAAACTAAAACAGGCAAAATGGAGCTTAGATGAACTTAGATTTTCAGGTAACCACTACCTTTTATAACTGTAGAAGAACTAAAAGTCCAGTTCAAATGGTGTCCGTTTTAGACAGTTCATTGTAGTTAAGGTAGCCATTAGCCTGCGAATATAGCCGTCTTTCCGCGCTCTTCGTCGATGCGAAACGTCCCTAGCCACGGCGAGAAGCGACGAGAGACGGTTGTATTCGCAGGCTAAGGTAGCCATTTTCTTTGTTAGACCTTCAGGGTGACAGACGATTGCCACAGGAGAAAGATGACGTGAGTGATGAAGATGAAGCAGAGACCAAACCAGACACAGATGATTCCAGGAAACCTGATCAGGATCTCCTACACAAAATGTTTGTTTTCAGATTTAAGCTGATGCAGTTTATCAACAGCATTCACAATCACTTTATGACGAGAGTACGTTGAAATTTGCGTTCATGTGGTTATGGAGCTTACGTAACTACGATCGAGACGGCAACGGCAACGGTAACGAGAACGTCAACGAAAAGAAAAGGCCTTTATTAAGGAAAACAACAATTCTGGCCTTTTCCAGGCGTTCAGACAGTGGAAGGTGGCGCGAAATGGAGAGCGGAGGGAAAAAAAGAAAGCCCTCTCTCCTTACTCCCACCCCCTCTTTACTTACTCCCACCCCCTCTTTCCTCCTGACCCCACCCCCTCTCTCCTTACCCCTACCGTACCCCTCTCTTGTTTCTTTGCGCCGTATCCACTATCTGAATGCCTGAAACAGGCTAATTTTAGCACATTTCGATTCCGTCACTGCACTACTACGAAGTGAAATTTCCTAACTTCTAACTTCAAGTTTTATGGAGGACGTCGTCAGAAGATGAAGTTTTTCTTTTTCTTTCCCTGAACTTGGATACGGTTTTTAAGAATTCAACTCCAGAAATATTCGGCTAGATTTGACAAATTTTTGCGGAGTAATGTATTTATCGCGATGAATTTTGAAACAGCGCAAATTCCCTTTTTAACTTTAACTTTTTAACTTCCGTAGCTCTCGTGGTTCCGTATGTCGCCTAGTGATGAGAAGAACGGAGAATCTGTAAAGATGATGTTACACAGGGAGATTCGCAACGACGATTTTTAGCGCAACACAGCGTTGCAATGTTAGAACAATGCTGTAACCACTCAAAACAATGCGTGTCGCAACGCTGTGTTGCGCTAAAAGCGAGTAGTCTTGTGTAACATCACCTTAAAATTTCTTTACAACTCCAAGTACGTGAAAAGAAAACGAGATACAGGAGGAATTAAGTTATTGCCCTCGTAGTTGCGTAAGGTTCCTTATTAAAACTCAACAGCTGTTTCGTATATTAATCTTGTATCATTGTCAGCTAACAAACATAGTTTACGTAACCTGTTGTGAAATGTATGCTCTTGGCATCGTATCCAGTTATCTGCCTTAAAGTATACAGAAACTGTGAGAAACTCACTTTTATAGTAACGATATTCAAGTGATGGAACCTTTGGTAATAAACACCCACTTATCTTCTACCCTAACTGCTTATCCCATTGGACCTCGCATCTTTGACCTGCACAGCGGAAGCGATCTCTGTCGAGTGCCAATCTTCCAACTTCTGTTAGGGACGTATCGAAAATATCCCGTATGTCCCTTTCCCACTGCCGTCTTGGTCTTCCCCTTTCTCTTTTCCTGTCTATCTTTCCTTCCAAGATGATCTTTCCCAAGCCCTCACTTCTTTTCAAATGGCCAAAATACTTCCCAGCTTTTGTTTCTTTATACAAATGAGGTCCTCCCTAATTGACTTACTTGTTCTGTGCTCCGACCATGATATTTTTAAACGTTTTCTATAGCACTTCATTTAAAAGTGTTACTTCTTTATAAGGTTGTTTTTTTAAAAAACTACTAGTGTTCATAGGCGTACTTGTCCAATTTCTTTCGTTTTGAATGATAGATTTTGCATTCAACTGGACTGGAATTTCAACAAACCTTAAACCAGGTACTTATTCTTACATCTCTGATTGATATAACCGGCAAATAATGAAAATTGAAATCGAATTTGAACTGTATATCTTTTTTGATAGGCTCATAATCTGGATGATCTCATCAAAGCACATTCAACGTACATTCAGAAAGTATACGACCGATGTTTACTTAGTCAAAAGGTATGACAAGCCATTGGCGGATCCTTAATTTGAGTTATTCTCAACTGTCATGTCGCGAGTGAATATTGATAAGCTGTAGCCTCCCCGCAGACGTCCTTTGGGGTTCGTTTGTCACGCATTCATTTCGAATGCGTGACAAACGAACCCCAAAGGACGTCTGCGGGGAGGCTAGATAAGCTGGTCGTCGTCTTTAGTATATTTTGAAATACATCATCAAATCTTAAGTCATTTTCAATCGTATTTAAGATATGTACCTTATAGCTAATAAAGTGTTATATTTGTGTGAAAGTTAGCCAAAAGAACAGCGAAGGGCCCACGTAGCATCACTCTCCATTCTGCGCCAATCTCCACTATCTTAACGCGTGAAAGTAGTCTTAGCAATACATGTTCATGATAAGAACAAGGACGATTTACTTTCAAACTTCCTTGCCTTGAATATAAGTTAATTTCTAAAGCCCAGTTTCGCCTCATATCATCGTCCAGACCGTGTCGTTCGTCTCTGATTTTTTTGGACATTTCACGCGAATATATATATGAACATCAGCCTGTTTCCAGTCTGTGAAAACAGCCGACATTTCGGGACGCCATCTCTGGTTTCTTGCGAAATGACTTCTGAGGAACGACGGCAGAAATTCCATACTGATGACGTGCTAGTTTCCAGATCTGGGTAGTGCTTCTGATTGGCTGAAGCAAGTTTTCTTTTTCCTTGTCAGGTTGGATATTTAAGAGAAGTAATCCTTAAAGTCCTCAATTTAGTTCTGTTGTTTCAGTCCTACTGGGACAATGGCATCCAACACATCAGGTGGGGAAAAACTTTGTGTAGATGTATATTAAAAACGTTTCCATTTCCCCGTTGCCTCAAGCCTCTGTTTCAAAGCGAGGCTAAATGCGAAGCCATTGATTGAAGCCAGGTTTTGAGGCACTCAGCCTCGGTTTGAAACTGATAGTGTTTGGAACCTGAAAATTGTCTGTTAAGACGCCACGAAATTACCGAGGTTTTCAAAACTTATATTTTCGCCCTTTTCTAAAATTCCTTAAACATTTCTTATTGTTTTTTCGTATCTTTTATTGCACATAATTTTTGTTATTTTAAACCTGTTAAGTTCCCAGAGTGGCCAACATCAATTTTCTCGTGTATAATATTTTCAACACATGATCAAGAGATAAGGTTGTGAGGATCAATAAAATGTTCACAAAAGGGAAGATACTTTGATCCTTTATCAAATTCTCTCAAATAATTCTCAAAGGAAATGTGTCAAGATCAGTTAAGAGAATTTGTTTGCGGATATTGGGGATTAAAAGGTTAACTCTGCCTGAGTGTCTCAGTTTAACCCTTTAAGCCCTAAGAGTGATCAGCATCAATTTTCTTCTCGTAATATCAATGCTTTGTAAAACAGTGTGGTCATGAGAATTAAGGACATGATCACACAAGATGAATATAATTGATACTTCGACAAATTCTCCCCACTACTCCTATTGAAAACGTATAGGGATAACACACGAGAATTTGAATTTTGATGTTAGGGTTTAACGGGTTAAACAAAGGGGCCTTTACACGCCATCCATCAAAGTCGCCTGTGTTTTTGAAGTCTATTCGCCATAGAGAACCAAGTATCTCTCAAATTTGATGTACTAGAAGATTATCGAAGAACCGTGCACCTTACAATAATACTTTTCTCTGTTTTTCCTTTTTGTTTAGTGAGGAAAAGTTCAACAAGATTGACGACGAATTTACCAAGTGTAATACATTCCTTGTTTCCTGTCTTGGGAATATCGTGAAGCGAGGGGCATTTCCACATTGTAAGTCATTTCTCTGAAGAGTTAAAAACTTTTCCTCAACAAATTTAAGTCCTTCATCAGTGGACATGCTCGAAAGTTTAGTCTTACAACGTAGCTTTGAGCCACTCTTTACGGAAGGAATGTTCCTTTCCAGGCTTTGCCTTCTTTTTGGACTGAAGAAAGGCGCACGGAGATCGGCATCTAACGTCCCCACTCTCACATTTGTTGTCTCCACACTTTTCGTCGTCCTCGCTTTTCAGTGGAAAACGCACGAAAACGCCGAGGCCCTCTTTAAGATGGGGGTGCGGGGAAGGTTTGGGATGAAAGTTTTTTCCTCGCAACAACATCACATTTCGTTCAATACCGAATTTGTTTGAGTCGAAAGGCCGAACGCGTCAGTGTCGAAATGGGGAAAAAATTGGAAAGTTACCCACGCTTTGCTAAGATATCAAACCAACAAACCTTCAGTTTCTATACATCGATATACACTTGAAAGCTAGCTGCCGAAAACGATTCCCTGGCGTGGAAAAAAACCCGGGAAAACATCAACGCCCTTTAATCTAGTGTATCTCTGCTATGGCACTGCCCTATAACGTTGCCAACATCTGGCATTTGCAAAAGTATTATTTTGAAAATAATGGTGCAAATCCTTGCAGCACGCTGAAGAATCTTAATGAGCTTTCAAACAGTTGAAGTGTAGCAAGCTACATTTATGACCCCCTCTCCCCCCCCAAAAAAAGGAACAGAAAAAAACAGCAACAACAACAACAAGCCAAATTGTCCGTGTAACACTCATAGAAAACTTCCCCACTTATTTTGTTTCAACCTTTTTTTAACTCTTACCCCTCTCCGTTTTTCTGTTCTCAGTGGATTCCTTGGCTTTTGCATTATCTTCATCGCCAATCCTCACATCTAACAGCTGACAATTTATCCCGCTGATGCTCAACCTGGAGATTGCATATTATACTAATCTCTTGAAAGCACCACATCTTAAAGTGGGGAGATTAGCCTTTGAGACGATTACAGACAAATTTAGACCACAAAAACATCACTGAAGAAGTCACCTTGTGCGTCAAGTATGCATGTGATGTAACCAAGTGATCATACTTCAAGACCCAGTCACAGAAAACACTACAATATTTTCATCTTGTTCAAGAGACCATGTGCCTTTATGATCTTGACTTGTTTTGGTTATTCTCTTGTTCTCTTATGGGGAAGCCAAGTGGAGTGGTGAGGTCTTGGGCCACCCACAACAGCCTGATAGAAACAGCTCTGTGTCTACGTTAAATTTGTCTGGTAACGAGAGGGCAAATGACTGGAGCTGGATAAAAACAGATTACTAATGCCTGTTGAAGTGCAGACATATAATATTTTATGGATGAGAGGCACTCAGTGCTTCATGAGTGTTCCCCGCATCGTTGATTTTGAAAGCAGTGAGCGGCTCACGGGGAAAGTAGAAAATGTAATGCGATCAATGAGCTGGGTATTCACTCATTCGCTCCGGGAAATTTTGCCGAAAAAGCTACAACTAACCAAAAAGCCGTTTACAGTTCGTACAATGGCATTCTAATGCAGCTGCAAAATATTGGCTTCCGAATTTCGGGCATGTGCAGAAAGCAAACTTTTTCATCTTGAGTTTAAAAGTGACACAGCAGTTTTGAAAGTTTCTTTTAGCTTTTCCTCGTGCCCTCTTCTTCCGCTTTTCTTGCCTCGTGTTTTATTTCTTTTGCTGGGCAGTCATTTAGTCGGCTTCATTTTGGTGGGAAACGTTTTCGGGAAAGCTTGTAGGATCTAAGGATTAGGTGAAAGGAGAGGTAGGTGGGTAATGGAACAAGATTTTCATGGGAATTTTCGGGTCAACGTTACATGGTTTTCTGCATTTTTCTCTAGCTTTTTCCAGACTCTCAGATAGTGGGGAAGACGCGAAAGTGAAAGGAACGCGAAAAGTTGGTGGGGCGGGAAAAAGGAAAAAAGAAGGGTGTTCACGCTTTCTCAATTCAGCGGACTCAACTATCTCGGAGCCTGGAAGTCAGGCTACTTTCTCTCCGGTCTACTTGACCGAAACATGCTCATTGTCGTATGGTGTGAAAGGTCTCTTCACCCTTCAAAAGTTAGATGACAAAGTTGTCCTGGACCATCAAAACTGATGACGTCACAAGCGGTAGAAGGGACGTGGTAACCTCGTTCCCAGGGTTCTCTCTCAATTTGAGGCAAAAGAGAGAATGCTGGAAACGAGTTGGGGATGTGGATCTGCACGGGTGGTTACCGGTGGTTCAGCAGTGAATGGGTTAAGAAAGAAAATAGAAAAAAATGACAAATCAGTGTTTGTTAGCCCTCAGAAAATACCTACAGTGCAGGTTATATTTATTGCAACAAGAAAATCTCACTCTACATAATAAGGTTGTCACATGCTTCTCTGGTCCTTATTTTTAATATACAATGTCCTATTTCTGCCAAGAAATATTTACAAGAGATGTACATGTATGTATTGTTGTGTTATGCTGCTCTAATAATAATAAAAAAACTTTAATAATGAAAGGATTATTGTCAGTGAAAAAATCTTCACATCTTCTCTTATTTCAATGACTATTGGTTATGTGTGCCAAAGTCCTGAATTTAAATCATGTAATCTGGTGATCCAGGAGATTAAACATCTATGGACAAACTAAGGATGACAGAAAGTAAACAACACTCTTTTGAGTTTTGTTGTGCAACTACTCAAGAAAAAACTTTTCAGTTGTACTCTCACACTAGGTTTGAGTCTGTGGATGAAATCCCATGGTATGTCATTCAAATTAGACCTACTATTTATTTAGTATGTAGCTTTATCCCATGGTTTGACCACTCAAATGACACCTCTTCAGCAGAACTTTCTCGTGGTACTATTTGTTTATGTAGTTGTAACTTTTGAGTCTGTGGATGAAATCCTATGGTGTTACCATTCAAATCAAACCTCTTCAGCAGTACTTTCACATGGTACTATTTATTTAAAATGTAAAGAACTTTTGAGTCTGTGGATGAAATTCTATTGTGTGACCATTCGAATGAAACCTCTTCATCAGTACTTTCTTACATGTAATTCTAATTTACTCTGTTTACTTAAGTGTAGTTAAACGTTATGCCTCTGTTGATGAAATACTTTCATGTACAGTAATCACTCAATTGAGACCTCTTCAGCAATACTTTCACATAGTACTATTTATTTAACCTGTTAGTTCTGACTTTTGAGCCTGTGGAGTGTGGACGAAATCCTGTGGTGTGACCATTCAAATGACACCTCTTCAGCACTACGTTCACATAGCACTATTTATTATTTTAATCTGTTAGTTCTATAATGTGATCATTCAAATGAACCCTCTGCAGCATTCATTTGGCATGGCCCTTTGCTTGGGTGCTTGGGACTAAATGACTCAACTGGTATGCTACACTGATTGAATTCAATATTAACTTCAATATTGTAATCATGTTTACAGGGCTGTCACCAAGGTTATAGGTGACTAGGTATAGCCAATTGCCAGCTGAAGGTTGGGCTCACAATTGGTGGAGGAAATCCCCTGCCCATAGTCCTTAATCACGGCCCTGTGTCAATGTAAATATGTTACTCCTCTAACTGTTTCTAAGGTTATCTTCTCACACCTTGCCATGATTATAGAATTGTTGCTATTAAAGACACTAACTAAAAGGTCCTGAGGGTCCAAAATAATTGCGGTTGACTGTGAAGTCCAATGTTGTGCAAAAAGTAACAACAACAACAGCAACAGAACAAAAAAAACAAAAAAAGAAAACTAGCTGCAAACATCATCAGCATTCGTGAAACAAGATCTGTGGAAACTGCCCCCCTGAATCATTTGTACCGTTAGGACTGGTTTGACCATTAAACTTGAAGATAATGCCATCACACTCAACCATATTCAACCCACTAGAACCATACCATGAACTTGTGCCTGAGATATTGGCGCAAATCCTATACTGCACATTTGCTTCAAGACTAACAGGGCGATCAAACAGAACATCAAAGCCATAATAGCCATCAGTATATTCTGCATCAGTAGTGAAGCAGCCTTCCACTGAACATAACTCTTGATCACTTTCATTTCTTCCTTGAACTGAGTATAGCTTGAGGGAGACTTCATACGAATACCCCCGACTCCCAAACAGCCGCACCCCACGCATAACAATTGGGGTATTTACTGAAAATACCAAGCCATCAGGTATTCCACTAGAGTAGCCCCAGCCATGACTAACTTGGGGAAATCTCTTGCAGCGCGAAAATGAATGAGTGTATAACATTCTTGGTCGTTTGAGGAATTTAGGATTACTTATTGACACTGAGCTGAACCACATAAATAACTCAATAATCTCGTCTTTGGGGAGGAGACCTGAGCGAGGGACCTCTCTTGCAAACTGTGCTTGAGTCATAAGAGGAAAGCGAATATTGTTTATAATATCTTCCCCTGCTACTCTTCTCTTATTGTCCTTTGTGGGTTCAAGATCTTGTCTAACGCATTCCGCAGCAGCCCAGCGGTCTACAGCTTGGAATAACTCAATCTCGTGAATTGAAAGCCCATCTCGCGTGATGACTTCAAAGAGAAGTTCTTTTGTTATTGATGGAAATGTCTCCGATTTCACCGCTTCTTGAGCGCTGACATCCACAACTTCCCAGCAACGAGCAACAAGCTCGTCGTCTTCGAAACTCTTTGCATGAGGAAGGATATCAAAAACGTTTTCAGAAGAGAGGTTTTCGGTCAAAAACGTCGAGCAAGCTACCTCTAATTGCGGCACTATATACTTCTTTGCCAAGTATAAAACTTGCAGCACCGAACTCCCAGTGAGGTTAACTTCATCACAATAAAGAAACCGAAGGAATTCAAGAAAGCTCTCAGAGTCACAGTCAGGTAGCTCGATTTTGTCTTTTCTCTCTGAAAGTCTGCCGTAAAACATGGCATAAAACACTGGACTGCTTACAGCGAGCACAAACTTATGAGCTTTGAATACAACCACGTCCTCCATTGCATCTTTGGTCACAAACGTAACATCGCTCATGACGTCGTTATTGACCATCATCTTAAGTCGTTCCTTGATGGTCTTTCCCTTGGTATGGGAATCTTCGCCTTCGTTTGAAGCCATGACGTGTTTGTGTTAAAAAAACTCGCTACTGATGGGTCAAAAACACACGTAGGACAAAGCTTCGTCGCCCGTTCCTATGGACTTGAGTCAAAAATGGCGGATCGTGTTTAGTTCCCAGATCCACGCGATCATTTTTCTTCCTTTTCCCTATTTTCCTCTTCACTTCCATTTTTTCTGTTTTTTTTTTAAATGATAGTACCGAGAGATAGATAACTCAATGTTTTACCTCGCTTTTCACAAACATGCGAACTCTGTAAAGAAGATTGACGGCAGCGAAAAACGCAATCGTCAGTTGGCTTCTGAAGTTGTCTTCAGAATTGGCATGTTTTTGAAAAGCGCAGTAATGATGAGTGTTTTCTAAAGACGCCATACCCAATATAATTTTGGCTTATATTATAAGAAAATGTACGTATGTGTACGTATGTTTACGTACGTTTTGTAACAGGTTTTTTATCCTTCTTTGCGCCCTTGGGACCCTTTACGCTAATTTTAGTGCATGGCATTTCCCGAAAATGTTCGGCAATGCCGCGGTCTGGTAAGAACTCTGCAGTATTTTCCCGATCTCGGCGGGATTTCCCCGATTTTTCTTGAAATCCCATCCCGACCAAAATGCGATCAGCCATAGGAAAAAAATCCCGATTTTGACATCTGTTCTTATATTTCGTATGAATTCTTATGATACTTACCCAAGAACAGAGTATACCTACAACTGATATCCCAAAAAAAAAAACGAAATGTGGGCTCCCGGATCCTGCAGCACTTGTACTCGAAGACACGTAAACATATATAGGCATGAAAATGACAATTGCGGGATCGAACATTTTAGACAGAAATTTTTCTCTCAGACTAAAAATAGCGTTGCAGAGCACAAAGATTTCAATACTTTCTGGGGGAGCATGCACCTACACCCCCTCCCACTAACTACTCGAGCCTTCAGCACTCGCCCGATTCTTCGGTAATTGAAGAATATCCCGATTGTACTCACTCAAAAGGTTGGACATTCTGGTAACGCTCGTGTATTATTTGCTCATGATAAGTCGTCAATGTTTGCCACGGGAGCCAACGGTAATTAATTCTGAAACATATCTGAAAACCACAACTTATCATGGTCAAGTTCATCAGCGACGGATCTCGATAAAAGATCTGGATCAGCAAAAGACATAATTTTTTATTTAAAAAAGCAGCAGACTGATCAGATCGCGGTGAAAACGTAACAGCAACGATTTTGTTTTTCTGCTTTTTATATCTTCTTATATTTATTTTTTGCTTCGTTTTTGTTTTATCTGCCAGAATAAACAGGCAGTTCTCACTCTTTCTTTTTATTTGCACAGAAAATATGCATGAAGCTAAAAATGTTCAGCCAAAACTGATACATGTCTACAAACTTCAAAAACTTTTTACATCGTTGGGTGGGTGCTATCACGCTGAGAGCCTTAGTGGCTACGAATATATGAATGCCGGCATGGAAAACTTTGCACAAAAATCAGTTTTGCTGCTCAGTCAGCTGCTTAGTGTCCATTAATTTGATCAATGTTTTTCGCTCAGATTGCATGATCTATGACGTTTTTTAAGGCTTATCTTCTCAGTGGTGGATCCAGGGGAGGGCCCCACTTATTTTTAGACCAAAAAAATTTGAGGGGGACCAGCCCCCCCTTACCTCAGGGTCTGGATGACCGTCCCCCCTTCCTCCTTATCTGAAGGTCTGGATCTGCCACTGTTTCTGACATTCACGGCAGATAGACAGAAGGCTTGATGAACTTTTGTTTTTTTTTCTTTTCCACCCTGATGCGTGTGAAACAACAATTTTAATAATTTATTGAGGAGAAAAACTTCCCAAAAAATTACGAGACAAATAAAGAAGCAATTTATAGAGGATTTAAAGTGTAAAGAAAAAAAGAACACCACAAATAACTCTTCTGAGAGGCTGGGCTTTTAATCCAGACAGTTTGGGCGTAGAAAGTTAAAAGAAATATTTTACGCAAAAACGTGACTAGAAAGCGACAGCTCTCAGGTGGGTCAAAAGCGGGGTCGACGTCGAATGTGTCCATATAATAATTACCCTCGACTATGTTTTGTCAACGAATTTCTGTTTATATTTTTCTTGTGAAACTGATTAGGTCGGCAGCCTGCATCTTCTAAACAAGTTGGAGTTCTAGAAAACTGAGGACAAAACGCCAAGCGTGACGTCACGACTGTACAAAGACAAATCGCGCGGAACTGTTTAAAAGGACTGAAAAGGAAAAAAGCAACAACCCGTGTTCTCCTCCGATGACAATTTTTACACATCTTTCTTCTGGTATAGGCAACGTGGGTATAAACACCGCTGTGTTTTAATTAGGTGCCTAAATTGAGGATATACGATTTGATTTCAGGAAAACAAAAATATACCATAGCCCGCTGTGAAGCTAAATGCCTGCCGATCACTATATGCAGAATTAAAGCTGAAAATAAGATGTACAGACAAACTGACATAGGATGTTAAAGTAATGGTCAATAATGCCGCTGTTCCCTTGTAATGCTAAGAGGTTCTTTTGCAATTTCTCCCGCTTTCCCGCCTGAAGAGCGACAAGCCCTCCCTGGCAACTCAGTCTTTAGTCGGCCTAAGGAGGACTAAAAATTCGTTCGATTAAAATTCGTTTCGTGATCAGAACTTGTAATTTGTCTCAAGCCTGACCAGTTTGAATTGATAGACTGAAACGAGCTGACGATAATGACTACTCAGAGTCGTCACATGGCACATAAAAATTATATATGACTCAACGAAAACAGCTAGCATTTTGGCGTGAACCGTTTAGAATTCAGTACAAGCATAACTCGTATTTACGCAGACAAAAGCCTGAGGGTCTGGCGTCAAGTTATTTTTGATTCGTGCCCAAACGTTTACCAATCTGGAACTTTCTGGACTCTTTTGTTGTTCTTTAAAGCAAGAAAGGGAGTTAGAAGTGGGAGATAAGCGATAACCGATTTGTGACAAATATATGAGGTCCTTTATTCCATTTTTTGAATTGACCGGACGTGAACTACGTGAGTTGTTTTATGATCCGGCGGATACATGTATACTGATGTAGATTGATAAATAGGTAGGCTGTGGAGAATGAAATGTCTGTGTGGCCTACAAAATATAAATATGAATACAACTGGAAATAGTTTCATTTATCCTTGTGATAAAATTAATTTAAAATCTGCCTACGTGGGCGGAAATAAGGCCTTAGGGATTCTTGTATTCCTGTAGCTTCTGCAAAGACTACAAAGCATTTAGCTGCAATTAATATATTGGTTATTCGTCCAGACTTATAACTTAAAATAAAAATTAACTGAGCATCATATAAAACATCTTCTTTTATACGTTGAATTGTTAGTTGTAAAAATTCTAGCCTCTTCTCTTTTGTTTTTACTTTTCTGACTAGGATAAAACAAAACACTTTGTAAAACAACTACATGAATTAATAAATATCATTAAAAAATCCTAGTTTATTAACAGTGTTTACCTGCGGCAAAGTGTTTTTTTTTTTCAGCACGCGATCTTTACAGGTGGCATGACGAGATTCATACGACTTTGAAATTCACCACAGGGAGGAAGTTTCAATTTCCGGTGTCCTTGTAAAAACCTAATTAGGATTCAATTAATAGCCACTAATCTGTCATGACTTGTGTACTTTGCGTCACTGATAGATGGAAGACGAGCTGAGACGAAAGACAGATACTATTTGTATCACAATGCGATCTCGCGCGAATTTCAAAGCCGACAAAAAGTGGCGCGTTCGTCGGGAAAAGCATCTTCAGTCTTTGGACCCTCGCTTGCCAAACAAAGGTAATCTCGTATGCAGTATCAATGACCAAATGGTTTTACCGACAGATATAATTCATGGCAAGTCAAAATTTTATGCTTTTTATGTAGAGATGATGTTTGGAAGTAGCAGGGCCGATTATTTATACTGTTTATATGGTCGATGTTTATATGATATGGTCGATAGTACAGATAGTACTGGCGCTCGAGTCAATCCATCAAGGTTTGGTTTTTCAAAGAGGAAAGAGATCATGTTGTTGTCGTTTCAACCTTAGCACGAGCCTTTAACTTGCGCCGATGAAATGCAGACGAAAGCGGGTTTAAAGCGATCAAAGAAGGACTAAATTCCTTCCAGCTACTAGAAAATATAGCGGGGAGCGGTCAGAGAAGTCAGAGAAAGCGTTTCGTCGTGCGGAGAAGATCTTGAAAAGGTACTTGGTCGTGGATCAATGAATTGGGGAAATTAAAATGAGGGATTCATTCGAGAAGCAATATCGTACGATTTCCTGACGGTGGCAGATGACCATCAAGTCAGAAACTCAGGCATTCACGTCGTTGTTGATTATGTAAGCTTAAATTATTTTTATTAAGGGTCGTTGACTGGATTTAGCCTGAACGGTGAGCTCTCCAGCCCTTTTCAATTTTCTAAACATCGGCCGAAACTTGGTAAGTCTATTTTGGGTTCCTTTGTATCGTCTTCAAATGGATACCTATTATCATTTTAGCACGAAAACGTTTTAAGGTCGACACTGATCACTCGATCATTTCATAAATTCTCAATAACTGCTAATGATGTGAAAGTGTAATGTTCATGGAGAATGTTGATGGAGATCACTATTTCTTAAGCCTGATCGCAAACGAGTCAGAGTTCAGTTTTTAAGTGTGGATCGTAGTCGATATTTTCAATTTTATTGAATCCCTTTTAAGAAAACAGGGAAATTTATTTTGCCAAAGCCAGTGGCTATCAACAGTCAGTAAAAGTGAGTAAAATTTCATAAACCAAAAATTGATTTACAGATTAAAGCTTTATTTAATTTTGAACTGATTAGATCTGTGAAGATGATAGTGCATGCCCCACATTAAGTAAAACAGTTTGGCCTTCCTGATGCAACAGAGCAGCTTAGCCTTTTTAGGCTGTGGCTCTGTGAGAATTTTATTCTCCGGGTGTCTCAGAGGGAACTAAAAACTCGCTTTTAGATATTGTTTGAATCTCTGTCCAGCATTAAGAAAAAAGTTTGGCCTTCCTGATGCAACAGAGCAGCTTAGCCTTTTTAGGCTGTGGCTCTGTGAGAATTTTATTCTCCGGGTGTCTCAGAGGGAACTAAAAACTCGCTTCTCAGACATTGTTTGAATCTCCGTCTAGCATTAAGTAAAACGGTTTGGCCGTCCTGATTCAACAGAGCAGCTTAGCCTTTTTAGGCTGTGGCTCTGTGAGAATTTTATTCTCCGGGTGTCTCAGAGGGAACTAAAAACGCGCTTTTAGATATTGTTTGAATCTCTGTCCAGCATTAAGAATAAAGTTTGGCCTCCCTGATGCAACAGAGCAGCTTAGCCTTTTTAGGCTGTGGCTCTGTGAGAATTTTATTCTCCGGGTGTCTCAGAGGGAACTAAAAACTCGCTTCTCAGACATTGTTTGAATCTCCGTCTAGCATTAAGTAAAACGTTTTGGCCGTCCTGATTCAACAGAGCAGCTTAGCCTTTGTAGGCTGTGGCTCTGTGAGAATTTTATTCTCCGGGTGTCTCAGAGGGAACTAAAAACGCGCTTTTAGATATTGTTTGAATCTCTGACCAGCATTAAGATAAAAAGTTTGGCCTTCCTGATTCAACAGAGCAGCTTAGCCTTTTTAAGCTGTGAATCTGTGAGAATTTTATTCGCCAGGTATCTCAGAGGGAAGCTTTATTTTTTAGACATTATTTAAATATTGCAAAATTAGTGTTTCGCTTACGTTTGTATTTAACCCCATCCAGATCCAGTGAGGCCTTTAAAACAGCGCGTCAACTTTAAAAGTTTTTTCATAAGGCAGTTTCCGCTTAGCGCTTAGTGTTAGTTCTGCCCTTGAATGAGGTTTCCATTAAAAAAGCCTTGCGTTCAGACATAAAATTAGGGAGATCTTGTAAGCATGAATTGAAATATATGAAATGCGGATGAAGGTATGAAAGTGAACATGATCATCGCATTAAATTCGCAGCCTATTCAGTTGAAAAATAATCTGAAATATTTTACAGTGTTATCGCAGAAAGTTAGAAGTAATATTATTCATTGTTGGGGAGAATACTCCGCGGCTTTAAATTAATAATTTCCTCGATGTTTTAATTCCGGTAGTGTAGTAACCTTTCCGTTAAGGCAGCTTCTAAAACGCACTCGAGAAAACCGCACAGCATCTGTGAACTCTCACTTTCACTTGCGAGAGAGGCAAAAAGAAAATAGACTGACATTACTTTCAAACCATTACGGGTTACCTTAGGCCGCGGTTTCAGAAATCATTGGACCTCCAGGCCTCTTTCTTGGTGGGTTAGTTTAAGAAAATAAGTGCTTTAGTTTTCCAGTATGCCTTATATGCTGTATTGAAATTATTCACGATAAATGGAGTTTGATAAAAGCGTTGGTTAAACAGAAAAGGGCTTAATTATGACGCGATTTTGTAATATACCAGTTAAATAACTGGCGCTTAGTGTTTAATAAATACAAGTAAACAAAATATACAATGGAAAATTCCCCAGTAAGAAGTGCGTAAAATCACTCTTCTCGAAGTGCAATAAATTGTAAGAGAAGCCACTACAGAGGCAAATGCATTCCGGTTCGGCAGAAAGACTTCCAATGCGGCTAATTTGTAGTTGAGTTTTTTTGTGGAACCGAAATCTTGTTGACGTAAAGGAATTCCGTTGATATAAGAATTTGTCACCTCCAAGTAAACGAGCCGTAAAAAGTTGATTACTTCTAAAGAGCTCCCCTGCTGATGTTCGCCTATTGAATAGGCGAACATCAGCAGGGGTCTATGATTTCAGATCTCTATGAATCTCGTCATGTATGTTTGCAGTATTTTCGTCAATTAACAGAAAACAAAATAAAAGCTACTGGACAATGTTAACAAAGCACTATATAATTATATGCTCTTACACTAAAACTCTTTTCAAAATAACCACCTGTTAAATATATAAAATCTTCACGTTTTTTACCTACAGATATGGCAAACTCTACATATCGTTGTCAGTAAAAAGAGCATTTCTCTGCGAACTAGCTTATTATTAAACCCATAAATCCAGGGGTTTAAGACAGCGCTCGTGTAAGCCAAAAATGTGCAAAATATGTACAATTGACGGGGAAACCATTCCGCCCGAGTTGAGTCGATGATGTCTATAATAACGCAAGAGAGCCAACAAAACAAGAATCCTATAATTATAATAAAAATTATTTTGGACAGTTTCAATAATTCATCCGCTTAGGGTAATTGGCGAGACGCGAAAAAGGAAGTCTTTTACATTCTATAATAACAAATTTTGAAAGAGAAAATTAATGAAACATTTTTTCAGTTGATTTACTTCAATTCTAAGACTGAAATCTCTGTTTATTTTACTTCCACCCAACTTCCTGCCTTCTATATTGTAACGTTTCTTTGTCATCGGCCTCTGAACAATGGTGAAAGTTTTCATCTGAAATTCCGCTTGCCTAAAAGACTAAATCTTGGTCTGTGCGCCTGCCGTCCTTAATTCTACGCTACAGCCCACATTCTTGTGGAAATTTCAAGAGAACGGTGAAGGACGAAAAGTGGCACGTTTAAACTTTGAATGTGTATTTTTTTAACATTGATAACTTGTGCGCTCCAGTCTATCAAAAAAAATGGTAGAACTTTCACTCATCTAACATGCAAAACGAAACTGTTTTAATATAATCACCTATGAAATCAGCTACTACTTAAAAATGATCCATGTCAGTTGGTAAATGATCTTAACCTGTGATAAGCTGGTTTTTCCTAATCAGTTTTAAAGTGACAATGAACTAAAATATTGAGAGATATCATCTTTCATGACTTTCAATTTCATTTAAAATTTGAACAGTTTTATACCTACCAGCCCTCTCGACCTTCTAAATACTTCACCAATATGACATAGAATTACTCTAACGAGCTTCCGTCCTGAGATTTCTCTTTTCTTTTCTTGTGTGTGCTTTTCTTTTTAACATTTTCTTTATCTCATAAATTCCCTACGGTCTAATCAGCATCATATTTTTCCTTGTGGCGATCGAATCTTTGTAATCATAGTGAAATCCATAAAATCTTTGACCTTTCGTGCCCTCTGCTTTGAATCCCTCAGTGCTAGGAGGAGAATCTCCTTTTTCTGTGACGGAAAGGGCTCGTCTTCAGTGTCAGTGCCACAGCTGACGTCATTACTATCATAGTATAATACATTATACGTAGTGTAACAGATTATAATTTCCTGTTCTTTCGGATCGCTTCTCTGGTTCTGCCAGACTTTGGATTGGTTTGACCATTGAACTTAAAGCAAATACCATCGCTCTCAACCCACTGGAACCATACCATGAACTTGTGCCTGAGATATTGGCGCAAATCCTATACTGCACATTTGCTTCAAGATGAACAGGGCGATCAAACAGAACATCAAAGCCATAATAACCATCGGTATACTCTGCATCAGTGGTGAAGCAGCCTTCCACTGAAAATAACTCTTGATCACTTTCATTTCTTCCTTGAACTAATGAGTACAGCTTGAGGGAGACTTCATACGAATACCCCCGACTCCGAAACAGCCGCACCCCACGCATAACAATTGGGGTATTTACTGAAAATACCAAGCCATCAGGTATTCTTCTAGAGTAGCCCCAGCCATGACTAACTTGGGGAAATCTCTTGCAGCGTGAGAATGAATGAGTGTATAACATTCTTGGTCGTTTGAGGAATTTAGGATTACTTATTGACACTGAGCTGAACCACATAAATAACTAAATAATCTCGTCTTTGGGGAGCAGACCAGAGAGAGGGACCTCTCTTGCAAACTGTGCTTGAGTCATGAGAGGAAAGCGAATATTGTTTATAATATCCTCCCTTGTTACTCTTCTCTTATTGTCTTTTGTGGGTTCAAGATCTTGTCTAACACATTCCGCAGCAGCCCAGCGGTCTACAGCTTGGAATAACTCAATCTCGTGAATTGAAAGCCCATCTCGTGTGATGACTTCAAAGAGAAGTTCTTTTGTTATTGATGGAAATGTCTCCGATTTCACCGCTTCTTGAGCGCTGACATCCTCAACTTCCCAGCAACGAGCAACAAGCTCGTCGTCTTCGAAACTCTTTGCATGAGGAAGGATATCGAAAACGTTTTCAGAAGAGAGGTTTTCGGTCAAAAACGTCGAGCAAGCTATCTCCTGACCTATCCAATCGAACAAAACCGAACAAAAAAACAATCGAACCCAATCGAACTCCAATCGTTCGATTGGGTTGGGCAATCGAACAAAATCGAACACCTATTTTACTGTGAGTTCGATTTTCGAACCAATCGAACCAATATAATCGAACAAAATCGAACTAATCTAATGCAATTGTCTCTTGACGCCTCAAACTGAGTAAAACACGTGGAATATAATCATTGTCAGCTTTTATTGAATAAACAGGAACTGAACATCATACTGCAAGAATGTCAATGTTCGAACAAAACAAAACAAATAAAAGGCAATTTCGATGACTGTTAAGGTACTGTGACTGTTAAAAGGAAATGCTTCTCAACAGAGAAAAATCGCACCATTTCAACAACAGCAACACAGGCAGTTGTGTTTAAAATTAGTATTATAATAAGCAGAAGGGACCTCGCTGCAGCCATTACTCTCTCCTTTAAACCCGGTGAAAACAAAATCCGTTTAGCATAAGTGCCCGTAAGTGGGATCATAACTCACCATTTCATCCCGTCCTTAAAGGGCTAAAGTGGTGAGACCAACGTCCGCTCAAGATTTCCTAACTGCCCTTTAGTGTTGGTAACTTTGAAAACTCTTCCCTTAGAGCCAATCTTCTTAAAGATAAAGAATTCTTCTCCCACATCAACAGTAAAATTACATTCTTGGTAACCTTTTACACTGCATGTAATTTCAATACAAATGTCAAACACGGAGGAGAGGGAGGAAATTACATGCAGTGTCCTCCCTCTCCTCCGTGTTTGACATTTCAGACATTTCAGTCCTGGGTTTCAGAGCTCAGCAAAAGCCGCGTAAAAAGGGAAGGGAGTTAGCGGTGACTTCACTTTCACCTTCGGAATTTTCCAATACCACGTGCCTATCATGCGATGCGGCGTCCGTTAATCGAACGTTCGATTATACCAATCGTTCGGTAATCGAACGTTCGATTGGGTTCGATTACCAATCGTTCGGTAATCGAACGTTCGATTGTGTTCGATTGGCAAAATTTTATTGTGAATTCGATTATGTTCGATTGAGTTCAGCAATCGAACGATTGGTGTTCGATTGGGTTCGATTGCCGAACTGTTCCATTGGATAGGTCGGGCGATCTCTAATTGCGGTACTATATACTTCTTTGCCAAGTATAAAACTTGCAGCACTGAACTCCCAGTGAGGTTAACTTCATCACAGTACAGAAACCGAAGGAATTCAAGAAAGCTCTCAGAGTCACAGTCAGGTACAACCTCGTCCCCAGGGCTTTTCCCTTAAATGGGGGAAAAGCCCTGGGGACGAGGTTGAGTCAGGTAGCTCGATTTTGTCTTTTCTCTCCGAAAGTCTGCCGTAAAACATGGCATAAAACACTGGACTGCTTACAGCGAGCACAAACTTATGAGCTTTGAATACAACCACGTCCTCCATTGCATCTTTGATCACAAACGTGACATCGCTCATAACGTCGTTATTGAGCATCATCTTAAGTCGTTCCTTAATGGTCTTTCCCTTCGTATGGGAATCTTCGCCTTCGTTTGAAGCCATGACGTGTTTGTATTGGAAAAAATCGCTACTGGTGGGTCAAGACAAAGCTACGTCGCCGGTTTCCAGGGAATTGACAAAAATGGCGGATCCTGTATAGTTCCCAGATCCACGCGATCAGTTTTCTTTAGACTGCGAGCAGTCTCTTTAGTGAGAGCAATGCACGCGCGCGGCAGTGGCGAAGCCGCGAGACGCGCCAAACGAGGGCGAGTGCCTCTCCCGTCTCGCGCCATCAAACACGCGCGTGGCCATTTGCGTGTCTCGCGTTTTGCTCGACGGACTACAGAAAAAAGAGAGACTGCTCGTAGTCTATTTTTCTTCCTTTTCCTTATTTTCCTCTTCACTTCCATTTTTTCAGTTTTTTTGTAATGATGGTACCGAGAGATAGATAACTCAACGTTTACCACGCTTTTCACAAACATGCGAACTCTAAAGTTCAAAAGCCGCCTTCACAATTGCGTTTTTCGCTGCCGTCAATCATAATTACGATCACAAGCAACGAACCTTGAAACAGAGAAACACACAAAACGAATCGAAATCTACCAATCACAAACCACAAACGATGACCTTTTGAACCCGTTAAAGTAAAATTTTGTTCCTAAGAGGTCCGTAAAGAAGATTGACGGCAGCGAAAAACACAATCGTCAGTTGGCTTTTGAACTTCAGAATTGGCGTGTTTTTGAAAAGCGCAGTAATGATGAGTGTTTTCTAAAGACGCCATAACCAATATAATTTTGGCTTATATTATAAGGAAATGAACGTATGTCTCCAGAAACTCATAAGGGGTTGTTCAACCCCTTATGAGTTTCTGATGTCTCTTAACGCATCCTTATAACAACCACCCAAATTTTACTGCCACCTTTTAATTTTAACGGTCAATCGTTGAAGTTGCCTGATGAGTGTGGTCCTACAATTTCGGACCATACGAAACAGCACTGTCGCAATAAACGATCGATGATTACTCCTGAAGCCTGAATTCCTGTGATTATTAATAGTCAATGCTTAAATAAATTGAGCGCTCTACGAAATACGTTCTACCCAGAATACAAGTATGTGTACGTATGTTTACGTATGTTTTGTGACAGGTTTTTTATCCTTCTTTGTGCCCTTGGGACACCTTACGCTAATTGAAGTGCACGGCATTTGCCGAAAAAGTGCGGCAATGCCGTAATGCCGCGGTCTGGTAAGAACTCTGTAGTGTTTGAGTAACTATCCCGATCTTGCTTGAAATCCCGAGTCCCGAGTCCCGACCAAAATGTGATCGGGATAGGAAGAAATCCGGATTTTGACATCTGTTCCGATATTTCATATCATATGAATTCTTATGATACTTACACAAAAACAGAGGATACTTAAAACTGATCTCCAAAAAAAAAAAAAACGAAACATGGGCTCCTGGATCTAGCACTTGTACTCGAAGACACGCAAACATAAATAGGCATGAAAATAACAATTGTTTTATCGAACATTTCAGACAGCAATTTTCCTCTCAGAACGCTAAAAATGCCGTTTCAGAGAATCAAGATTTCAATACTTTCTGGGGGAGCACGCTATGACGTTTTTTAAGGCTTATCTCCTCAGTGGCGAATCCAGGGGAGGGCCCCCCTTTTTTTTAGACCAAAAAAATTTGGGGGGACCAGCCCCCCCCCCCCCTTACCTCAGGGTCTGGATGACCGTCCCCCCCTTCCTACTTATCTGAAGGTCTGGATCGGCTACTGCTTCTGACATTCACGGCAGATAGACAGAAGGCTTGATGAACTTTTGGTTTTTTTCTTTTCCACCCTGATGCTTGTGAAACAACAATTTTAATAATTTATTGGGGAGAAAAACTTCCCAAAAATTACGAGACAAATAAAGAAGCAATTTATAGAGGATTTAAAGTGTAAAGAAAAAAAGAACACCACAAATAACTCTTCTGAGAGGCTGGGCTTTTAATCGAGACGGTTTGGGCGTGATCACATAGCAAGCGGCTATTAAACTTAACCATAGAAAGTTAAAAGAAATATTTTACACAAAAATGTGACTAGAAAGCGACAGCTCTCAGGTGGATCAAAAGCGGGATCGACGTCGAATGTGTCCATATAATAATTACCCTCGACTATGTTTTGTCAACGAATTTCTGTTTATATTTTTCTTGTGAAACTGATTAGGTCGGCAGCCTGCATCTTCTAAACAAGTCGGAGTTCTAGAAAACTGAGGACAAAATCCCAAGCGTGACGTCACGACTGTACAAAGACAAATCGCGCGGAACTGTTTAAAAGGAGGAAAGCAACAACCCGTGTTCTCCTCCGATGACAATTTTTACACATCTTTCTTCTGGTATAGGCAACGTGGGTATAAACACCGCTGTGTTTTAATTAGGTGCCTAAAGTGAGGATATACGATTTGATTTCAGGAAAACAAAAATATACCATAGCCCGCTGTGAAGCTAAATGCCTGTCGATCACTATATGCAGAATTAAAGTGGAAAATAAGATGTACAGACAAACTGTTATGGATTTTAAAGTAATGGTCAATAATGCCGCTGTTCCCTTTTAATGCTAAGAGGTTCTTTTGCAATTTCTTCTTCTTTCTCGCCTGAAGAGCGACAAGCCCTCCCTGGCACTCAGTCTTTAGTCGGCGTAAGGAGGACTAAAAAAGAAACCGTCTTCCAAAAAATTTATGGTTAAAATTCGTTTCGTGATCAGAACTTGTAATTTGTCTCAAGCCTGACCAGTTTGAATTGATAGACTGAAACGAGCTGACGATAATGACTACTAGTCGTCACATGGCACATAAAAATTATATATGACTCAACGAAAACAGCTAGCATTTTGGCGTGAACCGTTTAAAATTCGTATTTCCGCAGACAAAAGCCTGAGGGTCTGGCGTCAAGTTATTTTTGATTCGTGCCCAAACGTTTACCAATTTGGAACTTTCTTGACTCTTTTGTTGTTCTTTAAAGCAAGAAAGGGAGTTAGGAGTGGGAGATAAACACATCGATTTGTGACAAATATATGAGAGCCTTTATTCCATTTTTTGAATTGACCGGACGTGAACTACGTGAGTTGTTTTATGATCCGGCGGATACATGTATACTGCTGTATATTGATAAATAGGCAGACTGTGGAGAATGAAATGTCTGTGTGGCCCACAAAATATAAATATGAATGCAACTGGAAATAGTTTCAATTATCCTTGTGATAAAATTAATTTAAAATCTGCCTACGTGGGCGGAAATAAGGCTTTAGGGGAATTTGTATTCCTGAAGCTTCTGCAAAGACTACAAAAAACATTTAGCTGCAATTGAAATATTGGTTATTCGTCCAGACTTATAACTTAAAATAAAAATTAACTGAGCATCATATAAAACATCTTCTTTTATACGTTGAATTGTTTAGTTGTAAAAATTCTAGCCTCTTCTCTTTTGTTTTTGCTATACTGACTAGGATAAAACAAAACACTTTGTAAAACAACTACATGAATTAATAAATATCATTAAAAAATTCCTAGTTTATTAATAGTGTTTACCTGCGGTAAAGTGGTTTTTTTTTTCAGCACGCGATCTTTATAGGTGGACTATGTTTGCAGTATTTTCGTCAGTTAACAGAAAACAAAATAAAAGCTACTGGACAATGTTAACAAAGTACTATATAATTATATGCTCTTACACTAAAACTCTTTTCAAAATAACCACCTGTTACATATATAAAATCTTCACGTTTTTTACCTACAGATATGGCAAACTCTACATATCGTTGTCAGTAAAAAGAGCATTTCTCTGCGAACTAGCTTATTATTAAACCCATAAATCCAGGGGTTTAAGACAGCGCTCGTGTAAGCCAAAAATGTGTAAAACATGTACAATTGACGGGGAAACCATGCCGCGCGAGTTGAGTCGATGATGTCTATAATAACGCAAGGGAGCCAACAAAACAAGAATCCTATAATTATAATAAAAATTATTTTGGACAGTTTCACTTCTTCTCGGCTTAATACCGATCTGGAGTCGTGTTCTCCTCGTGAGGCGTCGTACTCTCGACGATGATTTCTTATGGTCCGCAGAACTCGTATGTAACACGAGAAAATGACGATTGTTGGGAAAGCGACGAAGAGAAGACTAAATGCAATCGTAAAACGAAAACTGTGGTCGATCGTCGGGAACGTCATGACACAGATTGCTTTTCCAGGGTGAAATACATATCTGGAAGACAGAAAAATAGCCAGAATTCCTAAAACAACAGCTGTCAAAACGCTGACGGCGATGATTATAAGTAAAGTTTTCCATCGTGTGAAAATGCGCTTGTAAAGCCACGGTCGAACGACGTTCAAGTTTCTGTTCGTGGCCGTCAAAGTAATGATCTGAAGCGATTGGAAAACCAACAGATGAATGCTGAAGCCTTGAATTTGACAAATTGTATCACTGAACGGCCAATAGTCCACTATCAAAACACCTAGAGTTAGCGGCATCGCAAAAGCCGCTAGCAGAATGTCCGCAACGCATAACGCAACTATGAACATGTTCGTGATGGTCCGTAGAACTTTCTTTCGATAAACCGTTATGCAAACTAATATATTTCCTCCCAAAGATATGACGGTGATGACAAACAGCACAGAGATTTCCAGGAGCTTGACCGCCAAATGTCGAGATCGCAGGGTATTTTCTGGTACCGTATCCAGAGAATTATTGGACATAGTTTGAAGAGCGCAACTCGCGCGCCTGGAGCAGTGAAGAGCGGATTATTGCTGGACCAACGTGTAACTGGGTCAGTTAATTGTTGTGTGACTCAAACACTGAAACGATATAAATAACAATCGGTAGCGTAATTACTTAGTATGACTCAACTATTGGATATGCTAATGTTTTAACTTAAGTGTAGGCGGGGTGTTAGAATAATTCATCCGCTTAGGGTAATTGGCGAGACGCGAAAAAGGAAGTCGTTTACATTCTATAATAACAAATTTTGAAAGAGAAAATTAATGAAAACATTTTTTCAGTTGATTTACTTCAATTCTAAGACTGAAATCTCTGTTTATTTTACTTCCACCCAACTTCCTGCCTTCCATATTGTAATGTTTCTTTGTCATTAGCCTCTGAACAATGGTGAAAGTTTTCATCTGAAATTCCGCTTGCCCAAAAGTCTAAATCGTGGTCTGTGCGCCCGCCGTACTTAATTCTACGCTACAGCCCACATTCTTCTGGAAATTTCAAGAGAACGGTGAAGGACGAAACGTGACACTTTGAATGTGTATTTTTTTAACATTGATAACTTGTGCGCTCCAGTCTGTCAAAAAAAGTGGTAGAACTTTCAATCATCTAACATGCAAAACGAAACTGTTTTAATTTAATCACCTATGAAATCAGCTGCTAAAATGATCCATGTATTGGTAAATGATCTTAACCTGTGATAAGTTGCGCTGGTTTTTCCTAATCAGTTTTAAAGTAACAATATAGGAAGGGTAACATCGCGAGCTAAAATATTGAGAGATGTTATCTTTCATGACTTTCAATTTCATTTAAAACTTGAACAGTTTTATACCTACCAGCCCCCTGGACCTTCTAAATACTTCACCAATATGACATAGAATTACTCTAACGAGTTTCCGTCCTGAGATTTCTGTCTTCTTTTCTTGTGCGTGCTTTTCTTTTTAACATTTTCTTTATCTCATAAATTCCCTGCGGTCTAATTAGCACCAAATTTATTCTTGTGGCGATCGAATCTTTGTAATCATAGTGAAATCTATATAAATCTTTGACCTTTCGTGCCCTCTGCTTTGAATCCCTCAGTGCTAGGAGGAGAATCTCCTTTCTCTGTGACGGAAAGGGCTCGTCTTCGGGGTCAGATAACCACAGCTGACGTCATTACTATCAGAGTATAATGCATTATACATGGTGTAACACACAGGAGCAGGAGCCCATGAACACATTATGATTTCCTGTTCTTTCCGATCGCTTCCCTGGTTCTCGTGGCTCGATCTCTATCTCTAGTGGCTCTTCTCCTTCTTCTGAATCTCGTGGCTCCCCTGGTTTTCTGGTGCTCGTGGCTTTCGTTGTTCTTCTGAAGATGAACGGATATAAACCCGGAAATGAGACTCTCAGCACGTCCGCAGGGCGCCGCCCTTTTAATTCTCCTCTCCCCAGTCTCCCTGTGACACAAAGAGGACTCATTTGAGTAGAGAGGAACTACTTTGACTAAAATAAGTGGCGAAAAGGAAGTGACCGTCAATCACGCTGGCTGCGTTCAACTTGATCGTTTCCGCAATAAAGAGAATGTTTTACAGATGTTTCCTTTCACAAGGGTTAGTGTTGCATTGATATGCTGCCTACATATCAGAAAACACGGTATATACACCAGGGTTACACCAGGGTTGTATCTTTAAAGTACAATGTGAAAACGTAGAAAAACTTCCACTTTAAAGCCATTTATTTCGCTGTCTTTGACGGCCTTGGCATGATAGTATTTTCACAGTTGACGCAAGCGGTATATTATGATCTATCATATTTCACAGGTTAGGGGGAAGAGAAACGAACATTTTAGACTAAGCCTTCAGGCGATTCTTTGGTTTTGCATCAGTGCGCATCTTTCACTATACATTACAAGATAGTAGCCATGAAACAAAGCCTCATTAGACGATTATAAAGATAAGGTCGATCTAAGGGAAAAGCAGTCTGCTACACAGCCGTTTTTAGTGTCGTCACGAAATGCTCCTCCTCAGCGTTGCGTGACGACACTAAAAACGGCTGTGTAGCAGACTAAGGGAAAAGTTTCTGAAAATTTTTGTCGACAAGGTCTTGTAGCCGAGATGAGTCTCAATGTTTTCAGCGAGTAAGAATGCGTACAACCTAATGCTCAGGACGTGCAAAGGACGCAGCGAACTTCCAACATTGTTGGCCCAGCAGTGTTGGGAGTTGCTGCGTCCGTGTTGGCAGTTGTGTGCAAACGGATGCAACCACTCCCAACAATGTTGGGACCTGCAGTGCATCGTGGGAAGGATACAACCCATAAGACATTGTAAACTTGAAGGATACCATGTGTAATGCGCGTGCGTGGCCCTAGCTAGCAATGTTGGAAGATCTGTGCAAACGCGGGGATCCAACATTGTTGCGCTACGCTTCGGTGATCACGGAACAAAAGAAATGTTGGGACTTGTTAGCTCAAACGCTTGACCGGTTTCAAACTTTGTGCAACAATTCCCAACAACACGTAACAACAAGTAACAGGGTGAGCAAACGGACGCAACATGTAACATCCAGCAATGTTGGAAGTTATTGGCCAGCAAGTGTACATGTTGCGTCCTTTTTTTTCACGGGGCTTTCGCGGAACGCGTGTTGTTGAGAGAGATTTCCGTACCAAGACCTTTACTTTACTGTGGGATGTTAATCAAACCTGCGTTGAACCAATACAATTAGCAAAAAACCTTTATTCAATCTTTATCGTACTACGTTCTCATTTAGCCTGCGTCGCAGACGCTCTAAACCTTCTGTATATAGCGTCTGCGAATTAGTGCACAATATCGTGTTCGAATCCCGTAGAGTCGCAAAGAAATATGTCGGCGTTATTGATTGGCTATTTTCTTTCGCAGTTTGTGATTAGTCCGATTTGAATTAAGCGTTGACAGGCCAAACATGACTCATGGCTCGTGACCAGAGAGATTGAGCTCGTGATAGTGTGAAACGTGACTTTAGAGACCCCTAGAGTAGCTTGAACAACAGATGTTTTTCTTCCTCTCTTTTTGCGTAATTTATACAGTGCGTGGAGTATTCTACAATTTGACTGAGCAAATTTTTTTTTGCCACTTTGAGTCTCACCTTTAGCTACATTTAGAGTTTGTGAAGCTGGTCTGTTTCATACATATTGAGTAATTAGTTCCTGTAGTTTATTTTTTGGCAAATGTTTTCTAAGACGATTTGATCACAGATGCATAAATGATTTTCTTTTACCTCTGATTAAGCCTTAAGCTTCTTTATTGCAGCTAAATAACCTTAGTTTCTTTGGTTTTCAACGAAACGCTTGGACCTGAATAGCTACATGTGTGTAGTTTTTTTTTATCGTGAATAACGTGATGATTTCTTCATTTGTTTTGACTCTAGAACTGTCGGCTAAATTACAGAATACGCAGTAGTACATCTGCAGCGATTGGAAGACGCTGGGAGATCAGCCGGCAAATTTACTAGCAAATTCTGGCCTTGAAGGAATTATCTCAAAGCGTTTTTTTGCTCAGAAGACGGCTCTAAAGTTCGAACTACTCTTTCATTGTTCACTGTAAACGATCCTTGCCAACTCCCTTCTGTGAATTTTGACATGTCACTGCGCCCAACCGTCACGCACACGTAAAAATTAGGCCAATCGTGCGGATCGTAAGAAACCTGTAAGAAACCCGCCTATCAGAAACGCTCACATATGTCCTTGCGACTCTGCAGGATATTAGAACGAGCTTTTGTGCACTAATTCGCAGACGGACTATACAAAGGATTTAGACGAGTGCGTGGGCCGGCTGCAACGCAGGCTAGTTCTCATTACGATATCTCAATGTTTTGAAACTCGCCCCAGGCCTCTCGACCATCGGGAAGAATTCCGGTGGCGCTCGGTGGCGCGCATTTTCCACGCGTGATGAATTACGTTTTCTATTTCATGTTTTCAATAAGCGGTGATTTCTTTCAATGAGAAAAATAATATGGCAATGTTTTGCCTGCAAGGGACAATTTAACAAATCAGGGAATTTCAGTATGATTGAGATCAGGGAAAATTTAACTCTTTCAAAGAAAAGTCAGAGGGAAGTGAAATTTAAAGATCATGTATTTTTTCCACTTTCATTGTTTCCTAATATTAAAAATTCTTAGGTGCAGACATATTCACAGAAGTTTAACATACATCACACATCGATTGGCAGAATATTGTTTCAATAAATCAAACGACAAGCAGACTAGGGTTTCCTATAAAAATCCATCCATTCTGCACTTTACATTAAGGATAAACTCACGTAATAAATGGATGGAGAGGATGGCAGTTATTGATGGTTGCGGGCCATTATTAGGACAAATTGACAATTCATCATTTGGTCAGGGAAAGTGTACATTTGACAGAGTCTGGAAATTTCAAAAACTATGGCTGTAGCAACCATGTCTGAACATGCTGAGAAACCGATCACCTTCAACATGACTTGTATGTGGACATTTCATCCATGATAATTCACTCTTACGTAGGTATGTTTCTCATGCATCAACATGAATAACTATATGCACACTTGCATTAACGATTTGGTACTTTTTGCTGAGATTAAGTGCTATCAAGAGAGAATGAGCTAAATAAAGGCCCCTTATATCATAAGTCAGGATCACTTTCATAATTCTTATGAACTGCGTCCCTTACTTACTCTAAGTTGTCTCTACTCATTAATTATTTACTAGGAAAGCGCTTGGGTGCGCGCGGGGAAGATGGGACATCCCCTTTGTTAAAGAGCCCGTTCTAGTCTTCCACGCCGAATACTAATAATGAGAGATGACTGGGGACGAGTCAGAATACTCACACAGTTCACAATTAATTATTACAGTTATTATGATCAGAGATGGCACGGGTTAGCTTTTATTAAGCAGACCTCAACTGCATATTGGCCTGCAGTCATACACTATCACATCATTTTTCTGCAGTGTAGGAGGGTCAAATGGGGTGAACACGAGACCTGCGCCACTCTTGGCGGCTTCATTAACAACAGCAACCTCATTTAAATCCCAGATCTTATCCCTTTATAAGCCAGGGCACTGGATTCGCATTTACTCCAAACAAAAGGACATTGAGTACATCTCAGCTTCCAATATTAGAATCGCCTTTGATATCCGCCCTCTTCAGTAACACCATAGTTATTTACTCTATTTCTCTCCTACCCTCCCATCTCTGACATTTTACGAGCCTCCTCCCCTGCCCCCGAGCCTCTCGATGTTCTGCGATAGAAGTATTTCTAGTTTTATTTTATTTTTTTCTCTGAAATAAGCTAGGATAAGGCCATTTTATCCGCCGCTTTCACAGGGTCCAGAGGAGATGTGTTTGTCGTCAGAACATCAAAACCCGTCGAAAACCTCTGGAAAAATGGGTTATTTTGATCGCGTTACAGTTTCGTTACACATAGACCGCAAACCAACCTTCGGGCGACTTGCCGTGCGCCAGCGAGGATATGGCTTGCGGTTATTGATTTTCAAAATGGCGAACAACAAAGTTGATCGTCAGATAAAAAACTAAGAAATCGTTTACAGTAGATTCATTAATCGTGCTAAGCGACAGGTATAGACATGTTTCAAGGTGAGTCTTGTGAGTAATTAATTTATTCACACGTAACTTCTCTGGACCCTGTGCTGTTTTTGTTTCCCTCAGACGCGAAGCACTCTCATAGTTTGGGATACCTGTGCAAATTCCAGTTTTGCATGAGAGACCCTGGAAACGAGTTACTTAAAACAACACATTTGAGTAATTTGGTTGAAAAACAGAAAAACAAATTTTAAAATTTCCTTCTGAGATTGCTTCTCTACGAGTGGACTTATTTTGGTGAGCTGCCCTTTAGCAGGTATGTTTAGATTTTAGCTGAAAATATGTCCTTCATTTCCGGTGAGTAGCTTGTAGTAATTGATCAGTGGTTCGAATATAACTGCATGCAGCGCTATGATTTGCAAACAACTGGAACGCTTTGGACGCATTTAGCCTATTTTATCTCCTTGTGACAGTTTCAGAAACCTCAATTTGAGCGAGGGAAATTATTTAAAGTTTGAATCCCTGCCCATACTTGCCAGCCTAGGATCGGATATATAGTGAGCTGTGAGTCTGTAGTTACATATGATACATTTTGTATGGTTGCATTACTTGATGACAGTGAAACAGGTGCTTTTTAATTCCTTTTTTAAAATTTGATTTTTAAAAATGATGTCACATAACCTACAAACTGTGCGTGTAGGTACATGTTGCTCTGCAGCCCAAGTAGCCTTTACTCTTTCTTTCATTTCCATTTGACACTTCCTATAAATTTTAAATTCTTTAAGCCTCATGCATACCTTCAACACTATACAGAAGTGCATATTGGAATATCAAAACTTAAACGTTTGCAGACAAAATTAGTCTTCATATAGACTGCCAAAAAAACAAATCATCTCTGATTGCTCCAAGCTTAAGACCAGCGTAAGTCAATGTGCATGGCTGTTCCATCTGAATGAAGCAAATCAGTGACCAATCAATGAATGAATTTGTAGAGAAGGGTTACTTGTACGTACTTTCAAAATAGAAATAGTTATTTTGTTTCTTTTGTGGGTGAGTGAAATACAAAAATGTGGTTTTATAATTAAGTTAATAAAAAAGTTCAACAAGCTGAATTTTCGAACACTGGAGCTTCTCTTACCTTTTCTATAAAAATGGATGTGCAATCATGTACATGTATTTGAATGAGGATAGACAAGATTATTATTTAATTTTAAAAGTCTTTGCTTAACACCTGAGCCTGGCATTTTCTCCATGTATTTATTATTTGCCATGGATGTTTTGATAAAAACTCTGATACTGTATTTATTTAACAATATGAATATTGCTGTTTGAATCTATAATTTTAGTCCTGTTTTTACTCATTTAAAATATTTCTGTTTCTGTTTGGCCAAAGTCCAGCTAACTCTCTTTGCAGATGGCAATACCATAAGTTGTTTATGCCAATGGCTTGGATAATTAACAAATTAAAGGACAGCAGAAGACGCAGTAGCTCAGCTCATTTGTTAGAGCTGGAAAAATTAGTGGAAGATTTCTCGTGACTTTCTGCTGAAATAAAACAGTAGCTAATTTTAGGTCTACATGTAAAAAAAAAAGGCATAGCTAGAATTGCAAAAATACCCTGTACGCGATATTCAAAGAAACATCATACTTTATAAGCTTCAATAGTCTTGAAAGGTGCCAGATTGTCTAGAGGTCTGATGTTATCAGCTGGTTCCACAGCTCAGTTGCAGAGATAGCGAAAGCACCACTAACAGCATACATACATATACCATCCTTATGTTGTTTTTGGCGCAGGCCAAATGAAAGGCAGAAGATGATTAAAGCCAGTTATGCTGTACCTGAGTTCAATATGGTCATCGTTTAATAAAGAATTGCTAGAAAGAGTCTTACGGATGCAGAAGAGAGCTGCATGCATTATATTGGATGCCGAAAGAACAACACGCACATTAACTATGTTTAATGAACTTAACTGGATTCCATTTTTTATCGAGGCATATATAAGTAGATGTTCTAATATAGCCTTTAAGAGAATAGAGGGTACAACTCCAGATTACTTCTACATTAAAGACAAATTCTGAGATTCATAACCGATCCACTTGTTTTGCAAATTTGAATTTTCATTGTGCTGTTTTTAAGAAAAACACAGAAGGAGGTCGGACCTTTATTGTAGGAACTGTTAAAAATTGGAACGAATTGTCCATGGACGTAAAGAAGGTGAAAAATGTGAAATCAAGCATTTTAAAAAGAAATTGTATACGAATTTGATTGCTAAGCAAAAAGAGACAGGTAATTTTGAATACCTTAATTTAAAAGTTTTTAAATAGTTTTGAATATCTTTTGAATAGTAAGTCTGTAAAATAACTTGTTTTAGATAGTAAACAGTTTTTAAATAGTTAAAATTCCTAAATAAGACTCTAGATAGTTAATTTTTTAAATACTATTTTTGCTTGTCTTTAAATTGCATCTTTTAATGTTAATTTTTATCTTTTTATAGTGATAGTGTAAAATTGTTTTAATATTTAATTTTGTTTTTATGTTTTATAGAGGGCCACAAGTTTATCAGTTTTTTTCATAACTGTCACGTGTTTACCCTCTTAAACAAAGGCGTTACCTTACCTTACGTTACCATTAAAGCATTCATACTGTGGGACAATAAGGAGTAGGGAGCTGTTTAATGCAGGACAGCATCACAAGTTCTTCAGCTTTCATCCTCCTAACTGTTAGCGTGCTTATAATATTCTCTGTTCATATTTATAAATAAAATATAAATATTATTTTTGTCATTTCAGATGGGTGCCAGTAAATCTAAAGAGGGCAAAGTATTAAGCAAACCTGGAGAGGGTGGTGCCTCAGCAGCTGCTTCTAATCCTGCCAAAGGTGTGGTTATTCCAGAAGATACTGTACCTTATCCAGGATTACAAGTTCAGTATCACTTGATAAATGTACAGGTGTGATTTTTGTTCCATAGAGTGGGTAACATTATTCACTGTGACTATATACCCTTACCAAATCTACGTATATGCGACATACGTTTCACTGGTCAACATATATTTGACATACCGTAAAATTCCAAAAATAACCCCTGGGGCTGATATTTTTCAAAGGCCCTTTTTGAGGGGCTTATTTTTGGAGGGGCTTATCTATGGAGGGAAATTTGCAGTTACAAATCGATTGGGCTAGCGTTATAGTTGGAAGTAAATTTACTGTTTTTGTGTTGCTTTACTTTGTATTTGAGGGCAGTTTTCCTGGTACATTATATTTGGAGGGGCAATTTAACAGAGGGTTTTTTGCGTCACCGGTTTGGGGGGCTAATATTTGGAGGGGCTTATTTTTGGAATTTTACAGTATATGTAAATCCACGAGGGTGAGTGAGAACATATATGTAACATTTATGTAACTTTTTACATGTATGTGACATGTTTATTAATCCACAAGGTTGAATGAGAACATATGTGACATATATGTAACTTTTAACATACACGTATATGTGACATGTAAGTAACTCTGCAACGACTGATGGGAACATATATGTCTAGGGTCATGCTACTCTTTGCAGTCCTTAGAAAAGGCCTGCAATTTTCTAGAGAAATTGCTTGAAAACTCCTGGCACAACGCCACATTTTCTGGTTGAAGACTTAATTGTGAGCTTAATTGTGCGACAGCACTTTCCACTTTTATACAAGTTATTCATGGAGAGAATGATGGCAGCTGGCTGAGTGGGTTGAGGGAGGAAAAGCTGATAATAATACTTTACTGAATATATATATAATAATATATATTACTATTGAGTACACTATATGGCATGCCTCTCACAAAATTGATTTTCCTTTTATTTATGATAATTTATGATACAGGTTACCATGCATTCCAACATAGGCTTTAACTTTGCACCAGGAACCACCATGGTCAGTACCAATATTGATTCATATTACCCAACACTGGCACAAGCATACAGTGAAGGATACAGACTGACCACATTTTATAGGATCCCAGGGGCAGCAAAACAGCAGGGCTTTATGTCTACAGCAGTTAATATTCCATTTCAAGGTATTTTTACCAAGTGAGTATACACAGACTGTAGTAGTTCATTCAGGGCTGCTGAAATTATGCAAAATTATGATGGAATTTCACACAACATCTTATATATTACAACTGATCACACAGTCTATGAGAAATCTTACTGATGGAAAATGCAAATTTAGACAAAGTAACATTAGCTGCTGAAAACAGTAATGTCCAGGCTATTTAACTTTCATTGGAAACATCTGAGTGAGTGGTGCCTGTGAAATCTTTGTGACAGCAAGTTTTGTTTGTGAAATCTTCTCTTGACTCAGGGAAAGCATTTGTTCAAATGGGGTCATGTATCCAATGAACGGGTAACGAAGCCATTCAAACTGGCTCACGTTTCCAGCAAATGGGTGACCAAGCTGTTGGAACCGCTGACAAACAGCTTGTAAACGAAAAGCCGTTAGTGTGCATTTTCGCGTGAGAGGTCACAATTTTCTGCATAACAGATCTTTTCTGGCTTGAAATGTGACCTTCTGGATTCTTATTTTCTTAGATTCACACCCTTTAAGATAGACCTTTTCAGACAGTTTTACATGACATGGTTCGTTGGTATGGTAGTATTTTGTTGATTTAACAAATACTTAAAGTACATGTACATTGTAGTGTTCATTATTATTATTTTTGGTAGTGTTCCACAAAGTTAATTCTGGTAGATGAATGCATGCATCTTATTATATGGATGAGTCCGTGAGTGGGCAAGGTGAAGCAAATCCTGCATTCTGATTGGCTACCCCAGTGGGCAAGATGAGCGTCATTTGTTTTTGCAATTTTATTGAATGCGACTTGTCTCAGTCAAAAAAAAAAACACAAAAAAGAACTTCGCCAATTTTCAGCCATCTTGACTTCACCCTTGGGCAAACGCATACTATTTGTTACCTTCTTTTTAAACTGTTGACAGATCTGTAGTGTATATTTATTCTTTATATCTGAATTGTCTTCTTAGATTTCCTGCAGCTCCTCCAAGTGGTGAGAACTGGCAGTTGAAAGTGGACAAGTCCATTATGTTTGTACAACACATCAGACAAGGAATTCTCTCAGCATCTTCCATGTCACAAGCAGATACCAGTGACCTGTTGAATAAAATCATGCAGGTTGGTTTATTATTATTATTATTATTAGTAGTAGTAGTATTAAATCCACAACTAGGTTTCTTGGTCTATCCTCTTATTAAACATAGAAATAATGTTAAATGCTCCAAACTCAAGTGGAACCACAAGCCATATTAATGCACACTGTAGGCAAATCGTCTCTCTGCAATTTAAATGAACAGTTATTTAGACGTAATTTCAATGGTTAAAGTGTATATACACTGTAGACCATAGAATTTTTTTTGTTTTGGTTTCTTTTTTTGTGTTCATTTCTGTTGAAGGTTTTCCTCGCAAAAGCGTGAACAAGAAAAGGAGAAAAACAAATTTATTGTGCCACCACCATCACATAAATCATAGCTCTTGACCAATCAGTACATGAGAAATAGCTCAGTTAGTGAACTCCGGTGTATCTATTTTTTGAGAACGCGCGAAAAAACATTTTAAAGTCAAATCTCGTACTCGAAGTCTTTCTCGTCCTCGAATCTAAAGCCAGGGGTGGATCCAGGATTTTTTTTAGGGGGGGTGCACTCGTCTCTTGCTCTACTGCAACACCAATAATTCACTTTTTCTTTTTTTGCAGAATACCAGTTGCATTAGAAAACCGCAGGTCATATCAGGGGAGGGGGGGTTGTGCACCCCCTGCACCCTCCCCCTAGATCCGCCCCAGAAAGCTCTCTATTAAGAAAATCTCATACTCATAGTTGTTTCGTCGTAGAATCTAGAGGTCTCTATTATTTGCATTGATTTGATCATTCCAGCACACGGCTAGTGGCGGTCAGTTGGTATGTGTAGAAATGACAGGTCAAGCATTGTCACAAGGAATGTCTGCAGCTTGGACAGGAATGTCTGCAGGTAAGACACTGTTGAGCACTTTAGTTCAGCTGAGATCTTATCCTCATGGTTTGAAAGGGGAAAGGGTATTTAAGATGGCTCGATAGGTTCCAAAACCTGGCAAGTTTGAGCATTAACTGCGTCGCTACAAACAAAGATTTGCAAACATGACCACCACAGCTGTATTCGTTCTTTATGAAAATTTGTTACACGATCATTTTTACAGTGACAGCAAAGTTGTCATAGCAGCGAAATGACGTCATTATCTATTTTTTCATGCAGCCGTATTTCTCGGCACTGGGAGGTTTTTCCACGATCGTTCACGGCAGTTTTTTCCTCCAATAACTACCACGATGTTTATTCTAATGGACTTTGCTCAACCCTCACAAACATTGAGGTAGCCTGTTGCCGCAGACGTAATTTAATCTCGGTTAAGGCTGGTTTTCACTAGCGACGGAGTCGGAGTCGGAGTCGGAGTCAAAATCAGAAGCTTAGAGCTTATGAACTAGTGAAAACAGCATTCTGATTCCGCTTACGACTCCGTCGCTTACGTCCCTCTTATGATCTAGTGAAAACTAATTGTCGGAGTCGGAAGAAGAAGCGGAAGGATAAACCAAACACCAAGCGTGGGAACAAGCATTGTGATTGGTTCATCCTTCCGCTACTGCCTCCGACTCCGACAATCTGGTTTTCCCTAGATCATAAGCGGAACGTAAGCGACGGAGTCGTAAGCGGAGTCGGAAGAAAAAGAAACGTTCTAATTCTTCGGACTCTGATTCCTTCGCGCTTATGACTCCGCTTACGACTCCGATTGTTTATTTTCAGTAGGTCATAAGCGCTCTAACGGCTTCGCTTACGAATCCGACTCCGACTCCGACTCCGTTGCCGGTGAAAACCAACCTTTTGTAACGTCTGGGAAGCAGCATCGAGTTCTGGGCTCCGAACTGATACTCAAAGAAGTACAGGAAATGCGCTTCGATTTCTTTTCATCCTGATTGGTTAATCGGCATTGGCCTTTTTAGCAGGCCAATCATGGCACATAGTCAAATCCTGCCACACAGGTTAGGACACAGAACAAGGTTTTCGCCGCTGTTTCGCTGACCGACTTAACCAGCGTTAAGGCTAGTCATCATTGAGCGCACTCCAGTAACAGCTCAGAGCAAAGATTAATGTTAAGATGTTCTTTTCTTTTTTATCTTGTTAGGCATGGGAGTTGATTTATTTTTTGACATACCAACTCACCCAAATCCTCGTCGCTATGTTTACCAAGCTGTCAATGTGCCTATCAACGTATCCGTCTCACCCGGATTCCCAGCGGGGAAAATCCAGGTTTATTGTGATTGGCTAGGACAGATGGCGGCATTTCTTCAACAAGGCTGGCGATTGGTTGAAATTTTCTTGGATCAATCCGGTGCTACTCAAGCCCATGGCTTTTCTGCAACTCAGGCGCTCAATTCTGTGTGGTTCTTCGAGAAAGAGGCTAGTCGAATCAATGATCCCCGCCCTGTTTATGAAGGTACAGTGATAGAGTATGAACACAGGATTGAAGCTGGTTTTGCCCAATTACATGCGACTCCCCAGTGGGATTCAGTCCTCTTTGAGATGGGAAAGCGTGGATGGGAACTTGCTTGTATCCTGGAAACACCAGAAGTCAGGATGACAGGATTTGCAAAAATGAAAATGAAACTTTTAATGTTTTTTCAAAGAAAAATACCAGGGATGTAATTACAGCTTTGTCGTAAGAACAGTGTCCTTGGACAATTAAGGATGGGGGTGGGGTTGGGGGTGGGGTGGAGAATGGTTCTCAGTTTAATGTTGTAAAACTAAAACTAGCCAATTACAACGCAAACTGACCGATGATGATTCACTCGCGGGCAAATATCTGCAACCTGGGACAAGCGCGGGAAAAATGCGTGAGGGCAAGTCACGGTTGGTTTTGGTTTTTACTCCTGATTGGTCGAGAAAGTGGCGCGAGATTTTTCAGCCAATAGCAAAACGTAACAATGTAATGTAAAGTGGATTGGAGCTCGTCAAACGATAATCGATCTATCCTCTGCTTATTATCGCTTTTAGAAAAGCTATGTGTATAACGTCATGTAAACAGCGGTCCGCAACACATAAATTGAGGATGGTAAACCTTTGGCCAAATTTGACTGCGTATCAGTCTGTTTCGTTTCTTTTTTGTCTCCATTTGCGCGCCTTTTTATTTTTCCATTTGCCACTTTCAGGTGTGGGCCAATAAAAAAAATTGCTCTGACAGCACGTAAATCTCTTTGTTCTTTCGCGAATGGAAGAAGCGGATTTCCTCTGCTTGCTGTCCATCCTTTGTGTCAACTATGCAAATGTTCGCGGACTTCCTTGTTGCCTGCGGAAATTTTCGGCATTTTGATTTCTCGAAATTGTACGGAAACATTCGAAATGCTTCGGGGTCAAATTTGACAATCGTAAGAAATCTTACCACTTCCGTGAACCTCGTCAATCTTTCAAAGTCTTTGAAATGCTTTGGGTTACCTTCCTAGCTGTAACAATTACGGCACGGGAATTGATGGTGCGAAAATAATGGGTAATCTCCTACACAGTACGATCTGGAATTCTCTGTACTCCTCTGGTCCATTTATTTAACGCCCAATTTTGTTTTACTATTACTTTTAATTAACGAGCATATATTAACAATGTATATATTTATCCTTCTCATTTGCCAGTTCAAAAAGTACAGGGAGCAAAATGGGTACAAGGTTTTAGCGAAGATATTTTCGGTATCGTTGTCAGGGGCACCCAATGACGAAATGTTTCCGATCGTTTTCTCTAAGCTTTTAGTTTAGAAGCCTTTTGTTAATATGGAGCTGCTCTGAAAACTATTTATCTGTTCGGATGTCTTAGGGGAACTTTAGTCGTCTCGAAAGTTTTAGCTACCTTGATGGGTCCGGTCGAAAGTTGGAGGACATGGATCGTAGCCGTACTTTCATCAGATATTGGCTATGGGAGGGTTGGTCTTTATACCGAATTTTTCAGGAGATCGTTCTTAAACAATAATCACAACATTTTAGTTCTAAAATTTGAAAAACACAACCTGAGAAAAATCATATAAAATAGATAAGAAAGTAGGAATACTCCAAATAACTTAGACGAATGAGACGCTATCCAGACATTTTTAGCCAAAATTTCTAAGTAACATCTGCTCCTTCGACAGTTAGTTTACAGAAAAAAGTCGCTGCGTGCCCCTACGTTGTGGTGGACAGTATATATAAGCAATAATTGATTAATCCGGATGCCTCTGGATTTGACTAACGCTACTGAAAGCAAACTTTCCCTAGCCTGCGGAGCAGGCTTTTTTTTTTTTAAAGAAAACTCGGAATTACAAAGATCGCAGCCGCCATCTTGAAAGCAATGGCGTGATGGAAAAACTTAGGATGGAGGGGCGGACGCGCTCTATACCTCTTTTTCAATTTCAACGTCCAAGATGGCATGAGAGAACATTTATAGTCTCATCGTTGGACTACAAAAAACGCCTGCTTTCTAATAAAATGTGGCTCCGAAAGCCTCTGCCCATTCTCTCTTCTGACGGAGTGGCGCGCTGTGCCATTTAGAGTACTTTCGACGAGAGAGGTGAATCAGTTGCCAGAGTTAAGGCCGACAAAATTGTCAGTTAATCATTTTACAGGGTTACCCAACGTCAATTTGCGGAAAATATCTGTTCGGAAGACGATTTGAGATCTAGAATTTTCGGAACACATTTGTTGTAAAATTTCTTGCTTGCCTGCCTCTCCTAGTATTTTCGAACATCTAAAAAATGGTATAACTGCCCATTTTAACGGATTTTTACCCTAAAAAGGTCGCCTAGAACCGTTCGGGAGCCCTTTTTCTGGCTGAAATTTTCGAAAAGGTAAGTTTTGATCCCTATAATTTTCGGATCACTGCACTAGACTCTCAGCTATGAAATCCGAACAGATGAAAAATTTTTAGGGGATGAAAATATGCCTATATCTACTGTTTAAATACTAAAATACGATTAACAATGCTATGTTTAAGTGGTTTTGAACTATAGTCTCGTTGGGTGCCCCTGATTTTAAAAGGCGCTTTTGTTAAGCGGACACTTCTCTCGTCGCTGCGGATGCCGGCCGCCTAATACAGTTCGACTGCCATAAGTGTTAGGTATATTACGATAAGTCAACTGTATAATAATCGCCAACATTCTAGGATTGGCATACTATGTAGTCTCGAATCGAATTAAATGGATCAGTTTTAATTAGATAATTACATAGTGGCATTATAATAAAGATTCAAAATTTTGGACGTGAAAGGCCACCAGGTGGAAATACCACAAATAAAAGTATTAGAGAGTTTTAGATCCGAGTTTACCGCGAACCTCTAACCGCTGGAGGTCACGTGACAAGTCTTTCGCGTCGCGTTTGAGGTTTGTGACGTGCGTTTTCAACGTGGGGAGGTAGGTTTTCAAGTAGGTCATTTATCTGAAAGCTTTTAGCGTTTCATTCTTGTTTTATCTCACTTAATGATACAAAAATCTTGTGGAGCAAGTCTTTATCCATTAACAGAGGCACAAATTCGGGCGAAATGAATAAATCCTGTTTGATCTTGAAAACAAGTGCCATTCATGGCCACTGATTCAAAATGGCGGCCGCACATTCAGTGCAAGAAGAACTAATGAAAGAATCTACAGCTCTTTGCTGCTAGATAACCCAGTGTTACCGTAAATTTGTTTTATTTTCACTGATTGATATTCCTTCTATTTCTAAATGGAAAAATAAACCAGAATCCACTTCTTTAATCCACCGCCAATCTAAATCGAATTATGCTTGAACGTCGAACCGCAAGCGGGTAACCGCAAACCGCGGTTAGAGGTTCGCGGTAAACTCCGATCTAAAACTCTCTATTGTCATTTAATATCACTGAAGTTGTCGGTATCGCTGATTATCACTACCCCTCTGCCAGACCAACTTCTCAAAATGCGCCAATTACGTAGCAGAGTATCCGCAGACAACATTTCGTCTTTAGACCGGTCAACACGGGCTACAATTTTATCGGCTACATACGTAAAGAACAGAAGGCGAACGTCCAAAAAATGACTCGAATTTCAAACATCTGCTGCACTGCTCTCGGGGGGTGGTGAGGGTGACTTGACTAGTATTTGGGTATAGGTGAGCCGCTGAGGGTTTGAAACCCTGACCCTGTTTAGGACAAAGGAGAAAATGCACGCCGTCTACAGACATTGCTTTTGTATACAAAATTCATATAGGAAATCAAATCGATCGTGCAGGAAATACCTTTATAACAGACTCACACGAAATTATATACCCTTTTTAGGACAGAGAGGTCAAAACCACCTGTCCAGCGGCACATCCCCGTACAGGCCTTATAAGGGAGTACCCCCACCCCCCGGGCTGCACTGCAACGCCACGTCCACACGAATACTTTGTTAGGCTGAAACCGCATATACTTAATATCTACGTCAACACGAATTCAGTGTGGTGTATCCGGTTTGAATTCACTCATCCACACGATTACGCTGCTGCCGTTTAATAGTTGCTGACTAGAGATATTAAGATTCACGTTTACCCCAAACGGCAGACGTGAATGTGTACCACGTGACCAAGTTTTCCCCTTATTTTCCGTTTACTCTTTATTGCTTCTATTCAAAAATAAGTAGTTTTGTGCCAGTTTTAACCATAGGAGTCGTTCGGGACTGTTTTTATCTGCTTATTTTCTATTCTGAGAAATTCTCAACTTGGGTCTGACTTTTGCTGGAAACACGAATCTTAATCTCTCTACTACTAGCTAGCGAGCATGTGCAAATTGGGCCCGGGATGTGATTTCACTGGCCGTATATCTTTCCTAGTTCCAGCTCTCTTAGCCAACATTTCACACATGTCTTAAGCAAAAAATGCCAAAGAGAAATAACTAGGTAAAGGCCGATTCACTCATGTCATTCGTCTTGGAGCGACGATGCCGCCAAACATTTGCTAAAAATAACCAGCGACTACAAGATATTGAAGTCGATGGAAAACGTCCAAATATTGTTTATTAATTAATTAATTAATTTATTTATTTGTATATTTATACCGGAACAGCATATAAAGAAGCTAATATAAACAGAGTCCTGTCAAAAAAAGATACTAAGAGAATCAATATACAGAGAGTAGCACATTTAAAGTGCATAGACAAGCGACAACTGAATAAAAAGATTCAAGGGATAGCCTAGCGCCAAGGACTTGAACGTATTTAGGTCCGTTGCAGATCCCATATTAAAGGCGATGGAATTATAGAACTTCTATGGACATTGAGCTACAGCTAGCGTGTGACCTATACAATATATTTAAGTGCTGTATGCTGACGCGTTTTGAAGTTTGCAATTAATTGCAAGTACAGAGGGATATTATTTTATCGGGGATTTCAATTCTCGGTTCTAGTCAGTTCCCAATAACAACTGCTTTCAGTGACGAATTTCCCTCCAAATTTAAGCTCATGATATGTTGAGACTCGCGCACTTAGTTCCTTCGTTTAATACAACCCCCCCCTCCCCCCCGTGTATAAGGCTCATCAAGATATTAGCCTCTCAAAAAAGGCTTAGCATGCCCCGAGGCTTACTTTCGAAATTTTACTGCAAGTGTTTTGTTAGTAATTAAGCGATCTATTTGCAGTAAACCGAGCAGATCGTTAGTAAAAACACGTCACGACGAGACAATTTAGTTGGTGTTTTGGATAGAGCCATCAGCAAATGACGTCATGCAAGGGATTTTACAAGGTACTGAAGCGTTTTCACACCACAAAACAGAAGCCAACTATCAGTAGTTTCCCAGAAACACGTCATTTAGTTTGCATTCAGTCTAGTCAAGTGACGTAAATTTATTGACAGGTGTGAGATGTTTTGTTTACATAAAGATTTCCGTGTTTTCCGGCAATAGAAAGTTTCCAAAAGTTACAGAAATCAGCTGGGGTTGAAGCGCCTTTTCTACGAACTTGCTGGGTGCTGCTTGACTCTGTCCTCAACGCAAACGAGGTACGCTTTGATTTGATGGGTGATCATGAGTAATTGCTTCCTCCTTTCTTTGTGTTGTTGAACTAACTCCCTCCTCTGGACGTCTGAATAGTAAATGCTAAGAACTAAGAGAAAGATTTCAGTGGAAAGATTTCTGCGATTTAGAATTTCTTAATCAACAGAAAAGTATGCTATTTATACTCAATAGTGTATAGTGGGTACATCCATGAGGAATCTCTTCAGTAGTAAATCTGTTCAGAGTAACTGGTTTCTGCATCGAGGTAGGCGGTTAATCTTATTCATCAGTGACTGTTTGAGAATTTTGATTCACGGTGACTATTTCAAATTTCGGTCCTCTGGCAATGAATGTTCTATGGTATATATACGAAATGCCTTGAGTGTCGTAAAAAACTGAAATTTCAGAATCGTTATTACATTGAGGTAGACTCATCTTTTTTCCTGGGTCTCACTTGGTTACAATACCAATACAGTGTGCCTTTTTTGAATCATCAATTTTCTTTTTTTAAAAAAAAACATGTATGAAGTTATCTTTATACTAATTCCCTTCCTTTTTTTAATTCCGGTAATGAGACAAACTGTTAAACATTGTCAACGAAATTATACGACGTATTGGCGTCGCTAACACATTATTAAGAAACATTTACTCAGAAGAACGGGAATTATAGCACGGAGTTTTAAATTAAGATGATAACATTAAAATGTTTAAAATAAGCAACTGAATTTTTAGAAGCCTTTTGTCCCATATGAGGAACATTTCACATGCATCAGACAATCAAACCTGCTTGAAGCATCTCCTTAGGGTAGAAAGTAAGCATAAGCACTTTCCCCGAACATACAACCAGAAAGGTGAAATTGTTTATTCAACTCATTATCTCGTTCAATTACTTCAAACTCAGTGATTTCCCGTTTCAGTTGATAATGGCATCAGGGACGCTGAAACATCATCATAATTTCTTTGCGTTTTATGACTTATTTTGTCCTAGACAACAATCCCAGACAAAAGTGATTGGGAAGGTTGTACAACTTAACAGTGGTCCATTTTAATCCTAAAAGAAAGAGTTTTCTCTTTTGCTCAATATTGCTCATATATGTGTTCAAATTTCGCACTAACCTTGGGTTATCTTAACCCAGCTTTGAGCAACTCGGCCCAGGAGTTTACGCAGGAGCATGCGCGCTGAAATTGGCTCAGTATGTCTCCAATGTCGTACAATATTGACCACGTGCATATCTTTTATTAATGTAGAATTCTTCGGCCTGTCCACTCCTGTTCTTGACGATAGTCAACAGTATTATTTTTTGCTGACTTAATGGACAAGTTAGGGAAAATCTATCGACTTCGCCGAAAAGAGCACCTTTCAATTAGCAATTTAATTAGCTGTTTGAAAGTGATTTGTTGAAAGCTAACGAAAATGTAGCTCTTCAAAGTCGCGAAATTTTAGACGTTTGTAAAACGTTTGTAAATTTTTCAACTTTGCTGAGCTAACGCTGAGCTGACGCATTTTGAAGTTGGCAATTAATTGCAAGTACAAAGGGATATTATTTTATCGGGGATTTCAATTCTCGGTTCTAGTCAGTTCCCAATAACAACTGCTTTCAGTGACGAATTTCCCTCCAAATTTAAGCTCATGATATGTTGAGACTCGCATACTTAGTTCCTTCATTTAATACAACCCCCCCTCCTCCTCGAGTATAAGGCTCATCAAGATATTAGCCTCTCAAAAAAGGCTTAGCATGCCCCGAGGCTTACTTTCGAAATTTTACTGCAAGTGTTTTGTTAGTAATTAAGCGATCTATTTACAGTAAACCGAGCAGATCGTTAGTAAAAACACGGCACGACGAGGCAATTTAGTTGGTGTTTTGGATAAAGCCATCAGCAAATGACGTCATGCAAGGGATTTTACAAGGTACTGAAGCGTTTTCACACCACAAAACAGTAGCCAACTATCAGTAGTTTCCCAGAAACACGTCATTTAGTCTGCATTCAGTCTTGTCAAGTGACGTAAATTTATTGACAGGTGTGAAATGTTTTGTTTACATAAAGATTTCCGTGTTTTCCGGCAATAGAAAGTTTCCAAAAGTTACAGAAATCAGCTGGGGTTGAAGCGCCTTTTCTACGAACTTGCTGGGTGCTGCTTGACTCTGTCCTCAACGCAAACGAGGTACGCTTTGATTTGATGGGTGATCATGAGTAACTGCTTCCTCCTTTCTTTGTGTTGTTGAACTAACTCCCTCCTCTGGACTTCTGAATAATAAATGCTAAGAACTAAGAGAAAGATTTCAGTGGAAAGATTTCTGCGATTTAGAATTTCTTAATCAACAGAAAAGTATGCTATTTATACTCAATAGTGTATAGTGGGTACATCCATGAGGAATCTCTTCAGTAGTAAATCTGTTCAGAGTAACTGGTTTCTGCATCGAGGTAGGCGGTTAATCTTATTCATCAGTGACTGTTTGAGAATTTTGATTCACGGTGACTATTTCAAATTTCGGTCCTCTGGCAATGAATGTTCTATGGTATATATACGAAATGCCTTGAGTGTCGTAAAAAACTGAAATTTCAGAATCGTTATTACATTGAGGTAGACTCATCTTTTTTCCTGGGTCTCACTTGGTTACAATACCAATACAGTGTGTCTTTTTTGAATCATCAATTTTCAATTTTTTAAAAAAACATGTATGAAGTTATCTTTATACTAATTCCCTTCCTTTTTTTAATTCCGGTAATGAGACAAACTGTTAAACATTGTCAACGAAATTATACGACGTATTGGCGTCGCTAACACATTATTAAGAAACATTTACTCAGAAGAACGGGAATTATAGCACGGAGTTTTAAATTAAGATGATAACATTAAAATGTTTAAATAAGCAACTGAATTTTTAGAAGCCTTTTGTCCCATATGAGGAACATTTCACATGCATCAGCCAATCAACCCTGCTTGAAGCATCTCCTTAGGGTAGAAAGTAAGCATAAGCACTTTCCCCGAACATACAACCAGAAAGGTGAAATTATTTATTCAACTTATTATCTCGTTCAATTACTTCAAACTCAGTGATTTCCCGTTTCAGTTGATAATGGCATCAGGGACGCTGAAACATCATCATAATTTCTTTGCGTTTTATGACTTTTATTTTGTCCTAGACAACAATCCCAGACAAAAGTGATTGGGAAGGTTGTACAACTTAACAGTGTTCCATTTTAATCCTAAAAAAAGAGTTTTCTCTTTTGCTCAATATTGCTCATATATGTGTTCAAATTTCGCACTAACCTTGGGTTATCTTAACCCAGCTTTGAACAACTCGGCCCAGGAGTTTACGCAGGAGCATGCGCGCTGAAATTGGCTCAGTATGTCTCCAATGTCGTACAATATTGACCACGTGCATATTTTTTATTAATGTAGAATTCTTCGGCCTGTCCACTCCTGTTCTTGACGATAGTCAACAGTATTATTTTTTGCTGACTTAATGGACAAGTTAGGGAAAATCTATCGACTTCGCCGAAAAGAGCACCTTTCAATTAGCAATTTAATTAGCTGTTTGAAAGTGATTTGTTGAAAGCTAACGAAAATGTAGCTCTTCAAAGTCGCGAAATTTTAGACGTTTGTAAATTTTTCAACTTTGCTGAGCTAAATCTTTTCTTGCTTAAGTTAAGGTGTCCATTCCAGTGGTGTCGACTGATTTTCCCTAACTGGGCCATGGCAAAAGTTGAAAAAAACGTGGAAGGGTTTATTTACAAACTGCAGAGAAAACCTAATGTCCAAAGGTAAAAAACTAAGTGAGCAGAAAAAAAATCATGATTTCCACAGGATGTGTGATCTGTAAGGAGCAAATCCCTAATTGATTTAATTTCAGATGGGCATTGGTGCCAGTAAATCTAAAGAAAGTAAAAGGGGAGCTACAACCAAGCTGGGCAAAGGTGTGGTTATTCCGGAAGATACTGAACCTTATCCAGGATTTCAAGTGCAATATCACATGATAGATGTGCAGGTGTGTGTTTATAATGTGACCACATTCAAATACACCAGTATTACGCCGTCACCCTCTATAAAGCGATCACTCACCAAAGTCCCAGAAATCATTTCCTGGCCTCGTTATTATGTTCATTTACCTGATATTAAGTCTTACGTTTGTCAAACCTGTATTAAACGGTCAACCTGTATTAAGCATGTCAGTTAGTGACCGCTTAATGCAGCCTTGGCTGTACCAAGCTTGTGTTGTCGCGGTTTTAAATGCTACTTTAGGCAACTTGACACCAATCAACCTGATGTATAGAAATGCAGGCAATCGGTATTCACTTCTCGCGAACTGGTCTACGCACGATCCATACGCGAGGTAATTTTCGACCAATTTTTTAACCTCGCTTCGCTAGGCGTTATTTCTATTATCATTATTATTATTACTAACTGTAAATATTAAAACACTAGCTGTTAAAAGACAGAATCAGTCCTTCTTTTCATTTATGATACGATACAGGTTACCTTGCAGTCCAATATGGGCTTTAACTTTGCACCCGGAACCACAATGGTCAGTACCAATATTGATTCGTATTACCCAACATTGGCACAAGCATACAGTGATGGATACAGACTGACCAAATTTTATAGGATCCCATGGGCAGCACAACAGCAGGGCTTTATGTCTACAGCGGTTGATATTCCATTTCAAGGCATTTTCATCAAGTGAGTAGTTATTTTAAAATGTAAGTAATGCAGAGGAATTTCAAACCTTTTTCAGAATCATTAGAGCGGTTTTTCAGAGGAAAGGCTTGCAAAAGCATGTGCTTTGTTGACCTCTTACTTGGTTATTCATCAAACACGAATTGTCCCATTATTTTGTCCCCTGAGGAGAAATCCCATAGTGATTCACGATCACTCAGAGTAAACAAAATAAATGCATTCAGTTCAGTCTCTTAACAAAAGCTCCTGAATTAAGGTTTATCTTTCTAAAAGACGTGAGCAGCTTCATAGTCCAAGCAATGTTTCAGCCTTTGCGAACAATTTTGGTCTCCGTTTCTTAATCCCCTCCTTGTTTTTTCTTTTCTCGTCCTCTAGTCTTCTAACATTTTCAAGCGCTCCGACGTGTGCAGTAAACTATTTAGAGTCCACTCACCATATCGGTCTAGAGGTTTCCTCACCATAAGCATTCACCGCTCAGTCTCATCCTGTTGTTGCTGTGACAAAACTGCCCATTTCCTAGGTATGAAAGTTCCTGCTGCAGGGCTGCAGTCGCGATAAGCTGGTACTGGCACGCTCATTAGACGATCTATCTTGTTGTTCCTGCTGCCAACAAAACGGCTCATTCTTCCTACAAAAATTACACAGGGGCTCAGTAATAAGAAAGATTCCAAAGACGAACTTTCTTTGATAGCCTACATAGGCCAAAGACGTTTAAACTCTTTTAGTTATACTGACCACGTTTTGACAGTTTGGACTTTCTCAGGATTAGTCTTTATTCTGTCAGACGACACTACGTGTCCGAGAAAAGCATCGTCCTCTCCGGCTAAGGAATAGACACTTAGTAGGCTTCAGTTTCAAACCAACAGCTCTTACATCATCAAACACAAACCGGCTGAGGTTTAAAAGGTAGACTCCCAGTCTATTATAGGGTTCAAATACACTAGACAGTGGGTCGAGCTAAGGCCACTGAACGTTAAATTCATAATCTAGTGAAGCTAGCGGGTTCGTTTGTCAATCCAAAGGGCATTACTCTCCACGAGAACCTTCCCTGGGGAATTGAAAAAGAAGTCTTGAGCCTATTATCGTCTTTTACTTGCATCTGTCGGATCTCTGATAACAGATCCAAGACAGAAAACCTCTGAGCTCCACCCAAAGCCTCTAGCATGTCATATTTCCGGGGCAGTGGTATCGCATCCTTGATTTTGTCAACTGGTTAAGTTTGCGGTCGGATACTGACTGAAGAAAGGACTCTGGTAAACTACTATTAAGAATATTTGAATGCCCCTGTTATTCAAAGAAGTCATTTCAACCTTGTTAGAAAATATCGCGTAGTTAGAAGTGTAATGATTTAAAATAAGTACATACTTAAAAGTATGTGCTCATTAACTGCTTCCAGCCCTTCGCTGTTGCGTGTGTCACAGAAATGCCATACTGAAGAAAGATCGGCAGAATGAATGCCTTGTAAAACTTAAGCTGAATGTGTCCTTAGAGACAATGTTGCGGAACCGTAACATTACATGAAACTGATTATTAATTTTCTTGCAAACAGTAGCGAAACAGTAGTGACACAGGACTGGACGTACTGTGCGTGCGTTGACTACTTCATTACGGGCTGCGCGGTCGAAGTCGTTTCAGGTTTTCTTTCCAGCTCACGAATCTTCATTCTTCGATCTTCTTCATTCATTCCAAGAACGAGTTCCTTGAGCTCCTTGAGCTCATGAATCTCGCCGAATCATACAGCATCAACAAACTTTAATCTCCTCAACAGTTGGGACAAAGTCGCTTACAAAGTTTTACGAGTATTTTCTAATCGATGAACAATACGAAGAGCCTCAACAAGTGACTTTGGCTGGTTCATGAGTTCTCATTTTTGCAATTCATCGCTGATTGCCACTGAATAAGGCACTTCAACTTTGAACGAATAAACTGCCTAGGTAGGCATTTTCCTCCAATTCTGTCACACTGTCAGCGAATTCATCCTTTTAGGCCTTTGACACTTCCTTTCGTTTTAATTGTCCAATTGAAACCTTTCAACAAGCTTTTGCCGTGAATTGTTTTAAGATTAGCGTCTCTAAAAGTTTTAGGGCTCCACTGCTTTCACTGTGCTTTGTTGTCCGGTTGATCGGGCAGGGTAAGCAAATACGACCAACGATCTGAAGGTTCGATAAGTACAGTGTTTGCAGACTCAAAGTCCTGAAATTTGCGACCCAGTTTTTTAGACCTGGAAAAAAGGTATGAAAACTTAAGATAAAGTCTGGAAAAAAGTTAAAAAGTGTGGAATTTTTTCAAAACTACAAGAAGTGATTATTAATTTTTGCTTAGTGCGTTATTTTTTCGGTAGTCAAATTTTATTTAATCTCGTCCGTAGCCAAATCATTCATGTCTGCATTGTCAAATGGTTACTGTACGTTTGCATTGCATCGCGGGAAAACCTTGGCTTCTTCATTTATCAAGTGGCTTAGCTTCTAACGATCGTTCATTCGTCATTTGATAACCTTGAGTTTGGAAAAATTCTGGGAAAAAGTCTTGAATTTTGCATCCAAAAATCTGTACGAACCCTATACTACTACAGGAGAAACTTCTGCAATTTGATTGGCTTAGAGCAGTGATATTTTAGCTTAATATGAAATACCTACATGTGAAAATTACAAACCTTTTGCGGTAGTAGTATGAACAAATAATAGCAGGATTTGTACGTGATATTTGGCATAAATACCACTCGTGATATTTCAAAATTGTCTCAAATTTCACTCGCCTAACAGCTCGTAAAATTACGTATAACAATTTTGAAATATCACTCGTGTTATTTATGCCAAATATCACCACAAATCATGCTATTACCTATACTAATTGACTGAAAATTATTTATTTTGTTGTTGATTAGTGTAATTTCTTTAAATTATACATAGAATTAAAAGAAAACATTATTTTTGATAAAGAATTGTTTCGTTAGATTTCCTGCAGCTCCTCCAAGTGGTGAGAACTGGCAGTTGAAAGTGGAAAAGTCCATTTTGAATGTACATCACATTACACCTGGAATCCTCTCAACTACGTCTATGACACATGCAGACACTAGTGATGTGTTAAATAAAATCACCCAGGTATGATAATTCCAATATTTTTTTCTTAATCGATATTCATACTCACAAGTGATGATAGCCTCAGTTAAGCTCAAGTCGACACAGAGTGGTTATCGCATTAGACGTCCGTGGCCTCCATTCAAAGATCTTTCTCCTTTAAGTCATGGTTTATTTTGTTCGCGGGGGGTACTCCCCTGTAAAAGTGAGGGGAGTGCTTGTCGTACCTTCTAGGGGTTCAAATTTTTGGATTGGTACAGCTTTGGGTGCTAAAACCTAACATGACTGCTGCCAGATAAAGATTAATGACAATACTTTCAAAAAGTCCTCGAGAAGAAAGTGTTCGAAAGTTATCTTTATTACTATTAAAATTTACAGTGCCAGTAATATGATTTGTTGATATTGAATTGGTACCTCTTAGGGATGGAAATAAATTTGGGACACGTCCATAAAATAAGATTCTGGTACCTTTTAGGTGTTTTCTCGAAATTTCCCGATGAGCGCCCTCCTCACATTGATAGGGGAGTACCCCCCGGGGGGTTTGTTGGCAGACTTGCCCTTCCACTGGTCTCTAAATCCTTACTTGAAATTCGAGAAAGGGTTTTAAAAACAGACATACTACTAGGACTGAGAATGACCTTTTTGAAATTCCTTGTTTTTTTTTTTCCTCCCTGGATCTGGCCAGCTGCCTAAAACTTACAGTGGCTTTCTTTGGAAATGAGGAATCTAGAGAAGTCGCGCAAGCTATTATGGGATTGTTTGAGGGGCCAAGAACTTTGAATTGTATTGCGATACTAGTTGCTGTTTGACTCGTGTGTAACTCCTCGGATGTTTGTTTTTTAGTGATATTATGTCAACTCCCACGGAGACGTTTTGCTATTTTAGTGTACAGCTATTGAAGATTAGGCTGCTTGAAATCAGTTAAGGGACCGTAAAACAAACATTCGAATAAATTGCAACTCTGTCTTTGTTTCAGCGGTTGGAATTACACTGTGTAGCATAGACAAACACTTTAAAATTTAACACCAGGTATCAGTAGCTATGTCTGACAAATTTGTATCAATTGGTTTGTTTTGTGTAATGGAACCCTGACTAATCTGAAGAGCCTGGGGCAAAGACTGAATTGGGCTGAGTGTAGAGCATAGCCTTATTATTTGAACTCATTTGATCATTCCAGCACACGGCCAGTGGCGGACAGTTGATATGTGTGGAAATGACAGGTCAAGCAGTGTCTCCAGGAATGTCTGCAGCTTTGGCAGAAATGTCGACAGGTAAAACACACCTGGTCCAACTGAGCTCTTTTTCTCGTAGATAGACCTTTCCCACTCTCTTGTAAACAAAGTCACAACTCGCAGCTGGGATTTACAAAATACAGTGATTTGTTTGAAACTGTCTACCGGAGCCTCGACCTCCTTTGTAAGATGCAGTCATATCTTTATTAATCATAACTGTGACAAAATTCTTAAATCTGATTGGCTATCAACTGTCCTTATTTCAGCACTAATAGGATCGTGTAATAGGAAAGTAAGCGCCATCGCAGTCGCGCACTTAAAAGGCTTTTTTTTCACAGCTGGCGAAAAAACTCTCGGAATTTGTCATGTTTTTTTAATTTTAATTTGAAAAGCCTAAAATATCACACAAGTTGTTATATTTATGATTAATCGGCAACAATACTTCGGGTCGTCCAATTCGGTCCGTAATCATACTCGTGAAGGAACAAATCGAACGACCGCATATTTTGTTGACTTAAGCCAGGAGCCCATAACCCGGAGCGAGCTACTCCCATACTACGCCTTTGTCAAGGCGTTTTTACGGACCCGTTTATTTTTAGACACATTTTAGATCACTAAATAGAATCTCCATCATATCTATGAGCGCACTCGAAGTGTATATGATATCAAAAAGAAAAACTAAACGTTCTTAAAAGGCAAAAATATCATTTTTTCATCTGTAGGTTTTGCTGACTGGTTTATGGAATTTAAAAGATATTCAAAATTCGCGCCAAAACCGTTCTAAAAATAGACTGGTCTGTGAAAACGACGTGACACGATCGCATGGAAGTTGCTCGCTCCGGGTTATGGGCTCCTGCTTAGGCAAAGACAGACTTTTTTGAGCAACGCACGTCAACCGGAGTGGGCGTTTTGCATCCTTGGGCAGTAGTTTTACCGAAATTTTCGCTAAATCTTCTGTATGAGAGAAATACCAGTTAGCAGTAAAATTTTGGTAGCGTTTACTTATGTTCAATGAGAAACCGCCTCACTTCCGGTTGACGTACGTCGCTCAGAAACGTCTTTGCTTAAGCTCCCTAGACCTTTTAACCGATACGGCGGCCATATTGAATTAATTGGATTTAAGGAGTATTATGGGATGCCCAGGGGGCATGAGCACGATCCGATATACTCGCTTCAGTATTTACGCGCACATTTCGGGCCAATTTGTCTTTAAGTTTTCCTAGAAAAAGATTGTAACGGGAAAAAAGGTCGTTGTGCCGAGTTTGGATGTAATAATGATCAGGATTAGACTCCAGTTACTCCTATTACGATTATTAGTCATAAACGTAACCGTATTATTACGTTAGTGATTGTGTGAAGTTTAGTCTCTTGACATCCAAGAGAACTGATTCAAAAATTGCGTACTTCACCACTGATTTGTCGTTATGTACCTCTTAAATGGCAGTTCTTGAAAAGCCGATTAGCGCTAATCCAGGATTACAAGTCTGTCCCACTTTTTGTATTTACCTTCCTACGCAATGCTTAAAGTAGACTACTGAGACTACGAGTAGTCCCCCATTTTCCCTCAGGGATAGTAGAGCGAGCGAAACGCGAGCGCGCGTGAAAATCACCCTATGCGAGAAAAGGCACACGCGCTCGCCTTTCGGTCGCTCTACTATCCCTGAGGAAAAATGGGGGACTACTCGTAGTCTATGCTTAGAGTAACATTTTGTGTTATCATTTCTCGTTTTCGAAGTAAAGGCACAACAGTATTTTGAAAGCACGAGTTACACGTTCTTATACAAGAAAACCTTGTTTAAAATTTGGCTTAATTTAAACTTAAGTATCTTTCGAGGAATTATCGTGGGTAATTTTTAGCTGACTTGATGATGTGTTTCAATATCATTTCAATGGCCTAAGCGACTTCAAACAATGAATGCGATTCAAATGAACGCACCCCACTGACAGCACATAAGAAAGACAAGAAACCATTATCAACGTCCTCATTTGCTCTTAACGTAAAGATAGTGTCATTTATCTTTTTTAGGCATAGGGGTCGATTTATTTTTTGACATACCAACTCACCCAAATCCTCGTCGCTATGTTTACCAAGCTGTCAATGTGCCTATTAACATGTCTATGTCAGTTGGATCTGTAACGGGAAAACTCAACAGAGAGGATGCTTGTGATTGGCAAGGACAGATGACGACATTACTTCAACAAGGCTGGCGATTGGTGGAAATTTTCTTCGATCAATCCAGCGCTGCCCAAGGCCATGGCTTTTCTGCAACTCAGGCCTTCAATTCTGTCTGGTTCTTCGAGAAAGAGGCTAGTCGAATCGATGATCCCCGCCCTGTTTATGAAGGTACAGTCATAGAGTACGAACACTTGATTGAATTTGGTTTCGCAAAGTTGCAGTTACAGGAATCTACAGCACAGTGGGATTCAGTCCTCTCTGAGATGGGAAAGCGTGGATGGGAACTTGCCTGTATCCTGGAAACACCAGCGTACAAGATGTCGACGGGACTGTCAAAAATGAAAATGAAAAGGAAATTTTTAATGTTTTTTCAAAGAAAATTGCCAGGGATTTAACTATGAAAAGAATAGTCGCCCGCGCCAAAAAGCGTGCGGGCAAGCCTCTCCAGACTGAATTTTCAGCTATATAGCAATAAGAAGCAGATCGGACTCTCCTTTTGCTAAGTTCGCAATATGTTCGGGGACTTTCCTGTTGCCTTCGAAACTTCAGAATTTCTTCGAAAATCAACCGCAACCTTTGAAATTCTTCGATTCAACTCAGTTTGGAATCGTTCCAGATTTGACATTGGTCTTGAAAATAATGCATTGCGCTCGCAGATAACAGGCTGATATGCAGATTGCGCTGATTTTCAAAATTAACTTTATGCTCTCAGCCATGCAATGAGAAGACCAATGGTGATTACAATGTATATTAAAAGAAATGAATTGGTGATATTTGCCTTTGAATGCTGTAAATCAATCAGAATTAACGCCTCTGTACCCAAACTTTCTCTTAAATTGTGGCTAGTATAGTCCCAAAGCCCCTAATTTTAATACCAGCTGTATTGTCTTTCTTTATGGAGTGGCGAATTGTGCCTTTAGAGTTCATTCGAACCTCACTTTTTGATAGTTGTAATAATAATTTAATAATTAATAAGTTAATCGTAGAATTGTAATAATTATTTTTATACGCATTGTTTTGAAGAAAATAAGGACAAACACACCGTCGCACGAAACCGATTTGACACTGGTCTTGGAAATAATGCATTCCTCGCGCTGATAACAAACTTATCAGTGGATTGCGGAGATTTTCAAAAATTAACTGTAGCCTCTCAACCAATGAGAAGACAGAGACAGATAATGATTAAAATGTATATTACTCCAGGTGGACAAAACTGTAAAACAGGAAAACAGGACCTCTAATAAGGGGCTAATTCTCTCTTGCTGGAGGGTGGCTCCTAGAGTTCGAAGTTTATATTCTAAAACAAAATTGTGCCCTATACACATATATAGGTTCTATGTAGTCTCAATTCTCCAATTAAAAATCATTTTAGGATTTTAGAAGTTAAAAGTTAACGCTATTCTGTTTTCGACTTTTAAGACATCTACAATTGCTGTAGTTTTCATAGATTGTGCTGATTGTGGTATTAAAATAAGAAATTAACATGCATGGTTGCGAGTGGCTTGGTCGGTGACCTTCTGATCCGCAAAATTGACCAATATTTTTCGTTATCATCTTTTTCCTATGTTTTGGTACTGTGGTCCGCATGTAATGCATACCCTCTGAATACCCTTGTAGGGACAAAAATGATCGGGAACCCCCGACGAACATGTGTACTTTAACTTGCCAGACTTATTCGATTGTAAACTTGACGCCGCAGCGCTTTTTAAAGTTTTAGCGTTTCCGATGCGGCGATTATTCAAGGAGGGAGTTTATCAGTCAAAATCACATTTTTTAAATCTCTGACGAGCCATTATGATAAACCATTTAGAAATATTGTGTAAAACAGAAAGATGTTTAAAGCTTTTTCGCTGGGAGTGAATTGTATAATTGATCTGGATGCTGTAGATTACAAAGTTGTACCGGTTTTTTTTTATAATCCTCGAATAGAGTGTTTTCACTCACGTGGCCAGCATCTATGCAAATTGTTGGAACAAAAGAAAGCGTTTGCATTAGAAAAGAGTTCAACTCCCACAGGATTGGTTAGGGACACCAACATGGCCGCCGTTTCATTGTTTTGGGACACCAATATGGCCGCCGTGACGTCATGTGAAAACACTCTATAAACACCGCATTCGTCTGATTGGGTACTGCGGTTATTCGAGGGCGGCGTTTAGATCAAGAGGTAAAGACCAACAAGAAATGGCTATGGCTTATTGCTCCAGCCATTCATTGCAAATTGCGAATGGTATTGCATGCAAATTACGTCAAAAGTAGTGGCGGATCCGGGGGAGGGGGCTCCCCCTTATTTTTAGACCAAACTGAGGCCTGAAGGGCAGAAAAAATTTTGGAGACAGTTATATTACCGAAAAATTATGACGATCATACTGACACTTTACCTCCGTGTACTCCTAAGTCTCTGGATCCTTCGGAGAATTGTCACTTACATGTACAAGATCAACCATACTAGTGTATGAACTATATGAATTCTCCAATCGCTTTGATGGATGAGTGTTCAGCAAGACAGTCGGGTGCACAATAACCTCATTACGGTTTGTTGTGACGTCTCATGTGGCAATACAGGCCTTCCCAGGAACTGCAGATCTGGCCGCAGAGATTGCATATGTTGCTTTAAGGGGCAGTCTGGTTAAAAGCATTATTTTTCATTGATTTAAATATCTAGTCAAGATTTCATTCTATCAAAAAATGCCCCATTACGTTAAATTCCTTAGTTCAATAATTATTTGTGAATTTGTGGATGATTTTTCGAATGTATTTAATGTGTAAAATTTAGGGGGGACGGATGTTTGAAATTTTGGGAAAAGGTGAAATTTTGGATTTGGGGGTTGTTAAAAATTGAAATATGAAGTGAGTAATTAGTAGACAATTACCAGATAGTCCACCACCTCAGGAAGGTGCCTCTGATCCCATTAGCAGACTAACTGGTTTATGTACAATACCAGGAGCTGTGTATACCTATTCTACCCTCATATATTTCCTTCCCAAATCAACATCATTTCCCCCAAATTTTAACCAGTCTCCAACCTTAGACAACTGGCGGTAGGTTGGACCTGGTTTTGCTCTGAGGTCAGTTCTCCTTCAGGGTGGTCAGATCCTGGCTGCTTCTAAGTCGGGGATAGTCAGGTTACTATCGCCCCATGCGCAGTGATCCGGACTATGGAATCCGGAACCTGGAATCTGGAATCTGGAATGTGGAATACGGAATGCTGCGCTTTAGAATACGAAATTCAGCTCAAAGAATCAGGAATCTCGCTAAAGACTGAAGTCCAAGTATTCCTGACAAGGAACCTGGAATAAAGTACCTGGAATGCGGAATTCAGAACGCGGAATCCAGAAGCTAAGATTGTCTTGGATTACCTCATATGAAGCGATTGGTAGTTTCTAACCTGGGACAAGGCTCCGCATTTGGGAAAAAAGGAGAAAATAATCGGCTTGGGCGAAAAAAAAATCGGCGGGCGAAGCGAGCCGAGAGAGGGGAAGGCGAGCGAGGCGAGTCTGAGGAGGGGAAAGGGTGATCCTTTCCCCTTCCCCAGGCCACCGCTCGGTTCATTTCGCTTTCCTATTTGACTCTGTTTTTTGCCTTTTTCCCCCAACTGCGGAGTGTGGTCCCCCCAGGCTAGTAGTTTCCGAATCACGTCTTCAGGATCAGCTTGCACACTTTTAAATTGGCCTTAACAGTGTCCTTGTAGCAGAGCAGTGGGGGACCTTGGTTCTTGGCACCAGAGCTTGATTTGAAGTTGGTAAGTTCAGAGGTCGGGAATTTCAAATCTAGTCTTTTTGGTCCGGGCTTCAATACAATTGCTGACCCTGAAGGATTTCCCTCCGCGTTGAGTTGAATTCTCGTCGCCAGGCGCTTTTCCCTAGCTTTGGCTTCCAAAGCCTGGGAAAAGCGCCCTAGGGAAGAGGTTGATTGAGTTATAATCAGAGCCCTTGGGTTGCTAGCTCACATAAGCCCTTAGTTCTCTCTTAGGATACACCACTCAATGTATAAACTGACGATAAACCGTAGGTCCGGTCTCACAACCGTTGCACATAAAAAAATTCTGCGGGACTTTTAAGTAAGACAACACATCACACACAGTGCTGTTACAGTAGTCAGCCCTCGGTGTACATATGGTGGAGTGTCTCTATTCACATTCGCATTAGTGAACATTTATAACCCTTTACATCATTAATTGTAAACTGTGGCTATGACACAAGTCCCAAACCATTGTTTTTTTCAATATGCCGGAAAAGCCCTGAGGGAAATAGATAGTAAGATATTTTGAGAAAAGTTACGATTGTTGTAAATTTTGTAGACATGTTTCGGATGAACAACACCATCCATTGTTAGTACATACAGAACCCGCTAGTACGTGTGATGTTGACTGTAGAGTACCAGTGGTAACTTTTCTCAAAATTATTTCTTACTTGTTCACAGTACGGAAATAAGATATTTTAAATTTACCATTTACAATTTCGATTTACACGTCTCCTCTAAATAAAACCCTTAAGAAGAGGACTTAAGAATGTATCTCGAGACTCGATGCTCGTTTTCCGAATTTTACCATAAGTTGATATTCTTAATCGCAAGGTTTGGGCGGCAATATTCTTATTTTCGGTGAGCAGAGCGGCTCGCTAGTAAACACAACCACCAGCTGATACGGCATGACTGTAACGATATTGTCACGCGTATCATTGTCACGCATATCACGTGTGACAAGTCAAGTTTGGACTTGCGCAGTATGTTAAGTTATACATTTATCCCGGATGTATTCGCATGTGCTCCCTGATCTTGTAATGGCTGACATGTATTAAACCGGCAGTTCGTCTCCATAATCTCGTCTGTAGTCGTCTTCACTTAACGTTACATGGTGTCAGAAGTAAACTGGGCGTCAATTACAGCTCGTCGCCTCCGTCGAAGACGATTGTGAGTACTTTCTCCAATATAATCGCTCCAATATGCCGACAACCCCGAGCGACAACACTGGCGAAAGCGGTGATGGTTCGGTTCCGAATTCATCGACTACACATCACACGGTGATTACAGTTCCAGTGAATATCCCGCTACCAGAAAAGTTAGATTTAAGCGGCGGAAATCTTCCTGTTAAATGGCAACGATTCAGTCGAGCGTGGTCGAACTACGAAATTGCTGCTCAACTCAAAGACCCGGAAAATCCGGATAGGAACAAGCAACGAAGGACGGCCACCCTGCTCACCTGCATCGGGTCGGATGCGCTAGATGTTATTGACTCAATGGAGTTTGAGTCCGAAGACCAGCGGAAAGAGCCAGACGTGATACTTGAGAAGATGGAAAAATACTGCATTGGGGAATGCAATGAAACCTACGAAAGATATGTCTTCAACCGAAGGGATCAGGAGTCTAATGAGTCTGTGGATGCCTATGTTACTGCTCTACGTAAATTAGCCAAGACCTGCAATTATGGGACACTAGCCGACTCACTAATCCGTGATAGAATAGTGGTTGGCATTAATGACAATTCAGCTCGAAAGAAACTACTACAAGCAGGCAAACTCACCTTGAGTCAATGTATTGACATTTGTAGATCTTCAGAGACCTCCGCACGGCAACTGAAGACTATGAATCAGGAGGATGTCCGTCTCGTAAAGGAGGAAAAAGTCAACCCGGCAGGCAAAAAAAGGGCGGGAGTATCGGACAACAGGCCCCGCACTGAATCACGAGAGTCCAGAATGACATGCAAATTTTGCGCTAGGCAGCATCCCTTCGCCAAGAAGAACTGTCCAGCTTGGGAAACACTTGCAAGAAGTGCGGCCTCCCAAACCATTTTGCAGTCTGTTGCAGAGAATCAAAGAAAAGGTGCTTTTTATGGATTTTGACTCCGATGATGACGAATATGTCGCAGAGATTGATGTGAAAGAGCAAGTCAATGCACTAGCCCCCCGCAATCACGCGAGCAAAATTTTTGCCACCCTTCTTGTCAACGGTGGGAGGAGAAGTTCCAGCTTGACAGCGGCTCAACTGTAAATCTCATGTCAGATAAAACAGTGGAGAGACTCTGTGGTACGGGCTGTCTAAAAGACTTGGACAAAACATCTGTGACTCTGGTAATGTACAACCAGTCTGAGGTTAAACCGCTGGGCAAGAAACGCTTCCGGGTGACAAACCCAAAGAACAATAAGAAGTACAGTATTGAATTTCACATTGTTGGTGGAGTAAGTCCATGCAAGTCTATCCTGGGTCTAAGGGCCAGCAAACACCTTCAATTGCTAACAATCAATGAACACAACATCCTTGCTGTGGATTCAAACGGTGAAGACCCTGTCAATCTCAAGAAAGAAGACTACATTTCGCTGTACAAAGATGTGTTCTCTGGGAAGGCAAACTTGCAGGCCAACTACACCTGAAATTGACAAGGATGTCCATCCAGTTCAGCTACCCACTCGGAGGGTGCCAATTGCCCTTAAAGAGCCTTTAAAACAAGAGTTGGACAGACTGTCAAGCATTGGAATGATCCTGAAGGTCGACACACCTACTGAGTGGATCTCAGCCGTAGTGGTCACAACAAAGAAAAATGGCAAAGTAAGACTGTGTATTGATCCCAAACCACTGAATGAGGCCCTACACAGGAATCACTACCCCTTGCCCACAATAGATGACGTACTCCCCGCTGCTATCCAAGGCCCGTGTGTTTACAGTGCTTGATGCGAAAAACGGGTTTTGGCACATACAACTAGATGAGCCAAGCAGCTATGCGACCACCTTTGGAACACCATGGGGTAGATACCGTTGGCTTCGAATGCCATTTGGGCTTTCTCCTGCTCCAGAGGAGTTCCAGCGGAGAATTGATATCGCTCTCGAAGGTCTCCCCGGACAGAAGGCCATTGCTGATGACATCCTGGTGTTTGGATCGGGAGACACAGATGAAGAAGCCTTCAGGGATCATGATCGCCACCTGAAGGAGGTGTTCACCCGGTGCCAGCAGAAGGGCATCAAGCTAAACGCTGATAAGATGCAGTTCAGACAAAAGCAAGTGACCTACATGGGTCATGTGATATCATCAGAGGGTCTTGGGTGGATCCGGACAAACTGAAGTCCATCAACGAAATGCCACCCCCACTGACAAGCATGGTGTCCAGAGAATCCTAGGAATGGTGAACTATGTACAGAAGTTTGCACCAAACCTGGCAGATGTGGCTAAGCCCCTTCGAGATCTTGTGAAGAAAGATAATGAGTTTCTTTGGGAGGAAGATGTCCACGGAAAGTGCCTGGAGGATGTAAAGCGGGTTCTAACGCAAGCGCCGGTACTCAAGTTCTTTGATCCACAAAAGAAGACAGTACTGCAATGTGATGCCTCCATGAGCGGTCTTGGAGCATGCCTATTACAGGATGGACACCCCATCGCGTACGCATCCAGGGCCCCTAACTCCAGCTGAGACTAACTATGCTCAGATAGAGAAAGAGTTGCTGTCTATTGTCTTCGGTGTTGAACGGTTTGAGAGTTACGTTTATGGTAGAAAGGTCTTCGTTGATACTGACCACAAACCTCTGGAATCTATTATGAAGAAGAGTTTGCTGAGTGCACCTAAGCGTCTGCAGAGAATGTTGTTACGTCTTCAGAAATTTGACCTCGAGGTCACCTACAGAAAGGGCATCGAGATGCACATCGCAGATCCCCTTAGTAGGGCGTATCTCCCACTGCTCAAGCAAGAGGAAGACACCAAGGAAGATGTGTGGAGTGTTGCTGATGTAAGATCACCAACAGAGATCGAGACTGAGTATGTGAACATGGCTGAGTTTGTGCCCATTCGACAAACGACCCTATGTGACATCAAATCTGAAACTGAGCTGGACGCTGATCTGAGTGCATTAGCCACTATGATCAAACAAGGCTGGCCAGATAACAAGACAAATGTGCCCCCCAAGTTGCAGAACTATTTCCCTTTTAGAGAAGAGTTGTCTTTACAGAATGGAGTTGTATTCAAGGGTGAACGAATTGTGGTTCCACTTACCTTGCGAGATTGCATTATCAACAAAGTTCATGCTAGTCACCTGGGCATTCAGGGATGTCTTAGAAGAGCTCGAGACGCTTTCTTCTGGCCTGACATGAGCAAGCAAATCACCGAGTTTATCTCAAAGTGCAGTATCTGTAATAGTTACAAACCAGATCAGCAGAAGGAGCCCTTAGTATGCTATGAAATACCGTCAAGGCCTTGGCAAAGCATCTCGGCTGACCTGTTTGAGCTCCACGGCTTTGACTACCTGGTTACCACTGACCGTTATTCCAACTTCTTCGAAGTGGATGTGCTGACGTCTAAGGCTTCTAAAGAAGTTATTGATAAGCTTAAGCCCCATCTGGCTAGATACGGGCTTCCAGACCAAATTACTACAGACAATGGACCACAGTTTGACTGCAAAGAGTTCCAGCAGTTTGCAGAGCAGTACCAGTTTGAACACATTAGGACCTCGCCGCGGTACCCCAGTCCAACGGCAAGGCAGAGAATAGTGTTAAAACAGCAAAGCAAATCCTAAAGAAGGCTTTTGATGCGGGACGTGACCCACAGTTGTCGCTACTGGACTTTAGGAACACACCATCGGAGGGGATGGACAGCTCCCCTGCACAACGTCTCTTCTCACGCAGAACCCGAACTTCCCTACCCATAGCTAGTCAGTTGCTGCAGCCACAGTTGGTCCCTGATGTGGGCGACAAGTTACAAGAGAAAAATTGAAACAAGCCAGGTATTACAACAGAGGAGCCAAGGTACTACAGCCTCTACAAGAGGGAGATGTGGTGCGAGTCCGACCCCTTAATCGCCGGTCGAAATGGTTCAAGGCCCAAGTTGATCAGCACATAGATGTGCGCTCCTACAATGTTCGCACTGAAGATGGTCGACTTTATCGCCGCAACCGTTCCCATCTCTACAAGGTTCCTGAGAGGTACCAACCAAACCATGATGAAGAGCTGGTGTTAACTAAGTTGTCTACGCCGGAACAGCCTGAGGGTGCATGTCAGTTGCCTTCAGCATCCCCTGTATTGCGGTTGCCTTCTGTATCTCCCACACCACGGATGCCTCATGTTTCAGATGTACAACCTCCTACCAATGGTCTGCCAACGGATGCCCAACCAAGGGAAGTTACTGATCCTGCTCCGGTTACGACTAGAAGTGGCAGAATTGTTAGGAAACCTGCTTATCTGAAAGACTTCTGTGTCTAGTGTGATATTGAACATTGAATTGAATTGAATTCAATATTGAACGATGAAGAAAGGGCATTGGTTGGTTATCGACCAGTTTTGAACAGTGAACATTATAGCTAGTTTCTGTGCCATTCCCAAGTTTCCTTTGGGCTTGTTTGTTACACAACAGTGAGCGTTGAACTTCATAGTTAGTTCCTGCACCATTGCTAAAGCTTCCTTTGGCTATTGGTGTTTTGTTTTGTTTGGTTTCTTTTGTTTCATTTAAACGAAGGGAGATGTAACGATATTGTCACGCGTATCATTGTCACGCATATCACGTGTGACAAGTCAAGTTTGGACTTGCGCAGTATGTTAAGTTATACATTTATCCCGGATGTATTCGCATGTGCTCCCTGATCTTGTAATGGCTGACATGTATTAAACCGGCAGTTCGTCTCCATAATCTCGTCTGTAGTCGTCTTCACTTAACGTTACAATGACGAGGCATTTTAGTTAGTGTTGTTGTTAGTGCCTTCAGCAAATGACGTCATACAAAGGAGTTAGTAACGCACTGGACCGTATGCACAGCACAAACAGTAGCTAATCATCAATAATTTCCAAAAAAACATCATGTAGTTAGCAGGACAACGCGTCCCTAGAAACTTTCTTAACGTAGTCAGATGACGTAAATTTACTGATATGTGAGAAGTGTTTTGTGTACGGAAAAATTTGCCGTCAACAGAAAGATTCAAAAATTTAGCTGGACTTGAAACGAGTTGGTACGAAGTGTTTGGATTGTGCGTGGCTCTGTCCTCAGTGCAAGCGAGGTACCCCTTCATTTGTTGGTTGAAAACTTTGATAGTTAGCTTTCTGTTAACAGCACCTTCTTTATTTTTTTGATTTTTCTTTTCTTATTTAACTCCTCTGGACTTGAAATCGATAAACAGTAATACATATAAGAGAAAGGTTTCACTAAAAAATATCAGGGATTCGAATTTTCTTTATCCGCAGCAGAGATGTATGCCGGCTTTTAACACGCTAGTTTCAAATAGCCTTTTCTTCGAGGCGAATAGAGGGTACATTCGTAAGAGTCACTCAAAAAATGTCTGCAGGTCATTCACTTAAAGGCAGCCTTATGAGTGCTTGTTTTCTGTGTACGCCTGTGTTTTATTAGATGTTCTTTCCCATGCCATTGACGTCCTTAAATACTGAGGTTTTGGCATATTTATTAATCTCTATCGACTTCGAGAGCGATTTTTTTCCAGTCTGTTCTTTTCTTGTCCCAGATATCCCACCACAGGACTTTAAAGCTTCTTTTTTTATGATTCATCAACTTTCAAAGTTCGTTCATACAAGGAAGTATTTTTCTGAACTGAATTGGCCCGTAAGGAAAAAGCACAAGCTAAACGCTTTTGTAGACTTTAATTTTTTAATTATTTGGACGAAAATTTAAAGTTCAAAAATGCTATTAAACTTACAGTCAGCAACGGAGCGTTTACCGAAACACAGACACGTAATCCAGCGATCAGTATTGGGAGTCCAGCTCAAGTGGGCGGGAGTGGAAAGTGACACTAAGAACTGTAGTGGTTGCGCAGGAACCGGACATCCGTTTGCATTCGAATAAACACAAATTTAAACAATCGTAGAGTTTTTTTTGCCGTATCCAAGGCAAAAATGTTCTACTATCTGCGCTTATACATTTATAGCTGATGGGTAATGTAATTAGGGGTTAGATTGATAATATTTAATACTGTTTGCACTTTGCATGATGACTGATAAAATGTTGTTACTAGAAATCTTAGCTTTAATTAATGACTTGTTGCTAATTATGATTTGCGGTTAGATGCAGGGTTGATTGGTCTGGAGTTACGCGGGGGCGTGAGCGTTGAAGCCGTCAATATTTACTTTGGGCAAATTTTTTCACGCCGGAATTTTCCTGCATGCCAACGCCTATGTGTCAGTTTGGGAGAGAAAATGAAATACAAGAACTTACAAGTTTTGGCCGATTTGATTGAGTCTGTCCAATTTCATTTATGGAAATTCGAAAGCATTATAATGTGATTATAATTTAAAAAGGTGTTGTTTAAATTATTATCTGTTGTTGTTTTCAGGACGGCGTCAAAACTTGGCATTTTTGCTAGATAAACGATCGTCAATGATAGTTTCCGCAGTACACAGAGTCAGATATAGAACAAGTTCTAGTTAATTTAAACGTGACCTTTGTCACGTGGCGAGAAGGAGATTTAAATGTCGGGGGTGGGGGGGAGGGTTTGAGTGCGGGCTCATTTTCCCAATCAGCGGCTGGTAATCGAGCCTTAAGTAATCTGAAACCAGGGCTTTTCCTTGTAATAACTAATTAAAACTTATCAGTTGCTAATCAAATGGGAAAATAATTGATAATGCGTCTCAGGGGACTTTCGTTCCAGAAGAGCCTGGAAGCTTATGGAAGGACACACGTTCTACCAGGCTTGACTGTTAACTGGCCAGTTATTTGCAGCCCAGTTGATTGAATTGAAAGTGGAAGAAGGCATTGATTATAGTATTGATATTATGAACATAACGCCTTATTTTATGCAGATGGGTGTCTGTATTTCAAAGGAGAACGGAGTTGGTGACCATGAGACTGGTACGGTCATTCCGGAAGATACTGTGCCTTACTCAGGATTGGAAGTACATTATCACATGATTAATGTAGAGGTATGAGCATGTTTTACACAGGGGAATGATAACACATTTGAGACGACTATCTGCACGGAATGGGCATGGGAATGAGAATGGAATGGGACGGGATCGAGAAGGGAGTAACCCCCCATTCCATTATTCTCTAGCCCCCTCTCTTCCCTCCCTTTGACACCTGCTACACAAGCTTAATTTGAGGCCAACCGTTCTCAGGTTTTAGCGTTTTTCCAATACCTCGGGATTCCGTTCATGGCTCGAAGGTGCGTGGTTGGAATTTTAAAGCATAATGATGAAAAGGTTTAAAAACAGAAATAGCCGAATTGAAACCGCTATCTATGCTGATTAGCTACGCTGAGAAAATCCTTAGTCAAAGTGTCCGCGGTGATGTTTGTCAGAGACAAGAGAGAATGAGAACTAGAATCTTTTCGGAGATTATGGTTGTCTTGCATTACAGTAAGTTAGTTCATACGTCTGTAATGACATCTGCAAACGGTTAGAGTCTTTAGATTTCTCAGCTAAGGACGATAAATTGTGTGTCCCGTCACGTCTCACAAACTTTGCCACTTTTAAATTTACGGAACGGAAACCCTCACGCTCAGTTCGTAAAGCCGTAGGAAGACGTAGTCAACGGTGTGGTATCTCTCTGCTAAATAGCATGTGGTCAACCTGGCCAGATTAGAAATCAGGCTATTTGCCGGATGCTGGAATATCACTCAGAAATTGAACTCAGAAAATTACATATAAATACTTTTTTCTCCAACTATATAGGTTAACATGAAACACAATGTGGACGTTAATTTTACACCAGGAATACACACCACAATGGCCAACGTCAGCACCAACATTGATTCGTATTACCCAACACTGGCACAAGCCTACAGTGAAGGTTGGAGATTGACCAGCTTTTACAGGGTCCCAGGGGCAAAACAGCAGGCATTTATGTCAACAGCTGTAAATATTCCATTTCAAGGCATTTTTACCAAGTATGTGCTTTATTCTGATAGTTGGTTAGCTTGCGTAGCGCGCGCCGGGTATGTGAAAGGACAGTCTCGAACCCAGAGCTCTTCTGCGCATGACAGCCAGGGAGAAAGTCAGAAACCTAAGCACTGGGCTCAGGATTGGGTGGAAGGAGAAAAATAAAAGACGCGCGCGCATGCACACGAGTGTTACCCTGACGCGCGCTCTATAAAAACTAATAAAAAAAACTAACCGGCGCCTGCCACGCAGGCTAATACAGCTTCGGCTTCTTCTTTTTACTCACCTAAAATTCAAAGGGGGACAGACTGCCTGTAGTTGTTGTCGCTAGAAATATTTGATAGTCCATTGACTGTCCATTAGAAGGATTTCCTCGGATGAAAGGATGGAAGATCTAAAGTAACTAGGGTGGGGTGATAAAGTCGCCAATATAAAACTAATAGTGCGTCCACTGTAATTTTTTTTCTCTTTTCGTCACTTTCTCTCCTTATCTTATACATATATCTAACTAGTCGATTTTTTGAAAACGAGTCTAACGAAATTTTTACCCATTTGAGTGAAAAATGGCCACCGAATGAAATGGCAGGTTTTTTTCACCCGATAAGCTGTAAAATCGCAGCAGCGATGGAAAAGGAAAGGACAGCAAGGAAGAGCGAGGAAGAGGAAAGGAGGAGAATATATGAAAAAGCAGGTTGCACTCTTAGTTTTTATCATGGGCACTTTGGAGATAATTTATGGCCAAAAAAAAACAAAAACTGTTTGACGTAACAGTTAGCTTTGGCGATAATGTTTTTAAAAAGCCGACTAGATACTCGTATGACGGCGTTTATCCACTGACCAGTTTATTTTTAGATCGGTTTTGGCGCGAATTTTGAGTACCTGTTAAATTCAACAAACCAGTCATCAAAACCTACAGACCTAAAAATGATATTTTTGCCTTTTAATAACGTTTAGTTTTCCTTTTTGATATCTTATACTTCGGATGCGCTCATAGACATGTTGGAGATTCTATTTTCGCGGGAAAAAGTGCCCTAGCATGCATGGACGTCGCTTGCTCCGGGTTATAGGCTCCTGGAAAAGATGAATTTGTTGCTCGCGTTTCAGAAACCAACATCGATCGATTTACGGCAATGGGTAGTTAGCCCCTGGCTCCATCAACCCTGAACTTATAGGAACAGGGGTTGCTCTTTGTCTTGAATGTTCCAGGCGTTCAAATTGTGAGGATAACAGAAAGAAAATAGAGCAGGAAAAACAGCGAGGGGGTTATACTTTCGCTTTCCCTCCTTCACCCTCCATTTCGTACCACTCTCATGCAACAATCTGAATGCCCGGAACAGGATACTCTTTGCCTGGTCTCTATCCTCGTCTAACCCGGCCTTGTACCCAAGCCAGTTCGCTCTATCCGAGTTACCAGATGAGGCTTGGAACCGAGTGCGATATCGAATTTTCCCGACAAGCTTGACAAGTGGCTTCTCATCCGAAATCGCCGAGGACGACTGGGTACAAGGCTGGTCTAACCCCGCATGATAATCAGAGTCCAGAGAGGTGCCAGCCAAAGCTGAAGCTGTTACAATTATCGTTTCATTTTGTTTACAGTTTTCAGTTCCAGAATACAACCAATTAATTTCCTTATGAATTTCCTTTCCAGATGATACTGCATGACGTAAAATTACACTTAAGTTAGAGATAGTTAAATTACATTTTAGTTCAAACCGAATTTAAAAAGGTATTACTTAATTTTTGATGTCATTTTGAGCTAACTCCATTTATATCTCACTAAATAAGTAATATAACAAAAAGCCGACAATTAAAGAAGTTGTGTAGGAGCTATCACATGACTGTGCTATAAAAGAAGAATTCATATTTATCACGACCTTTTGCAACTGTTTTTAGATTTCCCACAGCTCCTACCTCTAGTGAGAGCTGGCAGCTGAAGGTGGAGAAATCCATTATGCTTGTGGAAAGAGTCAGACAAAGAATATCCAAAAGGATTCACACTTTTAAGACAGATGTCGATACCGGTGATATTTTTACTAAAATCACCCAGGTATAGTACTGAGAGAAACATCGTATATATCAGCATAATGTATGTTCTTTCCTGATCTTGGAAATTCGTCATTATATAATGGCTAATGACTAGCTCTCGAGGGGCTGGGTGAAGTTCTCCCTAGGTCCCTCCCTATTATGGCCTTCGCTGGAAGGCTCTGTCCGGTCGGGGTAGGGGAAAGGGGCAGTGTCTGTACACAGGCTATCTCATGTTTTACTTCAACACCAACAAACCCCAGTTTTTTTCTGCCGAATACAAGCTGTACTAGAAAATCGCAGGTTATCTCAGGGAAGGGGGGGCGTAACCCTGCACCCTCCCCCTAGATCCGCCCCTGGGGAAATTTGTCATTTCGGTAACCAAGTCTACAGAAAACAACTCCATCGACAGACTTCTGATGTGCCCGGCTCAACAGGTCCAGGGGGCAGCTGCCCCCTTGCCCCCTCACTAGTTACCGTTCTGCAGTGTTGTTTTGTAAGTATGTGAACGGGGTAATATTTTTCAATGAAAGGTTTCCACTAGTGGTACTTTTTCTGGTATATAAATAAGTAAGGGGTTGGGACTTGATTGCATTACCTGCCTCGTCTACGCGCAAAAGTCGGACCAATTAAGGTTTCTGGGGAAACTGCCCACCCACCCCTCCCCTAAGCCATCATTTTTCCCTAAGTGAGAAGTAAGTGTTAATGTTAGCATAGGCAAGGGGTAGGTGGGCAGTTTCCCAGAAACCTAAGTTTATCCCAAAAGTCTGTCCCAGGGCCCAGCAACCATGATGTTGAAAAGGTCCGCGGTTCCGTATGGTCCGTCCCTCTTTTGTACTTGACGAGGACGGCTACGAAAACCAGATTTTCTCAATACTTAACATTAAGTAGTGCGCCCTTGAACTAGCGTCATTTTGGTGGGAAAACGTGATAATAGTCCTTATTTCACTACGAGTTTTAGCAAGAATGTCGTAGTTTTTTTGGAAACAAGTGATGAAAAGTTAGAAGACAAATTTTACCATTTCATGATCGGGAGACGGCTTAACCTCCTTCACAAATCTCGTCCACATAGTCGTCCTCGTCCTGGAATCGACTTTTTGACGGGGGAGGGGGTTGGTGGAAAATTTTGAAATAACTTGTTTGCATAGGCTGTAAACACTGAAATAAATTCTATGCAAGTAAAAAATAAAGTTTTCGCAGGAAGATGGAGACAAACAAAAAAAGGAGCAGGAGCCGCATATAAAAAAAATGTTGCGTGTGAAAATTTTCCAACCCCTCCTCCTCCCCCCCGTCCAAAAAAAATAATGGTCAATCCCTAAAGGCAAAAGTGTCTAAAAAAATATGATCATTTCAGAATACAGAAACTGGAGGTCAGCTGATATGTGTGGAGATCACAGGCCAGTTGAATTCACAAGGAACGAATACGAGTTTTGGAAGGACTGGGGTATTGTCAGCAGGTAAAAACGATTGCGAGGTCAATATACTAAATACGTGTTAGAATGAGTTTGAAGTGCTTACCCAGCAACTTGCCAGCTGTAGTGGCCGTGTGGAAACAGTATACTCTATCTCATCTAAAAATAAGAAACTTTCAAATCGATAATAACTTATTAATAATAATGATGAAGGCGATAATAATAATAATAATAACAATAATCATCATCATCATCATCATCATGTGATCATCATAATCAAGTCATCAATGTGGCATGTCCTTTTGATACCAGAATTGCAGAAAAAGAACGTGAGAAGATTGACCACCAACAGGACTTAAAAGTGGAAATACAAAAGATGTGGAACTGGAAAAGCGTATCTGTTGTTCCAGTTGTATTTGGGGTACTTGGGGCAGGGACCAAAAACTTGATGATGTGGGTTACTACGATAGGAACACTTACTCCAGAAAGCCTGCTTGTTGGGAACAGCAAAGATCTTAAAAAGGACCCTAGACACTCAAGGCTATAGGAAATAGCTTGATGATCTAGGGATACGTGCCCACCGATACAACAAGTGGTGTGAGATATGAATAATAATAATAATAATAATAATAATAATGATAATATTAATAATAATGATAATAGCGAGGGCCTTTGCCAAGGCCGGTTTTCCGTGGGGCCTCCATAGGACAAGTGAACGATGACGTCATTTTACTATTTTTGGACCAGAATTCTTCAGTCTGACATTTTTCGTGGACAGATAAGGGCCATTAATTTTTTTAAACTTTACTGGGAGTGAGAAGTTTAAATAAGAAAGCAAAAACAAAATGAATTCTAGAATTTTTAGTCAAATGATGTCATCGTGAAAATGGTAGCAGTTCAATGCGGTTCACGATTCACCAACCGGGCAAAACGACAAATCAAGTTATTAGAGTTGTTCCCTGCCCGCGCGCAGATATTTCTTTGGCCTGGTTTTTGACATGTGCGAAGTCGTTAGCGTCACTGTCATTGCCTGAAGTTGCAATGCAAGCCAACCTATGCGATAGGATTTTGTTAGGGCGAAAGGGGAAATTTCAAAGACGTGCGAGTGCACTTCGCGTTCCCCTCGCGCGCCCCAAGCCAAAAATCCTAACCGGCGCCTATCACGCAGACTACCTACGCTAATACCAGCGACGCGAAAGACTCCGCACATGCTGAAAACTCTGCGTGAAAGAAACCTCTACCAGTTGGATACTAGAGCTGTAATTTTTGCTATATCTTTCAGGTATGGGAGTTGATTTATTTTTTGACATACCAACTCACCCAAACCCTCGACGCTTTATATACCAAACAGTCAACGTGCCTATCGAAGAATCGGTATTACCACCCCGTCTTGGGTCTATACCAAAGCATACGTTTTCTTGTGATTGGCTTGGTCAGATGACCACATTTCTACAACAAGGCTGGCGACTGGTAGAAATTTTCCTGGATATGTCAAGTGCTCCAAGAGATCAAAGCCTTGAAGCTACGGTCAATTCGGTTTGGTTTTTTGAGAAAGAGGCCAGTCGAGTTAACGACCCCAGCCCTGTTTATGAAGGCACTGTTATAGAGTACGAACACAAACTGTCAGCGGGACTCACCTCAATAAGTGCGCCCCCTCAGTGGGAATCACTTCTGTGTGAAATGGGAAAACGCGGATGGGAACTAGCTTGCATCCTGGAAACGCCAGACATCAGGATCACAGGATTACAGCAATTTAAAATGAAACTTCTAATGTTTTTCCAAAGAAAACTTTCAGGCACTTCATAATAATACCTTGCTGGACGTTGTGGTTCCTGTTTACACGTTAATTATTTTTTAGGTTGTTGTTATTCTTACGACAGGCTTGTCCAACCACAACTAGTCACTGACTACATCTAAGACTAGAGGGAATCATTTGTTAGGGATCCGCGTTCTTCACTTACGGAAAAATTACGGAAAAAAATCCAGTCGAAAGGAGTCCAGTTTCCCGGCCGAGGTGCCCCTGATAAAATTAACAGTGGCGGCTAATTTGCAGTCGCCCGTGATAGCTCGAAAATTTCTGCCTTAGTGCCACGGAAACACAAGATTAGGATGCGTTCTGACGGACGCAAATCAAATATAGCTTACTTCCGGTCGACGCCTACAAGGCGCCCCTCCCATTTTTTAAGGGAAAAAGCCCTGGTAACGAGGTTGTTATATTGATAGAAAATTTTTGCTGACTAAGCAGTTTAAGTCCACGACATAGATTTTGTTTTATCTTTGATATATATGTTGTGTAATAAAAGATAATATCATAATTATCTGATTATCATCATTATGAATGGTAATAGGACTGAGTAGAGTACAATGTCTACAATCATGATGTAATACGCGCGTTGGCGACAACAGGAGGGCATTTTGCATGCGCATGCGTGAATCCGCTGAACGACAATAGCGTGGGAGCATCAAATCTGATGGCGGGAAATCGAAAACTCGCGCGTAAAATTACAATCCTTTTAAAAGCCATTTCGTTGGTACTTTGAATACCGTACTTTCCTACAAAAAATATTCGCCATGACAAAAATCGGACGTTTTCTACGCGGGTTTTCACTCGTAGATTTTTCAGCAGTAGGTTTTCTTGGCCTTTTAAAGACTTTCAAGACTCAACGCCAAAAAGTCATGTTCCTGTGTAAGTCTGATTTTCACTGGCAAAGCAATGCATTTCTATGGTTTGATTTCCAAACTCGTGGTTTTACTTATCAGGGAGGAAATGCATCGTAGCAATGTTCAGCTGCTTTAAGACAAAACGCGAAACAAAAAATTACCACGCGAGGTTTATTTATTAGCGCGATGTCTCATGTTAAACTGATCGGGGAGACACGTGCTTATATTTGCCACAAAAACATGAAATCTATGGGGTTTTAACAGTTTTTCGAAAGTTTTCGTGGACAAATTTATAAAAAATATTCTACAGGAAATGAAGAATGGATTGAGTTTGAGACAGCAACAATTACAAGTGATTATATAGTACTTAATCATTTGAGCATTTCATAAACTCAGTTGCAGACAAAACGAATGCACATACTCCGAAAAAACGAACGGTACTTTTATTTTTCTTTCACTCTAAAAGATACAGAGATTTTCCTAAGCTACTATTTTGAAGCGACTCTTGAGTAACAGCTCCTGCGTTCCACAATCGATTTCTTGTTATTAATTTAAATTTGATGACAGTAGTGATCTATTCAAAACAAAGAATGGCCATCACTCCATAAATCTGACGATGTTGCTGACCTTCAAAGCCTGTTTAAACATAAGACAGGAAGTTTGTTAAAGGGGTGCAAATAATGCTGTTTTCTCAGAAAATAAATACTTCTGCTAAAGGACCCAAATGAGCTGGGATGCGACAACAAACATGACACAAATGGATAGATAAATTTGTCTGTTATTAATGTTTCTGTTGAGAGCTTTTTACTGTATCCAGATGAACCCCTTATGTAAGTTGTACATCATGGAAGAATTATCAAGCAGAAACTGATGCATTAAACAAGAATGTGGTTCAATACAGAGGAGAAGCTGGTCTCAGTCAACATCCTTCGTGAATGAAATGTCTCACAAATTAGCATATCAACAAATGTAGTATCCACAAAATGGTATCATTTAGGAATAAATGCGATTTTTTTGCAGCAGAAGCCAGGATTTATTTAAAAGGTGTATTGATAACGTTTCATTTCGTGCTATTTTGGGGTTGGGGAGTTAGGCTAGTTTTTCTTTAAAACGCCAAAATGTTATATTTATTTGCATAATGAAATGTAAACAAACAGTGTATCATCAAAATAAGGTGGAAAAAATCAGAATTCAAACCGATTGCTGTAATTTTTTTTCCTTTGTATACCTAAATGATAGAATATTCGTATTTTCAAAACACAATCTTACTGGCATCATTATATTGATTTAAATTTATAGTTGAAGTGCGTGTATTTTATTTCTCAACGAAGACGTATCGGAGAAGAAAGCTAAAATTACTGCAGAAGGCGATTTTTCATAGCCTTCATCAAAGCGCCACTCATTCGCGGAAGTATTCTTAGTTTCATTAATCATTAACTTAACCTGGGGAGAAAGGCAAGATTTCGAGATAAACAAGCCGGAGAAAGGGGGAAAAACAGTTTCACGGCAGAATGGATACTTAATTAACCACTGTATTCCTGAAACGATTAAGTTCGATTTTGGAGTTATACTATTGAGAAGAATTAAGTTTCTATAGGATAATTGTTTAACGAAAAACTATCATACTGACCTTTTCCTCCTGCTCAAAAAATGTTCGCGAAATGTTAGGTGATAAGAACATTCAGCCGCCATCTTGTCTTCGATGTACTGTTTTACGAAAGGAAAGACTGTCCTTTCAAGGGCGACAGCGAAGGTACAACAAACTCACTTTCATCGTAGAAATACCTCGATACCTTAAAGAACATGTTTGTGGAACGTAGCACCCAATACACGTCAATCATCGCCAGAAAACAGCCTGCAAATGCTGGTACTGAATGTAAACAATTCATAGAAAATGCCTCTGTGGTTGCTCTGTGGCACTTCAACAGCCCATATTGACGCATGCGCATACAAAATGCCCTCCTGTTGTTGGCGACTAGAAATTACAAGCCCTGATTTCTCTGAGGTCCTATAATGACGTAACAAGTAAATAAGTTTTTATCGTGTCAATAACAAAGTGCAAGAATATTCAGATTACAATATTTGTTAACGTGCAAAGTTCTGATTACATCAGCTTACAGCTTCCATAGCAAAAACACGGCATACACCCGTTTTGGGAGAAACTATCGGGATATGGAGCTCCACTATGAACTGCGTGAACTTATGAGTGCATTTGTTAAAATTACATCTGTCAAAAGAAAGCTGGTAACTTCCTCAGTGACTTTTGTTTTGTGTTCATTTGCTAGCACAGCCGCTAATTTGCTCAGCTAGCAACCTTTGATGCTCAACTTTCTCCGATTACAAGAAGCTTCTAAATAGTCCTAATCGGCGAACTCAATGTTGTACCCAATTCAAATCTCCCGGGGATAAGATTCTTTGTGTATTGTATTTGCATTATAATGTGGCATTCACATTTAAATGATATGGAAATTCCTGAAACAAAACGTTTTATTCCCAAAGGGTTTGAATTGAGTACAACATTGAATTAGCCGAATAGATCTATTGGATAGTTCTGGTGTTGCATCAGCTGCATCTGCCGAGAACCAATCAGATTCGAGAAGTTTGTTATTGACATAATATTATCAACCTTACATGATTCACTAATACATTAAGACTTGATGCAAACAGCTGCCCCAGACCCTTCTTGAACCTTGCAACCCATCCAGTTAAAAATAATCAAATAATTATTAAGTTCAATAGTACAATCAAGAGAGTTTTTCAAAGTTAGTAAAGCTTTAGAAAATGACAATGTAGTATACGCTGGACAATGACATCATAAACGTTACATATTACGTTACATATGACGTCACTATCGCGGCCATCGGCCAGCGGTCAAGATGGTCATCACCTTTTTTTGTTGCTCTTGTTTTTTAACTTAAAATTTGTTAGAACCTAACAATAGTTTCCTATATTACTTTATTTTAGCGGCACAATATTAGTTGACTTAGATGTGCCCTCTCCTTTCCATTCTTCATTATTTTTATTTATTTATTACAATTTAATGGAAAGAAAGACTAAGAATCATAAGAAAGAATTAAAAAACAAAAAGAGAGAGAAAGAATACCTCGAGGATGGTCAGCAAAAGAGTCATAGACCTCACACGAGACCGACTACCTTAAACTTAAGAAAAAGAAAGAAAAGTAAATTATATTATATTATATTAGGTGTATAAAAAAGTAAAATTAACAATTAAATATAAATACCTACAGAAATATCTACTGCGCGCTAATTCGCTCTATACACACTAGAATACGCCTCCGCTGTCTTTGCTGACTTGCCTATTGTATCTTGCTTGCTATCTTGAGAACGTGCAAAAAAGGGCCCTTTCCATCATTTGGTCTGGTATTTCGTATGAAACAGCACTTGAAAAAGCAAGGTAACCCATTGTACCCACTAATGCACAACAGAGTGGTACCTATATGTACCAGTGTGTGTCTAAGATCAGGGAGTTCTAGCAGGCCCATGGCCACAAGGACTGAACGTTTCTCAAATTCTGTTAGTGTTAAATATTAATCTTGTCAATAAATGTAGCGTATTAGTATATATATCACAGCTTGTAAGGTATCCTACAATTCAGTCTTCCGACTGCAAAAGGGGCAATAAACCAGTGATTTGATTTGATATTCGGGTGATTATCGAGTAGCCAAGAAACCTGCCACTCCCTTCTTTGAGCACAACGAGTTGACAGTGGTAACGCATTCCACATATCAGCAATCCTATTAAAAAAGCTAAGTTTGAAAATGTCTGTCCTAGCACAATTCTTCTTAAGTACACAATTATCCCTACCCCTCAGGGAGTACCTATCGGAATCCGATTAAAAGTGAATAAAAGGAGAAATACCTATATCAATAAACCCATTAAGAACTTTATATATAAAAAAAGCATGAAACAAAAAACGTCTGTCCTGTAAGGATAACAAGCTACGTTTTTTCCATACGAATGCCATGATCACCATCAGTTTTCCAAAATAAACTTAGTGGCTGTTCTTTGTAAGTAGACTGCGAGCAGTCTCTCTTTTCCTTCAGATTTAGTGAGAGCAATGTACGCGCGCGGGAGCCTCTCCCGTCTCGCGCCATCAGTCACGCGCGTGGCCATTTGCGTGTCTC